TAACGGCTTTACTAAAGACGTAAAGGAATTCTTCGTCGCTTAATTTAGCGATTACTTTATTTCCCTTATCTAAATTAAGTTCGAGGGCCGATAAGTCCTTAGCTTCGGAAATAGGTACTGCCTTTATATCGTCGTTATAAAGGCAGGCATAATTAATTTTAGCTTAGAGGCTAGCGTCGGTCTTTAAGTACTCGGCTAGGAACGCGTTTTTAGGCCTATATACGCTATTAAAACGGCCTAGGGTATTAATGACATCTAGTTTTCCTAATTACCGAATATAAGGCTTAGTAACGTATCGCTTCTTAAGTTAATAACGAAAGGGATTATTATCCGGGCCGAGTTAAGGTTAACGGTTCCTATAAAGGTACTTCCGTCGAATTCGAGTTTTATACGGGACTAGAAAATAAAGTTTATACTAAGTAATAAGGAATAACTAACGAACCTATCTTTAACGACGTAAATCGGTAAACGAAAGTAATAATCGGTAAGCTAGATAGAACCGTCGATTATTCCTATATATAAGGTCTCTATAAAGGATTTAAAACCTCGCTATATCGCCTTAGTATTAATTATAAAGAAACGCTACTTTTTTACGTAGCTTTTTACGATTATGCTAGACTACGTCCTTATATCGATTACCGTAGATACGAGAGCTTCGTTCCCGTTAGGTCCTACGTTAACTACTAGCTTAAGGAAAGGCCGGATATAGTTTTTAATATCCTTCGCGATAATAGAACTTATCGTTATTTTATTCGAAAGATTAGTAAACGAGGCGGTGGTTTACGGTACGCTAGGTATCTTAACGCTTTCTTCTCGATCCTTTTATACCTATTCCTTTATAATCTTAATAACCTTAAGTTAACCTTCGTTAATTTCTATAACGCGTATCGTAAGGTACTTAACTATCTATTCCGAAAACCCGGGTATAAACTTAATTAGGTCGTCCTACGAAACCTCGAAGCGTTTCCTATTATTCTTATTAATTTTATCTAATTAAAACTCTCTTAGTAACTCGTTAATAGTCTTCCCCTTCTTAGCTAAGTCGTTCGTATTCGTAGTAGCGTTTTTACCGGCTCTAGTTGGTTTACGCTTAAGCTATAACGATAGGACTTTTATATTCTCTTAATCGGGTACTTCTCTTTCGATATATTCGCCGTTAGAACCTTTAGCTCGCTTAATTACGTTAACTTCGATTAGGTCCGTTTTAATAGTATTCTTATAATAATAGATACCTTCGTCGTCGATAAGACCCTTAGTTTAATTATAACCTAAGATCCCGGTCTCGTATAATTCGTAGTTATATTTACGTTTAATTATTTAAATAACGTTAATTTCCGATATAGCTCTAGGTATTTCTTCCTACTTCGGTATTATATCTTCGTTTTTAAAGTATCGTAAGTCGAGGGATATAAGCTTTAGCTTTCCGGCTAAATAATAATATATTATCCTACGTACTTACTCTAGAGATTCCTTACTTTAATATACATAAAATAGGATATAATAAGCGATCGGTTCTTCTTTACGCTTAGCTTAGGTAATAATCGATCCTAGGATTAGTATTAACTTTAGCTTATCCGGGTTTTTATTCTCGAGGTAATATAGTCGCTTATTACTCCTATAATAGAACCGATTTTACGTTATATTTATTAATAACGGGTAACGGCTATAATTATAAAGCCGATCGAAAGTATTATAAAATTAATATTCGAATTCCTTATAATTATTCGTTTAAGTTAATAAAATCTTATTACGTATGCCTCGATAGTTTAATATAATATTACGTTTAGAGCTTATTAAGGTCCTTTCGTTAGTTTATAGGTTATAAAGACTTAGGTTCCGAACCGCGTTTACTAGGAACGGGTTTTCTTATTAATATTATTAATCGGCGCCGTACGTATCCTTAGGGCTATAAGAGCTACTCTTTTAATAGTAGTTCTACGAAGTTATCTTTATCTTTAAAGCGTTAAGTCGGTTGTAGAAGGCCTATATATTAGCTTTTTAATTAATACTTAAGTAGCCGTAAGAGGGTTTAGGTTACGAGGGAGGCGGTAGTAAAGGTATCTAGAGGCTAAGAGTCGCTAATCGTTAAACTATTTATATTATAGGCTTCTCGGGTTCCTCGAAAGTTACCGTCTTTTACTATCGTCGCTCCTCGGCTTAGGTCTTATCGGTAATTTATATTACTATACGACGTTCCGCTTACTTATAAAGCTAGTTATAAAGAATCCGGTAATCGATATTTCCGATCTTATTATAATTATAGTTTTTCGTTTTATAGAATTTTATAATTAAAGATATCCGGAATTTATCGGTTAAGTATTTTATTTTCTAAGAAAGTTTTTCGTTATCGTTTACGAGCTTAAAGAGACGTTTATAGTTCATAAGATACGTAAAGATCGCCTTAAGATCGTTAATTACGTTACCTCGTTCTAGTTATACGAGTTTACGTTTAACGTTAACTTAATTTAGTTTATCGGTAACCATAAAACGGTACTTTAAGACTATAACGATAACTCTTTAAATCGTTTAATCCTTCGTAACGTCGTTAATACGCTTCCTAATAGTCTTAGTCGTAATCCATTCGCTAATCTCCTTAATCTTATCGTCGTCGCTTATACGGTATCGGTTAAATAATCGATTTATCTTTTCTAGTTATTAAGTTACGTTATATTCGTTAAACTTAAGCCTAAGGTAATCGGTAAGGTTAGGGAATCTAATAACTAATATTACGATAATCGGGATAGCTACCGGTATATTCTAGCTACTAAAGGCCCCGTTATTATTATTTTAAGATAATACTATAAGGATTAGCGGAATAAATATAGAGCCGCGGATAAGGGGTAGCTAAGTAGGAGTTTTATCGTCGTCCTTTTCCTCTTCGGGCGGATATAAAGGCGGAAAGCTAATATCGACTCTTAAGGTTTTTATTAATGATTTAGTCGTTATTACTTTAGGTCCCGATAGCGATTTATTTCGTTTCCTAGCTATAAATTCCGTCTAGTTTAACGGTACGAGGTATAAAGTAAAAAGAAAGGTAGTAGGAGTTTTATTATCTAACATAGGGGTAAAGGTATAATAGCTATTATTTATATCTTAATACTTTTCCTTTAATATAGGTATATTATTATCTATTATATTATCCCGATCGATAGGGTCTAGGTATTATATAAGCTTCTCTAGTCGGCTAACGCCTAATTAAAGTACGATACGTATTCCTTAGATTAATAGTTTAATTATTATAAATAAATCGACGATAATTCCTCTTATTAAGGTCTAGAACTCCTAACGTATAACCTTCGTTAAGGTAATACGTATAAGGAATAGATCCTAAGTAAAGGATCGCGTTAAATACGATACCGGTTATAACTATAGGCCGGTCTCGACCTAACGGGAGCTATTTAATAATATTAGCGGTATTACCGCTAGGCGTCGTTTTACGCCTATATTAATACTTCTCGTTATATTAGTTATTAATTAATAATATAAGGCTAACTTATATATAGGTATACTTATTAGCTCGACTCTAGTTCCGTTTCCTTAATCCTCTATATCTACGTAGTCCTATTAATATTAATTCCTAATTCTCTTTAAAACTATCGGTTATTAGTAGCTATTAGTCTATTAATCCTATTTATATTATTAATATAAATATCTATATTATATCGTATATTATATCGTCGAGTCGCTACGCCTAGGTATCCTAAAATACCTTTAGTATAATAAGTTATTAATATTTATATATTTAATTTATATCGATTAATAGGTTTAAAGGGAAAAAGAAGCTATCGTAAGGTCGGTTAAGGCATAATTACTATTAGCCTTTATCCGCCCTTAGTATTAATAAGGGAGCAGCGGGTCGTATAGGTTATCGTAATTTATATTAAGGCGTTCGTACGTCCTCTATATAATAGGTAAATAATTATAAGGAAGCTACCTTAATCGTTATAAGTTTTATTTACTCGCACGAGATATATTATGCTATTAGTAGTTTAAGAAAGCGGTTAGTATCGAGGGCTAAGTATTATTCCTAGTAGCGGTAATATTACGATAAAAGTTCTTCGGGTTTTACGGGTTCCTCCGTATAATAAATAAATAACTATACGAGGAATATCTTAATCGGTATAAACGCGGTTTAATCGTCGTATTATATCGTAATATCGATAGCTTATTAACGTTATAAGTATTAAGGGCTAAGCGCTATCCTAATAACTATAGTATCGTTATAAAAGTTCCCGGGCTTATACGTATCTCCTTATAGTAAATAAATAACCATAAAGCGGGATATTTTATTTAACATAAAACGCGGACTACTTCGCGGGTTAAATAGCGGCGCCGACGGCGATCGGTATCCTTTAAATCCTAATAGCGTAATAGAAACTCCGTAAACTAAAGGTTAAGGGGTCGAAAAAGTTATAAGGTAGTCGTTACTAAGAAGGAGTAAAGCGTACGCGATACTAAAGACCCGGATAGGTTTACTCGAAAGTATATTCTATCGAAGATTATAATACGTACGATAATCTAAGATAAATAAAACTAATATCGCTATATTAATCGAAAGGTAAGGAATTTAATATAGTTATCGTATCTTAGCTATGCCCTTTAGTCGTAGAGATATAGTAGTCGCTAGCCCGAAGGTATAAGAAGTAAGAGAAGAAAAGGGGTAAAACGTAAAAGTTATTTATTCGGCTATAGCGGTACGACAAAGTAACTTAAGCGCTTATAACTAAAATAAATGTACTAATCGGAGAACGACGAATCTAATAATAAAAACGAATCTTTAATTAAAGTAAAAATAATAAAGATAATAATCTAGCTAGGTAATAAATTAAATAATAAATATAGTATGTCCCGTACTTACGGGTACTATAATTACTCTATATAGGTATAAGGCCTATCGTAACGTATTACGTAATACATTAAGAGGGCATGTCTTACCGCACCACTACAATACCCTGTCCGCAACGCTACCCCTAGGCGAGATATAGCCGAAGCGGCTGCCGATGGTAAACCGGCCAATCACACCCGCCTCCACCGACGATAAAGGCATCCAGAAGCGCCCTCGACCCAACCCGCCAAAGTCTCTAGTCGTGCAAAGAAGTCCGGGTGAGCTGGAGAAACTACTGTCCGAGAAACGTATGGACGAGATAATAGACGACGAGGTTATCATGCTATCTCTTAAGGGCAAGATACCCGGCTACGCCTTAGAAAGGAGCTTAAAGGATTATACGCGCGCTATAAAGGTTCGTCGAGCGATTATCTCGAGAATACGGGCGACCGCGGACCTTACGAACTTACTCGATTAATTAAAACTATCTTACGAGAACTATAACTAGGAGTAGGCTCTTAGCGCGTATTATAAGAACGTTATTAGTTATATACTAATCCCCGTGGGCGTCGCCGGCCCGTTAGTTATCGACGGTTAGAGCTATTTTATCCCGATAGCGACTACGGAAGGCGTATTAGTAGCTAGTATAAGCCGTAGCTATAAGGCGATTAACTTAGGTAGTAGTACTATTACGGTCTTAACTAGCGATAGAATAACCCGTAGGCCATGCGTAAGTTTCGAGACCCTCGAACGCGTAAGCGCTGTTAAGATATGGCTTAATTCCGATACAGGGTAGTCTTTAATAAAGAAGGCATTTAACTCGACTTCGAGATTCGTTCGGTTACAAACGATAAAAACGGCTATCGCCGGTACGAATTTATATATCCGTTTTAAAACTACTACAGGTAACGCCATAGGAATAAATATAATCTCTAAAGGTATCGAATACGCGTTAAATATTATGGCTACGGAGGAAGGATTTAAAGATATATTTATCGTTTCGGTATCCGGTAATTATTATATTAATAAAAAGACCGCTATTATTAACTAGATCGACGGCCGAGGTAAAGGTATAATCGCCGAAGCTATTATCCCGGGCGAGGTTATTAGGGCGGTACTAAAAACCGACGTCGATACTCTCGTCGAGCTTAATATAGCTAAGAATTTTATCGGTTCGGCTATAGCTACTTTTATTGGCGGCTTTAATGCCTACGCGGCTAATATCGTTACTGTAATTTTTATTACTACCGGATAAAACCCCGCCTAAGTGGTAGAAAGCGCTAACTACATTATCATTATGAAGAAGTAAGTTACTGCTAGGGTTATGTAAGTTATATTCGTTTTTAATGAGTACTAACTCGGGGATAGTTTACGTAGGTTCCTTTAAATCTCTATATTTATGCCGTCGATTGAAGTAGGTATACTCGGCGGGGGTATAATCCTGGAACCCTAAGGCGCGATATTCGATATGCTCGGTATCAGGGGTTCTCATCCGACGAGCCCTAGCGAAAACGCGCGCCGCCTCGCCCGCATCATTGGCGCCGTAGTTCTCGCCGGAGAAATATCCCTCTGCAGCGCCCTTGCTGCCGGTCATCTGGTTAAAGCGCACATGGCCCACAACCGCTCTGCCCCTCCGACTAGGAGTACTACACCTACTATTAGCTCCGGCGGTGCTATGACTCCCGTCGGACTAGCGATGACGACCACTGCTGATAAGGTGGCGAAGAGCCCAGCTGCTGTTGACCGAGCAGCAGCATTGAAACGGTAGCCAAATGCTTCGTTTCTGCTCCGCGGATTTGGTGGGGGTTTTGCCTGATTTAACAGACGTTTGAGGAGCCTGCGTTCGATGTCCGGATAGAGGCTCATACGACTGCGTGGGTAGGTGGACGGGCGTGGACCGAGGCCGGGCGTCTTCGTAGAGAGGTGGGAGGGTTAGAAATGAGGTCGACCTGTGCCACGAATTGAGTCAGGTGGTGAACTTAAGACGCCTTTACCACGAGTCTCGGGTAGTCATGAGGCATAGCAACGATACCCCAGAGTCTAGAGGCCACCGGACAAGGATGGCATAAAGGGAACGGGTTTATACAAACCTGGTGGCCATCACAGGATGTTTGGGGCAACACATCCGCAGAGCATCACGAAGTCAACTGTCGTTTAGTATATAATATAATGACGAAGGGTAATCTATCTTCGACCTATTGATCTTACAACTAATGTCCCTCTTGAAAGTTTAACCCAAAGTGAGTAACGCAGTACGCGGCATCGCTGATGGTGACCATACCGCAAGGATATTGTACTATCAGCTTTCGAGCAATTTAACATCCCCTAGGGTCTTGTAGTGATAACCTCGATTCTTAGCAATCCCGGCTGACGCATTCTGACACCCCATCCTTTATCAGTGCCTATCTTTGCCGTGTTATATTCGAACACGTAACTTATTTGGTTTTCTTACTTGGGAAGGAGACCACGCTGGTTGGAAGTAAGTGTTTTCTCTAGTGTTTCATATTACACATGCAGTGACTAAAGAGAATGTCTCTGTCTTTGTAAGTACATTAACCTCAACGCGAAAAAAAAAGCCCATTGCAATTGACAGCCGTAAACCCTCGATAAGATGAAATTCGATTTCAGTAATAGGTATCACCATCGCCATTCTTCGTGCTGTGTTAGTGACCACCAGACCGGGGAGGAGGGGGGTCACCAGAAGTCCTATATCCAATGCAAAGAAAACCGAAACTAACGAAGTACCATAGAAATTGTGCTTATTATTATGCCTAATCCTGAGGAACGACAGTGACACTGCTAGCTTGAGTACATGATGTTGTTAGCGTCGGCTCCATGACATGAGACACCAATGGCTTACGAGAGGGGCAGTGGGAGGAAACACTTGCCTCACCATGCGTTATAGAGAGAACGAACCCTTTATGATTTGGAGGACTGGCTGACCACGATTTTGCCCCTTGCCCGACCAGTTTTCAGCTTCTCGAAGGCCTTCGGCGCATCTTCGTATGGGAAGACCTCGTCTGTCACTGCCCTCACTTTGCCCTCCCGCATCCATTCTCCGATTTGGACGAGGTCCTCATGGGTATCCTTCGTGAAGAGGAACTCGATTTTTCTTTCCCCCCCCCCTAGGAACGAGGGCAAGTTCATTCGCGACACCAGAGTCTTCATGCCGCCGAACGACGCTGGAGCCCCGACTTGCACGAACTTGCCTTCGGGGAGGAGGAAGTGATCGGCTGCCTTGTAGAGGTCGGCCGGATCGTTGCCGACGTTGTCGACCACCAACTTATACACCAGGCCCTTCGCCTTGAGGATCTCGCTCACGTTCTCCTTGGCGTAGTCGATAACCTCGTCGGCTCCTAGGCTACGACACAAGTCTGCATTCTTCGCCGAGCAGCTCGTCGTTACGTGGCATCCTACCGCCTTGGCGATCTGAATCCCAAAAGTCCCGGTGCCGCCGCTGCCGCCATTGATGAAAACCTTGTCGCCGGCCTTTACATTCGGTACGATGCACTGGTATGCCGTCTGGCCCGCAGTTCCGACGCAGCTCGCATCTTCGAGGGATACACCCTCAGGCACGGCCGCGCATCCATTTCGGCGGACGAGCACGTACTCGCCGAGACTGCCGTACCTGGTGAACCCGGCCCTGCCAAAGACCCGCTGGCCCGTGCTGAATCCCTCGACGGCGTTGCCGACCTGGGCGACGACACCGGCATAGTCCAAGCCCGGCGACGCTGGGGTGGGGATGAAGGCGCGCATCGGCAAACCCATCTCGGGGAACTTGTAGTCGGCTGGGTTGAGAGCGCAGCTGCGAACCTGGACGAGGACGGCGTCCTTCGGAAGAACGTGGCGAAACGGAAGGGATGCGTTTTCGACTAATTTGAGGTTCTTTTCGAGCCCGCCGGCGGTGGACGTGTAGATCCATCCTCGCATGCTTTGGAGCTTAGCCGGAGCGGAGGAGTCCGCCATCTTGGTTGAAGCAGATTCGCAAGATCGAGAGGAACGGATGGATTGATGGATGGGTAGACGGAACTTCGCAATTGAGAGATACGGAGGGAAGAAAGCAGAGGGGTTGATTAAATTGCCACCGCCAGGCTACGTATTTATCGTAGACGTTAGCTGGCAGGCAGCCTCTTAGCGAGCACTGCCGGCCTGCTTGAATCCGAGAGATTCTCTAGCTCGAAGCACATGAATTAGGCACCACATCGTAACCACGCCATCGTCACCCATATGCGAACCTGCGCATTTACATAGGAATACGCGAATGCGCTTATACGCGTAGAGTCTCGCCGTACCGGGTCAGCCAAAATAGGAGAACCACAGCTATCAAAGGTATGACGGCATCAACCAGCTAGCTCTAGGTAGCACATGCTTACGTAGCCGGGACACCATTGACGAAGGTCACTGCGCGTCACCGCACAGGCGCTCTTTTCTGTCTCTCGACTAAACTAGCGGACTAGATACATGTAGGTACCTATGCAGGTATACTTCAGGTACCCAATGTGGGGCAGACATCAAGGTACCTACCTACATCTGTTCGCTCTGTTGGAAAGAGGTGTTTTCCTCCCATGTACAAACGGCTGAAGTACTGAAATTCTGAAATACAGGTATCAGCCTGAAAGAATCCCGCCGTATCAGGTGCCCAGCCGCCTCTCGCCGTCTTCCTTCTGCTGGCATTTTTACATCTGGGTGCCTCCTTTCCTCGAACGATCACAGATCGGTACAAGTCGAGCACAGCTAAGAAGTCTTACCGAGCTTGCGCAACGCCCCCCTCCCTCCCCCTGGACATTGTAAGGTTGCAGAGCTGACCGCGACCCAGGACCAGATATTTGTGGTGCGTTCGCTAGGGAACATCCGAGTTCGTCTCGTTGCCATCTCCTACCCACCTGTAGTGCTACACTAGCACCCTCGGTGGTGTGGTCGTGATGCGGGTCAGGAAGAGAGCGCTACTACGTACATACCTAGATTGCGGGTTTATGGGCTGCGGAGCACGCCAGAGCCAGTCTGCCGAGATCGCCCAGGCCGGTTGCGACATGGGTCGGTGTAGGTCGCATCCACGCCGACCCAATTTGGCTCAGATGACGCCTGTGAGCCTGTGAGCTTGACTGCTACTAAGCGGTCCTCGCCACGTGAATAATCCGGCTCTATAGATGCTGAGTGTACGGATGGGTCGGATGTAACAGACTTGCCGATCCATCGCGACAGACCTTAGCCAGCACTTATATAGCCCACTTGGCTGCGGCGTCCGAAGCGGTTGCTGGGGGCAAGCATTCCGCCGGTGTCGTCCCTGTCATCGTCGTGCGAAAGGGTTCTGGCTACGGCGAGTCCGGCCCTTATTTACCTAGGTATTATTTTTATAGGTTATTTTACCCTCCTCCCCTCGTCCCGTTTTGCCATCGGTAAATCCTGCGTCTATCTTTAGAGGCCATTTACCTGAGCTATTGGCATTCAGTCTCCGAAACCAGTTGCGTTGTGTTCCAGGCTTATTATAGTGAGGGGTGGTGGGAGTCGCGTCCGTCTGCATCGTCCTCCCGAGGTATTGCGGGGTCGTTGGCGGCCTCGCCGCTCCGTGGCCGGCACAGATATGAGGTAGGCATGCAATTTGCGCGATGTGAAAAACCTCGGCCGATTCCCAATACATTATTCCCGCGCGTGGTCATTTGTGTAAGGGGGATATTCGGCCGATTCCTCGCGCATTATTCCCGTGTCCGAGTGACGGGTTTACGACGGTCGGGGGCGAGAAAGGATGTCATTACGAGGTGACAACGCCAGTTAGATTAAGTGTCAGGAGTGTACGTCCGACGGTTATTGTGCACGCCTACCTAACCTACTACGGTGTAGAGAGCTCCAAGTACCTAACCTAACCTGACGTCCCGTAATCTATGGAGCTATCAGGGATGTTATCCATTAAATCGTATCCGCCACCGATGTAAGTACCGTCTTCGTCGCCTCGACTTAGTACAGGATGCCCCGCGCCCAGCCAGCCAAGCCACTTTTCCAGATCGTCGCCATCCCATGCAGCCTCTTTTGCTTGATCCTGGGAAACTTACCTACCCAGCTTTTTTATTATTATTATCACCACCGTCCTCATCGTCGCCGGCGTCTTCACTGCCGTCATCGGAATCTTCACCGCCATTGCAATCGTCGTCGCCGTCATCGTCGTTTTCTTCCCGCTTCGTCTTCTTGGGTAGTGGCCGTCGTTCCCACCGTTATCTCCCCAGGAGGGGGACTCGGTTGTATCCAGATTGGGGCCATGCGCAAAAACACTCGAAGACATGCACTGCGCGACGATATCGAATCCCTGCTAATAGAATAAATAAAAAAAACCACAACCACCATTCCCTCCGCGTCTTTGTTCGAGCAGACGGGGCCCACATCATCTTCGGGTGACTCAGTAGGGAGAGGAGCCGTCATACACATACCTACTCAGCCCTGTCTGTCCTGGAAGGATTCCCAGCTCTGGACTACGTAAAAGATTTCGATTCCGGCTTTATCTCTCGTTCTCTCATCCACCTTCATCTTCTATGGCCAACCCAGCTTTATCTACACCCCTTAGACTTTAACACACCCAGGTGCGAGGTTCTTACAGTCCCCTGCCCTCTTCTCTCCCCTACCTCTTGTGCAGAAGCCGGCCGGAATCCCGAAATCCGTTCCGCCGAATTTCCCGCCTCCTATGCGTACTAGCTAGAGTTACGAGGCATGACCCGCGGATAGCCAGCATAATGTCCAGTGCGTCCTCGTCTGCGATCCCAGATAATTCCACTCCCATGGAATCCTCTTCCCGCTCCTCTCCGAATGACAACTCGATCAGCTCCCCTGCCCCTACCTTGGCATCGCAAGATCCCGCGCCCTTGCCAATCACCGGTGCTGCCGTAGCTTCCATCGCTGGCAATCCTTTCGTCCCGTCAGGTCCCATCACCCTCGATCCGTCGACTACACCCTCCGCCGCGCTCAATCCCCGGAGTTGTGTGACGTGCCGTCGTCGAAAGGTCCGATGTGACAAATTCATGCCGTGCGGCAATTGCCGCAAGGCCCAGATTCAATGCGTCTTCCCGGCCCCGGGTCGTGCTCCTCGGCGTCCGCGCGCCAAAGACCCGAATGCCCCGCCGAAGCAGACGAGCGAGCGCGAGATGGAGCTGATGAAGCGGCTGCGGAAGCTCGAGGGTATAGTGGAGGATCTAAGTGGCCAGATTGAAATCGAGACGGCGAGGCACCCCTCCCTCAGCGGCGGAGCCTCGCCCGAGACGAGTATACCGGATACCACGCTTGAGAAGGAGCGCCGGAGACAAAATGGCACTGTATACAGCGAAAATCTCCCCGGTGGTTATCCGCCTGCTGACCAGTCCAAGGCCAGACGTGCTCAGACGGGCGACTCGGCGCAACCGGCGCACAACGTAACCGGTCAGGTCAGCAGGTCGTTTGGGAGGCTGGTCCTGAATGAGAAGGGAAAGACGCGATACGTGAGCAGCGCGTTTTGGTCCAAGATTAATGATGAGGTGTGTAGTGCTCGTATCCCCATAGCTGGGATGGGGGGGAGAATCGCTAATGTGAGACAAGATCAATCTTCTTCGGACTGAAACGGAGATGCTCAGCGATGAAGACTCCGAGGTCTCCGACGACGACGGAAGCCCTGCAGCATTCAACCCGTACTCGTACCAGACTGACCATCACGGCTTCGTCCTCGGCTACAGCTCCTCCAACGTCGATCTGAGAAAGCTACACCCCTTGCCGTCTCAGATACCATTCATCTGGCAGGTGTATCAGGAGAATGTCGATCCTCTAGTAAAGATATTACACGTCCCATCTATGAACAAGATCATCCGTGAGCTTAGGAGCAATATGAACGACATCTCGCCGGGAATAGAGGCTCTGATGTTCGCTATCTACTATGCTTCCATTACGTCGATGGAGGAGGAGGAGGTATGGCACGTCCACCCACAAGCAACTCGCCGTGTGCTCATCCAGGCATTTAGGTCAAAGTCAATTTCGGTGCCGAGAAAGCGCATCTTATAAACAAGTATCGCTTTGCCACGGAGCAAGCGCTGGCGAAGGCTAATTTCCTCGTCACTTCGGAGCTGGTGGTGGTACAGGCCTTCACACTCTTCCTCGTCCTCGTTCGGCGGTATGACGACACTAGGTTCGCTTGGACACTCACCGGCCTTGCGATACGCATCTCGCAGTCTCTCGGTATACATCGAGAAGGCACCAAATTTGACGACTTGAGTCCGTTCGATGTCGAGATGCGCCGCCGGCTGTGGTGGGCCATCTGTATCCTCGACCTCAGATCGGCAGAAGATCAAGGTACCGAGCTGACGATCGCAGAGCGAACGTACGATACGCAATTCCCACTGAATATTAACGACGCCGACATAACTCCCGAGATGACAGAGTTTCCCGAAGAACAGACTGGTCCCACCGACGTGACATTTTGCCTCATCCGTTACGAAATCTGCGCATTGGCTAGGAGAATACATTTCGCCACGAACGGGATGGCTCCTTGCCAAACCCGGGGTACCTCTCAGGAGCGCGATGCAATGCTCCTTGAATGCTATGAACGCATCGAAAAGAAATATCTCAGGACATGTGGGGACAAGGATTCGGATCTACTTCATTGGGTCGCCGCCATGATCGCACGGCTAATCATGGCCAAGTTAAGATTGATCATCTATCAACCGGTGCTCTTGCATTCCACCGGGCAGGAGATCAACCAGGACATTCGGCATCGTCTTTTCATGGCATCCCTTGAGGTTGTCGAATATACCAAGGTCTTGAACACAGAACCGAGATGTCGTCAATGGCGATGGCTGTTTCAAACGTACGCACAGTGGCACGCCGTCGCATATCTTTTGCTCGAGGTGTGCCGCCTACCCTGGAGCGCGTCGCTCGAGCGCGCCTGGGTAGTGCTCAATGCTACCTTCCAAACCCCCGATGCAGCTGAGCGTGCTCGGCCGGGCGTCTGGGTTCCGCTTCGCAAGCTCATGGGCCAGGCAAGGCGTCGCAGGGAGGAAGAGATCAAGCGGCTAAGAGCTGATCCCGAGGCGGCTCGGCAGCTCGACGCTGACGAACAAAGCAGGGCGCAGCCATCCAGCTTCAACCACCTTTCCAGCTCGATGAGGAGCGTCCTCGCGCAGGACCAATGGCGTAAGCTCGTCGGGGTCAAGAGTCCCGAGAGGCCAAAATATCCTATCTCGTCCGTTGTCAACGACGACCCTCGGAAGAATGGAAGGCCAGCCCTGCCAAAACAGCCCGACCTCGAAGCGCCTCAACCCGGTTTACAATACCTCGACCACATGATGGCACAGCCATACCTTACCTCTCAGGATATCTTCTCGGTCGCATGTCCAGGAGATCCAACGTACTCAGACGGAGAGGCGCGGGGGGGGGCTAGGCCAGAGCAGCAGACCATACCTCTCGAAACTTTCAGCACTTCGAATAATGCCTTGTATCACTCGACTCCAGGCCAGTCCTCGCAGCCTTATATCGAGGATAACCTTCCGCCTTGGCTCTGGCCGGACACCTGGCCCAACGGATCATCATCAGGTGATTCACCCGCCAACGGCCCGGTTACCGACAACCAAGACGTAGCCATGGATGTCGACGACAGCTTCGATTGGCAGAATTGGATGGATAGCGGGCTTGCGATGGGACGAGCCGGATTCATGGGCGGGATCTGATGAATTTTGTAAATAAGTAATTTGTGTAGATGCGTCCCAAGTGCGGCTTTTGGAGTACTTAGGAGGGGCATCCCTGATGCTACTACAGCCTCAGGAGGGGAGCACACCAGGTGTTTAGGCGCGAAAAGGGTCACATATTTGGAGCTGCCCCGTCGGCAGGGCTGCAATATTTGATTGTGTTGCATAGACCGAGAAGCCGTGTAGGAGCAGGCAGTGTATGGGCGGACTGTCCTAGCAGCCCATGATTCGGTGTCCTCGACGGGAAGCAGTCTCATGGCAAGGTAGGTCTTAGGTATCATCGCACCAGGGTATAACGACGGGGTGCTGTTCGTAAGAGTTAGCCTGCCTAGCCTTACTGCCTACTGAGTTCAGGTAATACCATGTAGAGAATTAGCTTGCAATGCAGTGTCTCCTACCCAAGAATATACTATTACATGTAGTGCACGCTGAACTGGTCTCGTCCCAACTGGTAACCATTCATGGTCCTATAGAGGTTAGACCGATGATAATAATAGTTATAGTTAAGGCAAGCATCGGAGTCACAAAATTCTCCTTGAGAATTGTGTGATAAGTTAGCAGCGTCCTACAACTAAAGAGGCATAAGCCGGGGCAGATAGTCGACGTCGTTAAATACTGAAGCGAAGCGTATGCATACTTAGGGTACAATGTTAGCACTTCTCCTTTTATATCCCTGCGCTGAGTAAAGCATTCTAGATAACTCAGCTCCCCACTCGGTGGCGTTAAAGAGGCAACTTGGCACCTCTACTTGTTCTCTTCCCTGTCGCTGGTGTATCGCTTTTCCGTCCCTCAGGTTGTGGTTTAACTCGACATAATAGTTAGTATAGATGGCCTACATTCTAATGAATGAAGGGTATCCTACCAGGAGTTTCTTATCGAAAGGCCACGTCGCGTAGGAGTGTATATGCAGAGCCACATTATTCCGTGACAATAATGTATATGTAATCCTTTCACAACCTGGGAACCCGGGTTGAGTTGGATCGATGGGATCCGTATGGAAGCGGAGGGCAACCATCGTAGCGTTTATTTGCAATGCCTTCCCTTCTTGCCCCTAGGCGTAGGTAGGTAGTGCTGACTGCCTAACGACGAAATACGGAATGATAATATACCCCTGCCCACCACATTGGTAGCGAATTCCGTGTTTTCATAGTCGCCAGAGGAACATCAACATGTCATGTCGACGTATGGCCATGTTTACTTATTCTCCCTCAACCGCTTCAGCCTCTCTGGCCAGACACCCATCTTTCCGGGTGACAAGATACCGTTAGGATCCAGTGATTCCTGATCATGTGTTAGATGAGTCATTCGTTGGTTTCATGCTGAGGCGGCAACTTACTTTTAACGTCTCGACCAGGCGACGGTACGCATGGTTATTAAAATCGAATAGCTCTGCATTCATATCTGAGCCGAATATCAGTACAATATGTTCATCTGTCAGATCGCCTGTCAACAACGACTCTTTTTGGCTCACCCATGTGGTTGATGTGTGCTCTGTACTTGGCAAAGCCCCTTCGGCTCCCTTCCTCGAACAGCTTGCGAAAGACTTTATCGACGCTGGCCCGCTGCTCTGGGCTCGTTTTATCGAAGCAGAGCATGGCGACGAAGATAGCATAGCGTTCATGCATAAAGAAGTCACACAGGAGATCAAGTCCTTGAGACGCGCAAATGGCCTTGGCCGCTATCGCCCATTCCAGCACGGTTTTGCCATCTAAGGGCACGATGGGCGAGTACGCCCCGTGCGCTCCGACCGAATCATCGCGGCGGTTATAATAGTTCACCATGGGTATATTCCACATGCTCGGGATTCCCACTCTGATACCGCCGTGCAACGGAGAGACCGCCGTTGCTTCGAGGAGGCCGCCGTCTTTGCCTGTGAACAGGGTCTGCCGAAGCCGCCCAAAAGGGGCGCGCTTTGCCACCACCCTCTGCACTTCATCATACTGAGCCTTGACAACCTGCGTCGGTCCGTAGAGCCCAAATTTCACCGTCCATATGCCAACGTCGAGATCATTTTGCATCTCCTTCAGTCTCCAGTCAGGGATTGGGCCTTCGCCTTGCCACCATTCGGAGTGTTTCCCGAATATCGTAGCCCACTCCGCGATATAGAATACGTAAACCACATGTGGTATAGTGCCGTTACGACGTAGTTCTCCAAAAACATCTACGATCGCCTCGACATGGTCAAACTCGGGCACGTCAAAGGAGCATGCCATATAGGCCTGCGGTTGCGGCGTCAGGTTGATGGCCATCTTGGTGACTATTCCCAAGTTGCTCTGCATGAAGAGTCCGTCGACCGAAGGGCCGAAGGATAGCTTGGTTTTGTGTGCTGACGGCGAAGTCGACATAGAATACTGGCCTGTGCGTACAACATCGCCGTTTGCAAGAATTACTTCCATGTCCGTCACATTCTCGTGATGAACCCCGGTTGGAATAAAGCCGAGGCCGCGGTCGAGAGTCTGCTGGTGTCAAAAATCCCCTGGCTAGTACCCTCCACTGCAGCGAGGAAGGACTCACATTGCCAATGACACTGCCCCATCCTAGCGATGCGACACTCGGCCAGAGCTTGAGTTTTTCCCTCGCGCAGTATTCGTACAGGTCCCCGAACGTGACCCCTGGCTCTACTACAGCATAACCGAACTTCTCGTTCACTTCGAGAATCTTATTCATCCGGTGTAAATCTAGGGCGAAGAACCCGGGGTACCGGGGAGCAGGTCCTCCATATCTACCCACCCAGTCAGTTATTATGTCCCCAGACAACAATAGTAATTTGAACGTGGCTGGTCGACAGTACCCAAAGTTCTTTCCTCGTGAGAAGGTCCACACCGGGATCTTATGCTCGTTTACGACCCTGAGCAGAGCTTGGAGCTCTGGGACCGAGGACGGGCAAGCTGCGGCGCTTGGAACGTTCCTTTCGTGGCCAGACTCGGGGATTTCATAAGGGTCAACGTATTCTTTCAGGTTATCGCCAGTGAAGACGGCGTCTTCTCCTAGAGCCTTTACAATCTGGCTGAGTGCCGTATCGAAATCATCTTGGCTCACATCTGGCGGCAGAACTTGCTCGATCTTGCCGAGAATCGGGTTCGAAAACGCTTCATCGTGAGCTGCCTGGTATAGAGGATTGGCGTATTTAGGAGGCATCTTGTTAGTTAAGAGGCTCGAAATTTATGAACAGTGATGGGTTTACAGATGGTACTACGTATATATATATGTAGGCCGTAATATGCCCAGACAAGGAGGGGGAGAAATCACACCTCTTATGAACAGCCGTACCTTTTATCCTCGGTTTAATAATACCCATCTCTTAGCCCTCTGTGATTCTAGTCCATATGCGGAGACGGCAGCGATGCCCCCCTCCCGCTGCGGGCATTCTATACGGTTAACTTGGAAAGGTATGTTCACTTTCTCCAACACAGGTCGGCAGTTGTAATAAGGACACGGCATCAAATGCGCATCCCTCGGATCCCTCCAGGAGGGTTTGCAGAGGCCCCTAGAAAACACCGGATCTTCCAGTTGGGCAGACTGGCATTTATTTTTCGCCCTCGATCCGGGGACCATTCCCCGTTCAACGTACTGAACTTGAATTACAGAAACTATCAATAGGCGAAGCCGCGATCTGTAATTTTCAATGAGCCGAGCTACCAATGCATTTCATATCTAGCTACAACCTCCGTGATCCTCTCCCCCAGGCTCCATTTCCACTCCGTACCCAACTCCTTTGCCGTCGAAGACGCTCTGTGATATTCTCTCGGATAGTGCTCATAAGCTGTTCGCTTGCGGCGTTGCCCTAATGTAACGTATGAAGTCTCCCCGAGCTCTCTCCGCAGCCTGCAGAATGACTCGTATTGAAGCGTTTAGGACGTTCGGTCGTGTCAAGATATAGTAGAGTCCGGTGAATATCAAAATGATCAAAATGAAGAGTGGTAGAGACAGCAAAACGATTCCCGACCGCCGATCATTTCTCTCTGCAAGACTTGCTGCTCGACAATAGATGCCGAACGAAATCCATAAGATGGCGATAACCCAGCAACGGAGCAAGTAGTAGGCAATGTCTCTCGCCCAATAAACCAGCAAGATGGCAAGGATGGGCGCGGCGAGCGTCAGAGTGATCACCAAGAAGTGCGTGGTCAGTGTCCGGAGTGCGAGGTAACAAGTCGAGGCTGCCCGGGCCAACAGGTCGATGAGCCCATTTGTTTGGGTGGAAAACCGATGGATATGCGCGTCTAAGGATTCTCCCTCGGCTAAGCCTGGCGGTGGGTATATCAACCCCTGGAAGTAGACGACCAAACAGTCGGAGATATCGATGATAGTCTGGCCCTCAAGCTCTGTTTCGTCATTGTCCTCTGGATATCTGCCGTACAAGTGCAGCCCGAGAGTGCCTTTCCCCTTATTCTCTGGCTTGTAACGAGTGATCTTGGGAAACACGGCGAACTTGACCCTAGCGCCTCGGATGCGATGATACTCCATGACACTACGCTCTTCGTCGTTAGAGGGCACGTCGATCTGTCCTGGAGGGGCATTCCCTCCGGCGTCCCGCGCTCTCATAGCAATTTCAACTTTCGCCCGCCACTCCTGATCGAGAACCTCGTAGAAATCCTTGGATTCGCGATAGAGTTCCATGTCGGATTGTTTCTCGATGGCATAGTCCATGCGAGCGCCGGGCGAAGCGGACAAGATATGGAAGATGGAAGGCGACACGGCCATGCAGACCTGGATCATACCAGCGTACGAGATTATGTTGTGGAGTTCCTGTAAGAATAGCTCCGGAGTGTACAGCTCCCTCCGAGGCCAGATCTCCTTGAACACGTTGAGCAGCGGCAAGAAGATCTTCATCGTCTTAGCCGTCAGCTCGTCGACTGCAGGCCAGAAGTTTCCCGGCAGTAAGCCTGCTTCGACACCGTACCGGGCGGTGATAGCGCGAACGGCTTTGCGATGATACCCTTCATAACCAAGTTAGCGGAGAGACCCTCGGCGATATATCTCGTAGTCTGACGCCTAACCTTCTTTTTGCAACCACCGGTCATCGAGCCTTTCCAACTCCTCTCGCGTGGCCTGGTCCGCGCCGAAGAGAAGCTCATTAAATATCTTCTTTTCCATGACCTGTGCCAGGATTCCCACTATGAGCCATCTCCGCTGCGTAGGGTGGTTCAATATGATAGGCCATCCGCCGCGGGTTTGATCCTCGTGGGCGACGAGGCGGGCGTACTGGATGAATTGGTCGGTCAGGGGCGACGCCCATATATCGTCGCCCGCTATTCTAGTTAGATCCACCTTGCTGTCGAACCATTTTTTTACAAACTTGACCGTCCTAGTGTATAAATTGCCATAATGCTTCTTGAAGAAGTCGTCGTCGTAGTCGGCGGGATGCGACTCCTGTTGTAAAAGAGCTGCGAAGTCGATGTGCGCGGGACGGTTGTCCAGTGCAAAGTCATCCAAGTTAAATGAGAAGCTCCCTCGAGTTCTTCTCTCGGCTCTTCCTTCGCCTTGTGCTTCACCATCTCCATAATCACTGTCATCGTCGTCTTCCGATTCTTCGTCCCGATCCGCGACGTCCCTAGGTGCGGCTTTTGCGATCTGGCGGATCGTCCATTCCCTCCAGGTTCCTCGTTTCTTAGATGCTCTGATATATGGCTGGAACGGACCCCATTTTGCGTCGGGATCTCCGGCTACGGTGTGGTAAACAAGCTCCAGAATTGACTTGGGATACCGCGTTGGCCCTGCCGGTTCGTAGGCGATGGGTTCTGCTTCCAGGTCGGTATCCCGGTCGTCGATGCCTATGACAACTATCAGTTATCAACAGCCCAAAAAGAGAGTCAGGAGTGATCAAGGGGAGATACCTCTAGAACCCGATTCGGCCCCGGTTCCCGAAACCGCAGCCATTGGATTTGTGGACACGATCACTTCGAAGCTGTGTTGCTCAATCCTCGGGATGAAGTTGTACACAAGAAGCTTGCGTGATAATGGTTAATCACGGCTTCAAGATCGTTGAGAGGATGATAAATGGCGCCAGCTGAAAGAGAAGTAAAAACTAAAACGCTTCTAGAAATTTCATCAACTGGACAAAGAAAGCCCCCAATCCCACAGTTGCATAAACGAAACGAGAATTATGAGGAGGTGATCATCGGATGCTTCCGTATCGCTCTCGCTGGTTTCGTTTGCGCCGTTGAAAGGGTACATTCCAGGGTTGAAAGCATCCGAGAAACAGCCTTCATTTCACGACAGAGACTTTGTAGCACTCAGGCATCTGTATGTTTCACTCTCTTCTGCCATTCTACAATAATACAACAAAAGAAGGAAAAAAGCGTCATAGACATGTACCCATAAACTAGGCAGGCTTTGCGCGAGACTAGACTAAGCTTCGAACCACAATCAATATTATTCAGTCTCCGGTCTCCTTTACACCCACGAGTCATTTATTATTTCTGAGAATTGCGCCGTAATGGCGTAATTTTCAGGTATCATACAACTTCATTGTCTCCCCCGCATAATATTCCACGGTGAATCTATGGTGCGGGGTAGTATTGGGGGTTCTGTCCCGGTGTCTGGTAGATCTGCTGGCCAGGATTCACCTGTTGGGGAGGATAATGAAGGCTACCAGCTTGCTGAGCCGGCGCCGGAGACGACGATAGGGTCGGATGGAAGGCGGGCTGGGTAGGAGGGGGTTCGTTCGCAGCGACGAATTGTGGCGGGTAACCCTGGGCGGCCTGAGGCTGCATCTGGATTTTCTCCAGGTCGATAGGCATAGCCCTGAGCCCAGCCCCTCTATGACGATGCAGCATGACGCCGTGGATGGAAAGCGAGACTATGTAAAGAAGACTAGATCGTGTTAGCATTCACGAGGTGTCCCGGGCCGAGTCCCAGTAGCTTACAATTCGACACCACCCAGGCCGGCGGCGGCGGCCAGGCAAGCCGAATACACTGTATACACGAGCTCGATATCGGAATAGTAGTAAATATAGTTGGACAAGAGGGAAAACAGGGTAGCGACTTGAGAAGCCAGGACAGCGAAGGATATTAACCAGAAGATGACGAGGAAAATATCCAAGCCGAGGATGGCCCAGTAGTTGAAGGCCTTGGGGGGGCCGAAATGCGCGACCAAGCAGTAGATAGTTGAGATGAGGGTTACAATTGCCTAGAGACGATCGCGTGAGTGCCGCCATCCGTCCAACGAGCTCCGTGGGAGTTCTCGTACCGTAAACAACATGAGGGCATCCCCAGCAAACACGAGGGCGGATACGCCAAAAGCGCTGAGTCCGAGACAAATTATGCCTATGATCAGCTGGACTATTCGAATAGCAATAAACCCTTTGGGGTAAAGAGGAATGTGCTCTTTCCCTGGGGCTCTCTCGCTGGAGTATAGTGCCATCCTGTGTGATTAGGAGGTTGATGGCTCGATGGGGAGTGTATGACAGAATAGTGCCCCGTCGCGACCAGATGGAAGAAATCACTAGAAACCCACTAGAGAGGAACGAAGAGGGTAGAAGGGCGGCAGGTGTTTAAATCTGGCGAGGGGTCGGGGAGACGCTTCTCCTATATGTATAGAAGCGCGGTCCCTGCGGAGTGCGTAGCAAACAGACAAGAGCAGGAGGCAGATTTCATCGATATATCAATATGCCTTACCAGGATGTCTATACATACCTTATCTGCCTACCTTTCAAGCTCACTTAAAGCCACTTGTGGATCTGACGGAGCCCCGGCAGAGCGAACTCGGGCGTCTTGCAGAGGCAGAGGAAGGGGAGAACCAGGTTTACCGGGACCACCTTGATCCTCAAGTGAGACGACGGACAGCCTATCAATACCAAGCCCAACACGAACTTGCGTCGACTTAACCACTTACTTCTACGGCTGAAACTCTTGCATTGGGGGGCGCGGGCACATATTACAGATTATCCCTGCCAGCTGAAGGACATCCCCCCCCCCTCCCCAGCTGATTTTCCTATCGTCTTCTGCTATACACACACGTCGGTAGGCTGTGGGTGTAATAGATCACGACCAGATCATTTGCCACGTTTCCACTCAGACCGGTGAGGTGATTGTTCCCGAGAGTGACGCCCCATCAGTGCGACACAGCACGGAGCGCCGCGACTTTTTCGACCTGACGACTTCTCAGGCCAACTTCACAGCTTGGGCTGGCTGTGGCGCGGCCCGCTGCTGAACGTGAGGAATCCCGTTATTTCTCCCAGCCCGAACGCGTAGACCGCGACATCCTGCCGCCGCCCTACTACGCAGGTACCTACATCTAGGTACGTGCAACGACTGATGCTCCTCCACCACATGCTCGACGCTGGATGGATTTCACCGTGTCGGTGCTGTTTCACGCGCACCACAGGCGCCTCCTGTTTACCGTTTGTGTCCAATCACATAGGCAGGTAGTAGGTATATACTAATTGACACATAGAGAGGGGTTACCCGAAGCCTGAATGCCATGCCACGAGTATTCTGGGGCTCTAGACCGGCTACATGACCTAAGGGCTCCTTTCCTATCAATACACGTCTAGATATCGGCTTGGACGTGTGCTAGGTAGACAGGCAATAATAGAGGCTTATATTATACCTACCCATACTCCGCACTACGAATTAGCTCACCCAGGAAATCTAGCTGACTCAAGTAAGATATCTTCTATTGACCTGTCCGGTGGGATCGAAAAAAAAAATGTGGCTTAAGCGCTTCGCCCGCGCCGTCGAATTTTAAAAAGCTTGGCACGGATGGAGATGGTTGCTGTTATACATAGGTAAGACGGGCGAAAAGATGCCCTGGAAGGCGTTGTGATCAATATTCGTCTCTCGAAATCCACCTACATTATCGAGCCGGTTTTGACTGGCTGGTGGCTGGCGGTGATTCCCCAGTGAGAATCTCGAGGCAGGCCTGGAACGGAAGCAGGCTGTCAATCGTTGCCCTCCTCTTCCCATCCCCTTCTACCTACATGAAGCCCCCCTCGACGTGCGACGTCTCTCCTTCGTCCCATCAGATGTGCTGCCATGTAGTAACGCTAGCGCCATTGGCAAAGAATAGCCAGTCCCCTACATTAGGATGAGAGCCTCCCCCCATGCCACACAAACCCAGCGCCTTCGTGGTACTGCAGGCTACGAGATGAGACTCGTCGCCATAGGTACGTACGGAATATCCTTGTTGGCGTGTACAAGAACGCTGCGGTGCTGTCGTGAAGTGGCAAGGAAAAAAGCACAGGCACTGCCTAATACATTGTACCTCCTCCTTCATCGGCCATCTCAGATCCTCGTAAATGCACATACCTATCACTTTCTCCTATTTCTTCTTTTTCTTTTTGGGCCCAAAGCTCCTTTTGGAAACAATCTCGACGCCCGCAGAGCAGGCGGGCGCTCGGGTAGGAACGGTTGGTCAATAATAAGCCAATCTAGGGCGTATGAGCCGGGTCTTGCCCACGCGATGAGTGGCGGACAATCACCCCGTAGAGGATCGGTGGAGGATCGATGCATCTAGCAATGGAGACAGGAAAACTACGCACAGCATATTAGGAAGTAGAGGACCGAACTTGATTTGAACCCCTGTCTCCGCTTTGTCTCTCCTCGGAAAGGAGTGAGTGAGCATCGGATATCAAGATACCCTATCTGGTGGGCATGGGCCGAGACTCTCCGTCGTGAACATACCTACTGAGCCTAACCACTCCACACAGGCTATCTCCAATCCGCTACCCCATGGCATGTGATGTGTAGCATACACGTGCCGTGCATTCTCTTTGTAAGTACCGTACCCTCCTGTGGGCACCGGCGAATGATGACCAACGAGGCCGGGAGAGCCTCATTCCACTGCTAGGGACGTTTAGCCGGAATCAGAATCTTGAAACTACAAGAACTAGTTATACTATACCGTCCTTGTTTGACCCGAAGGCAGAAGCAGAAACACCCGACCAGATATAGTCTTGTTAAGGCCAGTATGATACCTAATCAATAACAGAGAAGCGTCACCCCCGCAAACCTTCACGCTACACCGTGACCTACGAAACAAAGGACCCACAGCGTTAGCGACGGCAGTAAATATTGCCCCTCTAATAGTAAAGATCCTATGGCTAAGGCGTTTAGCCCATTGCTACTGTCCGTCTTGTCCTTAATCCCCCCCTGCCTATCCGGGACAAGGCACACCTGCTCCTCACCATCTCGAAATCTCCACGTAAGCGGGGGGCCGGAATCCATATGCTAGGAGAAATTGTGGACGAATTTGCGGAAGAGCGCCTATGATGGTGCGCCAGACCTCATCTGAAAGCTAGAAGAGTGTAAAAAACAAATTGACTAAGGAGGGAGCGATGGGGAGGAAGACCCGGGTCTGGTTCATCTCACTTTCAGTTGACAACAAGTCTACACGTCTCAATGTCCGGACTATACACGTGAAACTCGAGGCTTCCCCCAACCGGCCCAGCCGAGCTCAAACTCCGGGTTACAGCGCCGGACAGGTCGCAAAGCGGGACCTGTTTGGGGGCCCCTTCGACGACCTGGCAGCCCTCGAAGTTTCGTCCTCCGCGCTGACGACAACCCGGCAACGGAACCCCGGAAACCGCAACCTGCACCACCTGCCGCCAGGGAGCTCCATATGCCCAGCAAACTTCTGGCGCTCCCGAGCCCACAAGGCCGGGCGTCGGCCCGGAGACGAGAGAAGGGGGGGGAAGATGCCCGACGGCGACGACCCCGCGCCCGAAGGGGGGCCGGGACCGCCGCCCCGCTGGTCCGAGGTCGAGGACGGGATCCTGAAGGAAGCCGTGGCGCGGCACGGCGTGTGCCGCTGGAGCGAGGTCGCGAAGCTGATCTGGACCAAGGACGCGGGCGACGCGGACGCAGCGCCGGGACAGCGCGAGGGCGAGCCGGGGTGCCGTCTCGGCGAGCGGGTCGCCCCCGGCCCCCCCGCGACAGGGCGCATATTTCCCGCTCCCGTCTGCGGCGCCTCCCCTCCGCCAACCGCAACCGGAGCAGGGGCCGGCATATGGAGCTACCTCGCGCCTCACCCTCTGATGCCAGGACGGGCCCGCGGCTAGAGGTCGCGGCCGGGCGGCTCCAGATACGGATCTCCAGAGGGTGTCTCTTTGCACACGACGAGTGGGTCGAGCGACCGACACGGTCCCACGTAAATACCTTGACCCTCACCTCATGGTAGAAGAGGACGAGACGGAGGTATAAAGGCGTTGTTAGCGGTAGCGCTGAGAAACGACGGCGGCTCGGGTGAACGAATCCGTAACTAGGGGAGAAAGCGGCCTTCCTCCGCCTTTTCTAATGAAACGCGCCATCCAGATCCGCGCTCCACAGGAACCCGCCCGGACTCAGAACCAGCAGTAACACCCAAGTGGCAAGGGAGCCAGGGGCGATATGGGAGGCGGAGACCCAACGTTATCTGGTGCCTGGCTAGGCAGAGCTCACGCTATCCGCATCACTCAGCGACGCAGCATCAGTTCTCGCGGCAGATTGACCTAAAAGATGCGGAGACGTTATCTTTGGCCAATTAGCCCAGTGCCTTCGACAACCATAGCCTCTGTAGCGGTGCTAGATGTCTAAGTACAAAAATGGTGTTTCTTCAGTTCTCATCCGCGATCATCACCTCTTCACATGCAGTTTCTCCCTCCTGAGTCACTCATACCACGAGTCGCTTCTAGAAAGGGGGTGGTGGGAGGGGGGGCTTCTCCGAGCTCATTAACAAAAACCCATAAAGCCACCGCTGCATGCAATCAGTCGGCTATCATATTCTGTCCCCCCCCCCTTCTTCCCGTTCCCCAAACCAATGTGCTATTGCCTGTCTATTGTAACGTAAATAAGGCGTAAACGTAATAAAGTGAAATAAAGAAAGCGACATGAGCACCATAATCCTCCCGGTATAGCCATCTCTCCCCAGGAGACTTGTATCGGGGCCAGCGTATTTAGAAAGGGGCGAAGAACGCAAAGAAGAGAAATCATCTATGGGGATGGGTATGTTCTAGATTTACCTTCCAAGCTTGTTGGTGTATGAACTCGAGGCAGGCTGAATCGTTTCGAGTTACGCCACCTAACCCGTCGGGGGCTTTACGAGTGAAGCTGAACCAGACGGTTCCGCGACACGCGATGAAGTGGAAAGAGTCCATGGGGTATCTGCTTGAGGGCTACTTGAAAGAAACGCGAGAATAGAAAATACGGGTGCGCTCTGTTCTGGATCTCGGGGCCAACAACACATGGTGGTGGCAGCCCCGGCCTTCGTTGTTTCGAGCCCGTTGTTCATGAGAAATCATCTGCCGTTGGCGACATAACTAGGCGATCGACACGTTTCACCAACTCCTTAACCTCGCGAACGATCTCGAAGGCGATAGGTGGTAATGTCTGAGTCCACATTCGCCACTCCCGGTCAGATTCGCCAAGGCCACGGGCGGACAGATCTTTGCCCTGGTCACCGGCTTCGAGTATGCGTTCGCGACACGAAGATAGACGTTCAACCATGCCGCCAGGGTTGCCACACGACTCAGTCTCCTCAACCACCCTCTCCACGATGTCGGCAATCGAGGTTATCTGCTCGTTGATCTGTTGGATGGGCGCATCGCTGCGAATAGAACTGACCAGACCTTGGATGGTCTGGACCATGATCTCGGTCTGGTCTTCGAGATAGATCTTCAGGTCTTCGTTCTTCGTGTCTGGTCGGCGGACGCCGTTGGGCGCGTTTGGTGAATTTTTCCCGGGGCCCAAGTATGCCATCCCGTTCATGCCACCATTTCGAGACATCAACCCTCTCGAGTTATACTGCTCGCTGGATTCCCTCGGCGAACTGACGGGACTGTATGCGGAAGAGTTCGCGCTGTCGCGTATCCCAGCGCGGAGGCCCTGAAATGTCGGAGGCGGTACTAGGGGGGAGTCGTGCGATCTCAAGTACGCGTCGGGCTGCGTAGTCGTAGTACGGTTCGAAAAGAACCCGGTCGACTCCACTGGAGTAACCACGCCGTCATCCTCGTCTTCCAACTCGCCAGCCGGCGTGGCACGTATCTTGACAGTCCGGAGTAGTTCTACTAGGGTAGCAACGAGATGAGAGGCTGCTGCGTCAAGGAGAGAAACGGGGGAAAGCCCAGCTGCTGAGGCAAAGTTCTTCGAGGCGGTAATTAGATTGTTGGCAGTGGCGGATACTCGACTCTTCAGCTTCTGGTATTGCTGAACCAGCTCCCCATCATTTGGTTGAGACTCGTCGATGTCTTTCGTGATACGCCGGACGCTCGCCACAACCGACTTCATCGAATCAATAACCCTGTCGGGATCTTCACTTCGTGCCCTCCGCAACAATTCGTCGATGGCGATTTGGAACTTGGTAACGTGCACGTCTCTAACGAGGCCGCTTTCTTCTGCAAAGCCCTTCTCTCGAACATACTTAGCCGCATCATGATCAGTTGGCAGGCCCATCGACGAGGCGCGCATATTGCGAAGCTGGGCCTTCGTGCGGGTGTACCGACTTCGCCAATCTCGAACCTCCTGCTCCAGACGTTCGACGGTCTTCTCCAGGTCGGCTTGCCTCTCCCAAGAGGGGCCGTGTTGCTGAGAGAGCACCTTCATCTCTTCGAGGAATTGTCGAGCTTCGTGCCGAACGCTCTCCGTAACCTGTCGCTGGTCCTCTAGCGCCATGCGCAGCTCCTCGTTCTCCCTCACGAGATCGGGATCCCCGCCTCCACTCCCGCTACTTTTCCGGGCATCTTCAATCTCCTCTCGTAGCTTCCGTGTCTCAGCGGCGTGGTCATCTCTCATACGGTCAAGCTCGTCCCGCAATGTGTTGTTCAAATTTTGCGCTTCCGTCAGCTTATCCTCCAGATCTGTCCGCAGATCTTCCCACTCTTTCTTTTCTAGGTTCGAAGCGGTAGTACGCGATCGTTCGCCGTCCAGCACTTGATTTAGCTCGTCGTCCTTCTTCTTCAGCTGGTTTTCCATGTTATCTAGCTTCTCTCGCAACTCGCGCACTTGGGCTTGGTAATCATCGATGAGCTTCTTATCCATCTAGGAGAGGCATTAGTAGTCGCAACATCATCACACCCAGCCAGAAACTTACTTCGGACACACCAGCACTAGCGCCGGTATTCCTCTTACTCTCTCGGTTGACCGACTGTAGAGCATCGTTCTCCTCATCATTCGACCCGATACCGTCGTCGTCTTCCTCGAGCATTGTGCTCTTGTTGGGGACGATGGTATTGCTTTGAAATTGTTTTGGAAGGGGCCGATCGAAGTTGCCATTTCCCAGGCCCGGCGATGGAGGCACGGGATATTCGCCGTTAGCCCTGGCGACCGCCGAGCGAATCGAACTAGCATCCGATGGTCTTCGCATTCCGCCTAGCCCTCGAGGACCCATGCCGCCGATTGGCGTGCCGGCCCGGCTCGAAGGCGTTCCTGGGTTGCTCATTCGGGGGACCTCGCCGGCGATAAAGCGGGGAATGCGCCTTTCCGACTCGCAGAAAACATCCGTAGCTAGATCTCGGAATCTCGGGGGGACGAGCGTCGACAGCTTCTGGCGAGCCTGGTTGCGTTTCGGGTGGAACGTATCTTCTGGTAGTAGGTAGGCGGGTGGGCCGACATTGGGCGGCGCATTGGGTGGTCTTCGACTATAGGCCTGACGTCGTAGTAATTCATCGTACACATCGGTTGATAACTCAAGAAATTGAACCGAGGATAGGCGCAGCAACTTGTCGCGTGCTTTGTTAGGAGGGGGGTTTGCCCTGCCGTCCTTCGACGTCGAGGCCAGGTATCTTCTCAGAGCAAGATAGTGTTCGCCTAAGATCGCCTCGGAATCCTCGCGGATACTCCTCCCGCTTTCGCTTCTCGCGTAGGTACTAGAGCGGCCGACCGAGGGCGGCGGCGAAGGGGCGCCGACACTCCCGGGGCCGGGTGGGAAGCCATTCATGTTCCCGTTGGAGCTGCTCGAGTCAGGCGGCGAGACTGGACCGCGACCGTTCGGATATGGGCCACCGCTGTCGGGATTCTGGTATCTGGAGATGCCCGACCACTCGCTGCCAGCGCCTACTGAGACAGGCGAAAGCGGCGCATTTCGAGTATTCATGGTAGTTGAGGCGGGAGGGAAAATCACGACGAAAGGTCGGCCGTTCTACAACCCCAAAATAATATAAAGGAGGGTCGAGAAGGATCTAAGAGTTGCGCGCGCCACACGTCAGGGGTGATGGTGGAAGGAATAGAGACAGTTGTAGACGTCTTAAGACTCGACTCGGCGTAGTATAGCCAATCCCGACTCAACACAACCAGTGCCCCCTTTCTTCTTTGCCAGACTCGGGTCCAATAAAAGATAACGGGCGTCAAAAGTCGGCAAAATCCTACAAGCGTTTCCCACCCAAAATATACGGCTGGCTACTTGAACCGAGACAAGATAGGGCAACTCTGCGGTAGCTGATTCCAAGGTGTGAATGAAGGCGTGTCATCCGGGGGATTTTCTCTCCCTCCTACTCTCTGCCGATTCCCTTGAGATGGCAGATGGTCGCCGTCGACGGCGATAGGATGTATTACGGGAGAATAAGACCGGGAGTGAGTGCGACAATCAATATAGCGCACTTCTGCCACAAGTCCTCAGGTTAATAGGAATTATGGTGGCGGCTATACCCGCGCACGAAGGTAGAATTAGAAATATACAATAAAGGATTGAAGTGAAGGGTGAAAGAGGTCCTAATACAGGGAGAGGGGGAGGGAAAGAAGGGCAGGGTGGTTAAGAAGGGAGGAAGGGAAGAGAGAGGTGCTGATGGTGGCTGGTCACGTCTCACGTTCTCGGCGGGGATGAAGGGTTGCCAGGAGGATTCCTGCAGGTACAGCACACGCAACAGATGGACACAAAACTACCTCACAACTCCCAAGGTTGCTGGACGTGTGTGTGGGTGTGGGTGTGTGTGTGTGTGTGTGTGTGTGTGTGTGTGTGTGTGTAGGGTGTGGTGTCTTATGTGGAAGTGGGAGCAGGAGACGGAGACGGAGCGGGAGTCTTCTTGGTGAGAGATTTGGACTCCAGTATCGAAAATTGGTAGAGAGCCTTGAAATCTTGTGGTGGTACGTGAAGCAGGGCCGGACAAGGGAGGGAAGAAACCCGCGCCGGCCCAGTTGGGAAAGGGGGAAATCCACCGAACAGGGGGGGATTCGAGGTCGTTGCATGCGCGTGTCTGGGAAGTATTTAGTATGTACATGGCCGACTTGGATTAGTGAGCCGAATACTCGCAGCTACTCTTGATAGGTTACGTATACCACCCATCCACCCACCCACCTGCTACCTAGTATGCAAATACATATTAGTACCCGTACCTGCCTAGGTAGGTACCTAACCTAATCACCGTAGGTACTAAGCACTCCTACCGGAGGAGGCGCCCACCTATGTAACACGCTGGCAATGATGATGCACATGCATGTGCCCAAGGTACCTTGCGTATTATCTACTTCACTAGGGAGGGTACCACGTAAGTAACCTACCTCTATCTGTATTTAAACCCATCCCGACACACACATAAAACAGCACTGCACAAGCACAATTCGATGGCCTGAGATCCCTTCCGGCATGCATCTTTACATTCCACGCTGCTACGTAAGCTGATGTCTGTTATTTGACCTTGATCCGCCTGCCCATATGTAGATAGGTATAGGTTTCGCGAAACCTTTGCAAACGTGACTCGTGTGGGCTAACCTTTTGCGACTACGCACCTGGGCATGCAGGACGGGCCTATCCACCCCGTCGAGACGGTCCCGTCATTTCTACTACGCCCTCTTATCCCTCCCACTATCCCAAGACTGTAAACTGTTTAAGACCTAGCATGTGGAGGGAGGAAGGGCGAAGGCGCGTAAGTAGTTGCTAGCCTACCTTCACCCCGTTCAAGTTTCTACGAGGACATGGTGTTCTACCTTAGGTACCTAACGAAGGATCTGGTACTACGTTAGTATGTCAGTTTGTACTTCTATATATGGGCTGTCGATCGTTGTAGATGTATATGCAGACTCAACAATCGGTTCGAGGCAGGTAAGTCGGAGTCGATATCCGCTATTAATGCGCAGCCATTAGGCGCCGCTTCGTCAAAAACAATAACGATGCAACCCGCCTACCTGGGCTTTGAACCGAGCACACGGGTCCTATTTATTATTACCTGTAGCTGTAAGATTAACGATTGGGCGCCTCGTGGACCTGCCTAAGGAGGTCGGGTACATGCCTAGGTGTGAAGGCCATTGTATGTACATACCACCTGTCTTATGCCGCGTAGAACTCCCCAAACCGTCAACAGGTGACGCTGTCGTCTACTCGCATGGCGCGCGCCAGTTTTCGGACTTCAGCAATACCTACGTGGAACGGAAACCATCCGTAACCGTCTGGCAATTGTCCTTTGCGTTCGAGCTGCCTCCGAGCCCTCGTTGCTACCTATTATTGCCTGGATACCGTAGCTGAGGTCTGGTAATTTTGCAACATGCACGTACACTTGTCAAGTCGTTACACTGCCCCCTTTTTTCATTTCGTCATTTCCTACTCGCGCGTCCCTTCTTCTTTCCTTGTTTTTTTTCCCCTTCGCCCTGAATTTTTTTTTTCCTTGCCTCGGGCGACCATTTCTGCCGATACGGGAATCGTTAGACCTGCATGCCTATTATCCTTCCAAGTTCTCTCGACTGGCAGCGCGGGAGAGGAGAGATCGAGATTGGGAGGATCGGCCGTGGAATTCCCCCATCCCGTCAAACCTCCCCCCCTCCCAAATCCCCAATGGGGAGAAGTGGAAGGACGAGGAGGAGCGGGGATGCGGTACATCGCGTTATGTACCGGTTCGTGGGGTCCACCAAGATTTACTCTACGATTTGTCTCCGTTCCGTCAGCTAAAGCAGGAATAAGTCGGGTACCGCATATTACCTCTGTAAATTATGTACATACCTACAGGCACGCCGCATATGCCCGTCTCCCATACGGTGTGCCAGTGGCATGAGGAGGTCGGCAATGCGATGTTGACATTCACAATCTTGCGTCCACATACATGACATCCTGACATGCCTACCTATCCAGATATACCTATTCGACATCCGTTAGGACGCCGGGGAGGTCATATATGTACACTAGGCGCCTAGGAATCGCGTCGGCACATGCTCGCAGACCGAGCTCTGGTTCTCTATTGGCCTTTCGGATCCAACAAGGCTCTCCGGCGTTGCCCAGCTCGCCTCGCGCGCTTCGTGCGCGCACGTGCACGTATTATGCCTGCCTACCTACAGACACGTGTACTACGCAGTAGGTATGGGGCGGCAATCTCATTTTCTCGAGACTCACCTGAAGTCTAGGCTAAGGGCATACTCACATGTACGCATCCCCTGCCTGTCGAGGCAGACACCAAGCGGGCCAATTCGCCCTCAATCCTAGCCGTCTCTGTAGCTCTAATGGCCGGAGGAAATGGGCAGTTGATATTCCCGACTACGAATTCTTACCGAGCAGTGCTCAGGACAATTATCTCGGTTCGGGTTCCTCGGCCATCGCTCGAGCTGCGAAATCCGTATCGCGTCGTACACATGTACGTACATAGGTATGTCCTCCCTCAGTGACTCCTGGAGGCCTGCAAAGCCTCACGAAATTGCTAGAAATTTCGCTTAAGTTTTATCGGATACGCGGGCCAACTGACTGCATGCAGCTGTAGCTACGACATGTCCATGTTGTTATTCCGCGCCTACTTGCTCTTCCTACCGATATGTGAACCACCTGTGTCAAGGATTACTACCTAGGTAGCTGGGTAGGTAGGTAGGTAGGTAGGTAGGTATACGCTGCTCTTACGTGATGTGGACGTTGATAGCAATCATGGGCTATCACCCTCAAGCCCCCTAATTCGGAGATGTCAAGTTAGCAATAGCTGCGAGCCGCTTGCCACTATCAGCTATAGGTATAATTTCCGATAAAAGTCGTCATGGACGTCGTTGAAAATCAGTCTATGACATCCATTCAAGAGATTATCTGAGATTATTTAACCATAGGAGTAATAGGTGGGATATGGGAGGCTGCATCTGGATAGCTTCGAAGATCGGGGGCTATGTACGTGCTAGCTTAGCCCCCGAGAGTCGTTAAGATTCTCTTGATTTCGTAATATCGGGGGTGGCGCTCCGAAGTCTTCACGATGGTGTTATCAAAAAGGGTAGATGCCGCATATAGATTCTTAAGAACCACCACGGCGTGTCCCCGCTCACTACCTACCCATGTAACCCCTTTCAGCTATGTATAATGGGGAGGCCAAGTATCTAGATTGGTGCCGTTTCGCAGATCGTAACTCTAGAGACAGCTTCAACCCTGGTGAGGCACTGGTGCACAATATATAATCTGAGTGTGCGAGACAGACGCTCCTCATCCCTAGAATCCCGGCCAGCGCTAGCTATGGTAGGTAAACTTGGCATTAGGTGTTCGACGATAGCGAATGGCAGAGCCGCATACAATTATTGATCAAGACACGATCTGGTAGGCCGAGAAACGTTGTAAAATCATCTGGTTTAAGCACTATACATGTTAGCACCAAAGGCCGTAGCTGGCCGTCCTCAGCTAGTAATAAATCATTGGCGCTGTGAACGGCGGTGGTAGAAGCGACGGGACAGGGCCGTAGTTAGCTGTATGTAGGTATCTGCCCTATCATGTCCAGATACACTCAATCGAGTCCTCGGCATTCGGAGGCCTACTGCCTCGTGAATGAGCATGTAAGTATATTTAAGAGGCCCAGGTACCTATACGCCGATATATATGTAAATCTCCAACTGTTCATAACAAAATTACCTGATCCCGGGGTATCATTAAAGAAAGAAGCAGACATTCGCCGCAACTGCGCCTCAAAACCATGCCAATGTCCAAGTCGCCGGGAGATTCGGCCACCTCTCCTGCCACTCGCCGATGATTTCGGGTACTCGTTCGTCAAACGAGGCCCGGCTGGCAGCGCTTGCCATATCAAACGCGGCAGATCCCATGGCTTCTCGCTCCTCCCTTGCGACTTTGTTCAGCGAATCAGCGAGGTCGAGGATGCCACGTCCACCGATGGAGGCCTCTTCGTGATTATCCTTGATATCGACGTTGATGACGTGAACGGGCCTGTTGAGGGGAGATCCTCGGTTTAAGAGGTCGTCGATGACCGCATCCCAGCATCGCTCTTCGCAAGTAATAACTACGTCCACCACGCCCCCTTCAGTTCCCTCACTACCGCGGTCCGAAGCGTGCTCAGTCCTAGGAATACCGACCTGCCAATCCTGCCATCGCTCCGGGCCCCATTTGACTTGTCTGTTCCTTCCTAGCATGTTGAGCAGGCCGTTGGCGGTGTAAAGCCTGGGGTCCTTTTCGTGAAGCTCCTTGTACATCGCGTCGTACGAGACCTTGTTGAATTGGTAGACGTTCGGCTGGGTGATCGAGGGACCCGGAAGTCTAACGAGAGAACCGGTGCCGAAAGAAATGACGGGATAATGAGCTTGCGACAACCGGAGATGTGCCTCCATCGATCTTCAAGGGGGTCAGTAAGCACTTGCGTCATCGATGGGGACCAGGGTGAGTCAGGACTGGACGAAACTGTGCGAGAGAGGCCGCACCTATTTTGGTTACTCGCGCAGACCGTACAGAACTTCAGCTTGAAGCCGCCCGGGTCCTCGCGCTCGCCATTCACTGCCGGCGCGGGAGCCGCGGAGGCTTCGCGTGCGGCCTCCATAGGATAGATCGCGCGCCGTCCACTTCGCTACCACGAGTCGGGCTCAGGGATCGTCGACTTCGACACGCTCCCGAATGGTTATCGAGGCCGAAAGAGAGTCGCACTGCTAAGGAGATGTCAACGCGGGCTTACGCAAATTAGAACGAGAGAGCTGGAGAGCAGGCAGAGAAACATTAATGTTTCCTAGAAATTTCAGACAAATGTTGCGTATGGTAATATGTAAGGGTGTCACCATGAAGAGCTCAGACAGCTCCAATATCAATTATCATCATCGTAAAGGCCAAATAGTTTACACGGACTCATCCGCCCGAGGGGTTGACATGCTGCATAGGTACTCACAGTGTAGCAGGGGTGGTGCCGGGATACGCGTATGTTGTTCTGTCTAAGGGCGATGTTGATGATGTCGACGAGAGAACTGTGCGGTGCGACTTGCGATGGGAATTTACGGGGAGTGGAATGGATCCAATCGGCGCATGGCTGGAGGTTTTTTTTTCTTCCGTTCTGACGGTAGTCCGGTCTGTTCTTCCGTGGACTACATAAATGCGCCTACAGCACTGCATTATTCTGATAAATTGGTCGTTGCAGCATAAACCCTATGCCTGTGCGAGTCCTTGCTGTATTGGGTGTTGGTACCTAGATGTGGTACAGATCGGCGCCTTAGGCAGGAGGTAGGCAGAGTCGATAGGTACCTACGTACCTGCCTAAGACACCTGACGGCTCCCAGCACAAAGGAGGCGATTCCCATTGGACATTCCCATATGTGGTTCGTGCTACCGGGACAAGATCGGGTAATGGCAATCCCAACACCTGTGCTGACTTGGAACCTCGGCCTACGCAGCCTTGCAAGTCCTCTGTGCAGCAAGATGTTTCCTCGAAACCTTTTCCAAAGCCGCATAAACCCAGCTGAGCCTCATCTACGACGATCATATTTTTCACTTGAAACTGCCATCGTCTTGACAGCCAGACTGCCGTTGTTCTGAGGTCTGACCTTTTTTGCAGGGTCTAGTAGTGTGCACTACAGGTACCTAGATACCTACCTGCTATCCTACAAAAAGGTGTACTCATAGGTACGAGGAGGTAGGACACAGGTACCTGAGAGAGAGAGAGAGAGACAGAGAGAGAGAAAAGGAAGAAAGAAAGAAAGAAAGAGATTGGACAACGCAGGATATGAAACAGACGGCCGTGTGACCCCAACAGTTGCGGTGGGAACTTTGGTGTTGGCCAATGGGGGGGACGAGGTGGTGCGCAGCCAGAAATAGAAACATGGCCCGCATGCCTACATACCTGCGTTCATACCTCCAGGTTGTATAACATACCTACCCATCTTCTCCGGCTTATCATTTGCGTTCGATGCAGCATTCGATCCAACCCGCATTCGACGCCAGTTTCTGCACATACACAGGTAGTGGGAAGGAGGGGGAGGTCAATTGACGCCCATGCGTGTCTACGTACATACCCCCTACCAACAGATAACCTCTGGTATACAGGCACAAGTCGGGACTGGCTGCCCTCCTTAATGATGGGCGTCGCTCTTTCGAAACGTTTCCCGAGGATTACCTATACCGACCTATACAGCTCTACCAGATGGCCCTCTTTCGAGGCGCGTTGGCATCGTATGTTTTTTTCCTTCTCCGTTTGCTGGGCATGGCACGAATCGCATGTAGGTAGGTATGTGTATGTGCATGTATGTACGGTATGTTCATACCACCCCAGGTAACCAACCTAGCTTAGGTTAGGTGTCTCTGACCTACATGGGTTGTATTTTACACGCAGATACGCGCGTGTACCCTCCGAGAGAGGCACGTTACGGTAGGTACCTAGTCCATACTACGTGCCTCTATAGAGCGCGTTGTGTAGCAGCTATTCAGTCCAGAGACAGGCTCGAACAGGCTCTGGCCGGATCCGGATCGATCTGTCTTGCAGTCTCTTGTCCCACCCGGAGACGGGGAATATAGCGTGCTTAATTTTGCAGGGCTCGTGCTGGCTGGCATCGCCGGGTAGACCGCTTCTTTGTGCCCTCACGTCCATGCATGCTAGAGTAAGGGGAATGACGGACTGAGGGATCGGCTGGGAGGGAGTCACGTGTGTGCGGCGCGAGGCCACTTGTTTCGTCGTTTCCTACCGAGTCCCTGCGCCGCTCTCCCGCCGGTTTGTTCAGATTCGTCCACTGCGTCCGCAGGAACTTCGCAAGCGTCTTTCTGCGTGCGTGGCGTGAGCGCGAGGGAGGCATGTCAAGGCGGATGGATACCTAGGCGGACGAACTTCTCCTGCCTGTGCATAGGCCGGTATGTACGTGCCTAATGTAGGTATGTATATACACGCATACACACACGCGGACACGCAGACATACATACGCATGGGGTGAGTGTCACTGCTGCTATCGAACCGAGTGTTACCTGCTTAGCGATCCCTTCTTGTCGAGCTACCGACGAGGCCACCCAGTTTAGCCGAGCACCGGCCTTATAGCTGGGCGTAGAGCCGTATTTAGGTAGGTATATAATTCGATTGGTGTAAGCGGCCGGCCTATGCAGCGAGATTTATCACCAAGAGCGTTCCTCGGAGGGGAGGGGGGTTTACTCGCCTGGCGGGCATGATGCACGACGGCGATTGCCGAATCCACGTTGAGCAACCTGCTTGCTCAAATAGGAGATACCTAGGTAGGCAGTACCAGATGTACCTAGGGGCCACAAAGATAGGTAGGTAGGTACCTACTTACTTCTCTGCCTCTGTGTTTCCTATCGTATACAATCTGCATAGCCCATGTGGTTGTGTAGCAGCCCCCCCCCCCCCCCCCCCGAAAGACGGCGTAGGCGTTGTCGACCACGCCTGTGTCCCCATCATCGCCCGGGTGCTATCCGTCACGCAATAGAGTGAACTGGCTTCCTCGGGTATGCTTCATGCTTCATCCCTTCAGGTCGTAGCGAGGGCCCCGGAGAACGACGTTCAAGTTCAGTTGACTCGAACGTCGGCGCTAAAAGGTGTAGGATGAAGCCTCGTCTTGTGGCCTATCCTATCCTATTCTTAGAACGAGCTTCAGGACAACCGCACGTGATCTGCCACCACGCTGATGAGTGGGAATGGAGCCGTACCGTAACCGCTCTCAGGTATTAGGTAACAAGAGGTGGCAGAGAGTCTGGAGGCTACATTTGGATACACACCGGGAGATGGGCACTTGCGGCCTTGAAATTGGAGGCATTGACGTCGAGAGGGCATTCCGACTTCGATGTAGGGATTCGGGGCTGTGCAGTGAGCGGCTAGGGAAGTTAGGTTGGTGGTGACGAGTACCTAGCAGAAACATAGGTACATACCTAGGTAGGTACCTAATGTAATGCCAGCTGCCAATCGTTCTGCGCAGCGAGCTCCTACACCTACCTAGAACGGCAGTGTCTCTTGAGGGATCGCGAGAGCGTTTAATGACCGTCTTGGGGGAGTAGGTAGGTAGGTATGTAGGCATACCGCCGTCTAATTTACTGCGTAGTAGGGAATCCTTGCCGCTTCCCTCGCCCGTTTCTGTGCCCCGTGGTCTGCCGGAATTCTCGCCCTTGGGTCGTATTATGGCGACCACCTGGCGCATCGCATCACGTCGCCAGTCGCCCTCTGGCCGGAACCGCTGGCGCCATTTGTGGCAAGCCAGTCACCATTCACAACCCCTCAACCTGGCCAGACAGCGAAAAGCCGCTAAAACATGTTTCCAGCCAGTAGAAAGCTGCAGCGACGCGCTTAATCCCAAGCAGCTCGACAACTTTTCAGAACCAACTCAAACGGATAGCTCGACCACATGCCTACGAAGGGAGATTCAGTATTGTGACTACACAACTATACGTTTGCTGTCTACCTGCTCTCATAATACCGACCTTACCTTAGGTACCTACCTACCTCCTGGGTACCTAACGCAGGGGTAGAGATGAGCTAACATAGCGAAGACTACCAAGTAGCGCTGTTAGGAATCGAACCTATCCTTGGTTAAGTAACCTACCTACTGATCTGGTAGGCAGGTACCTAAGGTAGGTACACGCGGCAGCACGTAATAGTCTGGAAGTTCGTATGGGCTAGGGCGGCCTCGGATTCGATCACGGAGGTTGGCACCCTCCCGGGCACCCTAGCCTCAGCTGTGCGTATCGAGGCTGGCAAATTTCTCTTCCTGAGTGAGGTCAGTTATGCTGCACGGATTTGCTGCTTCTCGCTGCAACCGCCGTCCACTTGACCCCTTAGTCATGTACCGCCCTCTCTAGGTACCTTAAGGTAGGTAGGTCGGTTCTCTGCCTAAGGTAGGTACCTACCTACAGGTAGGTTGGCCAAGTCGCATGTATACCTGCGATAGCCGCTCTTCGTACGGCAGAGAGCCGAATGAAGGGAGATTCGATGCCTCCTGCGCTTACCTCTCTATTGCTCCCGGGAGACAGGCGATGGAAGACGCAAGGATAGGCACCCGATAGACCGACCTGCTTAAGGAGGTTAGACATTTAATCGGCAGACGCATCTCCACCGTTGCCTTTTTCCCTCTCTCTTCTTACAGCATAGAAACCCGTCGTTTCTAGGTTAGGTGCTCTCTACCTCGCTGATCGAAACATGCGACTATCGGGCAGGCAACTTGTCGCTGCCTGTCTACACACACCCTGCAGCATCAGTTTGTGCGCCCCTGTGAGGCCAACTAGTGCCTCCTAAAGTACCCGTGCCCTAGGTATGCCCTAGGGTAGGAAGAGGTAACGTACTATAGAAAGGTAGATAAACCTACACCAGCCATAAGGAGGAGGTGGATATTATGAGTATAGTATGTAGGTATACTTAGGAGGGATCGATACCATATGTTAGGTCTTATTACATTAGGTAGGTACCTCGTCTGCCCGACCTAACCTATTTTAGACTGTCTTTTCAACGGGTTTCCCTTGTTCACGGACCCCGATGGAACCGGGGCAACCAACGTCTGCAGTACATGCCTCCTCTGCCTTGCAGCGTACCTCCTCGCCGCGGCCGCAACCGCATCGGTACTTGGCCGTACGGATACCAGGAGTACCCTGTACCTAAGTTCAAGATGTCAACAAGTCGGAAACGTACCTAGGTACAACAATCGAGTTGCCCCTAACCTCGACCTGACCCTTCGACCTTCTCAGCATCGTCTCCACTTGGACTTCGAACTTTCTCATCAGACCTCCACCAGATACCTCCACAACAAAACCTCCACAGACACAGACACAGACACTTGACCCGTATCTGAATGTTGCCCTACAGTGGCCTATCCTACCTGCATAACGCCTCTTTTTTTTCCTTCTTTCTTTCTTTTCTTTCTCTCTCTCTCTCTCTCTCTCTCTTCTCTCTCCCTCTTCTTGCACTACCTTAACCTGCTTGCTTTTTTCCCCCCCTGCCCTCCATCCCTCTCCACAGTCATCTGTCTCGCTAAGGCTCCGCAGGGCTCTCCAGACTTCTAACGAAGAAGCCCGGCTTTCTTCTTCCAACCCTACCCCGACTATCAACCTAGTCTAGGTCTTCTTTACTTGCTTGCGCCAGCGCCTGCAATTCCTTTCGCGACTCTCTTTTTCGACTCTGCTCCTTCTCCCCTTCTGTGGACGCCGACGCTGCGACAACAAATCGCCCCGACAAGATATATTTAATACGGTATCGGGAAGGGCATCGGGGCCCTTGATCTCCCCTCTCCTCGTCTTCTTCCTTCTCCTCCTCGACCCTTAACTATTAGCTGCCGCCTCTTCCCCTCTCTGATCCGGACGCTGGCGGACTCGGCCGACCTCTCTTGAGGAGCGAAGTAGATAGGGTGCCCGGATCTTTGTTGTCGCATCCCCGCGAAGGCGTCTGTTTCTGTTCCGTATAACCTGTGTCAACGCTGCTATCCCTCTCGGCTCACCGGACGCATCAATTCCACATCGCACGCCGTCGCGGAACAACTTGCGGGTCGAGTTTGTCTGTCAGGTGCCAATCGCATCGTGTGTGGATGTCTGGTCTGCTATTGTGCGGCCAGTTCAGGTGTGCCAGAGACCACGCACGTACGCTACGCATCGGATATAAAATCAACACGCAGCTCTTTATTCACTGGGTACGCACTCACATACACACGAAAAAGGCCTAGGTCCCCTTCCCTCGATGTCCGCAATCATGTCTTCCTGCTCATCCCCAGTCACTTCGCCTCCAGGAGCCTCGTCGCACCATCCGTCTACGAACCCGAACCACCCCGCCTTGACACCCTTGATAACGTCACCACCCGCGCGCCGATCAGCCCTGCAGCGACCAATGTCTCACGCCTCCAAAAACCGGCTATCACAGTACTCGACGGGGTCGATCCCGTCGCGGTCGCGGCCCGCTTCGTTCCTCTTCCCGGCCTTCCACTCCAGCCTCTCTTATACCACGGTCCGAGATTTCGCCTACCCGTCCGCGCACCCGATGCACTATGGTCCGCCTCCAGAGCCCTCGAGACCGCCTTCGGGCATGACTACCCCCGCTAGCGAGACTCGACGATTATCGGACCCGCCCATGTCGTGGGAAAGCAAGATGGGCTGGGATTGGACCTCAGATGGCGGGCTCGGCAAGGGCGGCGAGCTACCCCCGATCCGCTTCCACGATGGCCCCCCTTGGAGCGAAGACGAGGATCTGCAAAGTCCTGTAGTGAGCTCACGTCACAGGAAGCACAAGTCGACCTCTGCTGCCATAGGACATCATAAATCCCGGAGCTCGAGGGACGGAGCCGAATCCTCGATGCTGAGCAAAGTGGGTGCCGATAGGGGATATTATGTCGGGACAAGCGGCGACGGAAGTCAGACCTACTACGTGGGTCAGGGTGGGGAAGCGAACGGCCCGGGAGGAGAGTACGTTACGTATCCATCCGGCCAACCTCAGCATGCTGTCAATTCATATCAGAATCCGGACCAGCAGCCGCGGAATTACGCAGAAAATGACGGATATCGATCCGAATCGGATGCTTCGAGCCCTACTTCGTCCCCGAGTTTTCATCCGTACGACGAGTCGAGATATTCAAGAGACTACCAGTTCACGATCACCTCGCCCGATGAGGAAATGCACGGCAAGGCCGTCGCGTTATTCGACTTCGAGAGGGAGAACGAAAACGAGCTCCCGCTAGTTGAGGGCCAAATCATATGGGTATCGTATCGACACGGACAGGGCTGGCTCGTCGCAGAGGACCCCAAAACCCAGGAGAGCGGCTTGGTGCCGGAGGAATACGTCCGGCTACTCCGTGATATCGAGGGCGGGATGGTAAGCCTGACTGGCCAGGACGGCGGCTCGGGGACTCCTAACGACGCTGGTACGCCGACGCAAGCTGAGCCTAGTGGCCAGTCGATACCGTCTCAGACCACGCACGTCTCACAGCCTGGGCATATCTCGACAGGAAGTAACTCGACGAATGGCTACCACCAACCTGTCGTCTCGACATTCTCAACCTCTAGCAAGGATTTGGACCCGTACCCCCAGCATCTGCTCGGACAGCACGGACAGCCGCCCCCGCAAGTGGTACACTATCACGGCCAACGTGGAGGTAGTCAAGCAAACACGCCTACCGGTCTACATTCCTTCAGCGAAGCGCCCCTGGATCTCCGAAGCAGCCAGGATGTCAACCACAATAGCACCACATCCGGGAAGCCGCAAACACTTGAAGTTTTGCCCCACGTGAGAATGAGCCCTCCGGCCGAGGAAATCAGTGTTGAGGGTGAGAACGAGCAGAAATCCCGGGAACGATAGTGTAAATTTTCGACAAGCGGGACCTAGATTTGAAATTTATATCCACGATCGTCGATGCGCGGATTCTAGGTTGGCTCGGGGGGGGCGCCCGACGTCTCTGCGTTATTACCGACAGTACCTGGCCTTCCTATGACCCTTGCTGCCGTGGCCCGTCTCATCAAGAGAGACCGGTTTCGCCCGAACGCATCGTGGGGAACTCGCGCGGGATGCTCTATCGTTTTCCGGTTAGATGATCACGTCCACTGTCCACGAATCGACACCCCACTTGACGTGTGTTGATGGGGAGCCGCTGTGTGATATGTTCATACATGTACATGAATAGGAGCACTGGATCCGTCTGGATTGGCGTTGGATTGGGGCGTCTGGTTGCATGACCTACGTTGAATTGGCTTGTGGGACGCGGGGTGGAGATGAGAGAACGAGCAGCATGCGATCACACGATCAAGCCAATATGAGTATAGGATGAATGAGAGAATTGATGTGACCTAACGTGCCTAATTCTATGAACACGGCCGCGGACGGCAGAGACAGACATGTCTGGGACGACAATACTGGTCGACATCGAGGAAGCGGTATAGGCTCGACTTTTTTAAGATCGAATTGGCCGCGTGATGCAAGTACTGTGTAGAATTTCTCTGCCAACTTTCTCGTGAGCTAGTCTCAAATGGAATCGGTTGATCGTTTGGAGTGCTCCCATCAGGTTTATTCACATCGTTGGTGGCGACGGTATTGAGGTTGTCCGTTCCGTGCCTCGCCTTCACCATCCACGGACACCAAGATTGGTCTGGGTGATTTGTGAGGTTACGGGGTCACGCCGTAGTACGCAAGCGGGCCGTATTATACATTACGTTTCAATAACCGTCGAATTTCTCTTTCCCCTTTTCGGTGTTTGGCAAATGTGAAATTTCTAGAAACGAGCTATCCCGAGTCCTCGTTTATCTCGCGCGGGACCTGCCCTGCCACACGCTAGCCTACAAATGTATACCTATACACGAACGATGCCCAGAACGGCCAATCCGCTCACGAAGCGTGTGCCGCAGCCGGCTGCTCTACAGGCCGACGACGTAGTAGTTGTAGTTGCAGAAGCCGGCGACGGGGAGGTCGGAGGCGTCGACGCGGCTGGTCGCGGAGGCGACGACGGCACCGGAGGCGTCGAGCAGCTCGACGCGCTGCGCGCCAGCCCGCATGCCGGGGACGGAGCCGTGGCGCAGGCCGCCGGCGGCGCTGTCGGCGAGCGGCTGCGTGGCGAGGACCTGGCCGCCGCTGGAGACGCGGACGGTCAGCGCGCCGGCGCCAGCGGGCAGCACGACGGCGTAGTTGACCGCGTCGACGGCCGCGCCCGCGCCCCGCGGCTGCTCCCCGCCGCACGCCCGGGTCGCTGCCCGGTACCACATGGCGCCGGCCAGGGGCGCGCCGCCCCGCGGCCGCATCGCCCCCACGTCCGCGGCGCCCGCGCGGTACGCGTCCGCGAACGACCCGATCAGCGCCTGCCACCCGTCGTGCGGGTTCGCGCCCGAGTCGCCGTACTGCAGGATCTCCTCGGTGAGGCCCTCGGGCCAGCACGGGCCGATGTAGTGGCTCTCGCCGGCGTCGTTCTGCGACGGAAGGGGGGGGAGCAGGGTTAGCTACGGCTTCCGCGGCTGCCAGAGGGGGGGGGGTAGGGGGGGGTGCGCTGACTTACCCAGGTGATAACCTCGGCGAATTCGGGACCGACGGAGAGGATCTGCTGCATGCGCTCGGGCAGGTTCGTCTCGCCAGTGCGGTACCACGAGTCTCCGCAGCAGTGCTTATACTGGAGGGGTGATAGGCCTAGGTCCGAATGCGTCAGCTGCGTCGCCCCGGTGCTGCTGCAGCGCGGGATGGCGGCTTACCCATCATGTACGTCTTGCCGGCGGCGTCGGCGGCCGACTTGACGGCTTCGTCCCGCGCCGAGGACACGTTCACGGGGACGTCCGACGTGTCGGGCCAGGCGGTCTCCCAGCTGAACACGCCGTCGACGGCGTCGCCCCAGCTCTGGAAGAAGGCGGCCGGGTCGCTGTAGTAGCTCCCGTCGGCCTCCGGGTTCGGGAGCAGGTACACGTTGTTGGCGGCCTTGAAATCCCGCCAGACGTCGGGGCCGAGGCCGCCGCCGCTGTAGGACGAGACGACGGGGAGGTTGTTGGGCCCGTAGCGGAGATAGGCCGGGTGGTCCTTGAACTGGCTGTACAGCGCCTGGTGCTGGCTGATGTCGCCGTTGCCGTAGAAGTCGAAGCTGAAGAACAGCTTCAGCGGCGTCCCGCCCGCGATGTCGAAGAGCTGCTGCACCGTGTTCCTCGCCCAATCGGCGCCGGGGCTGCCTACGTTCAGGGCGAAGGCGTCGAACCCGGTGTTTACCGCGCCGTCGATGTCGAGCTGCGCGTGGTTGGTGCTCGGATCGACGGTGCCGACCTACGTGGGTGTTAGCCATCCAGGGCCGGCCGAAATACGGCCGCGTATGGGCCCTCTCGCTCACCATATAATGGGCAAAGACAAGTCTGCTTTCCGCAACATGCTGTGTTAAGAGAGCAGAGCCGGCAAGGAAGATTGCCAGGGCCGTGTTAAGCGTCCCGCGCATGGTGATGGTTAAATGAGAGTGGCTATGAAGAAAGAAAAATAGGGGGGGGAAGGGAAAAAAGCAGAAACTTCGTGATGCTAGAGTAGAAGGTTGATAACTCCAAGTACGCAAGAAGTGAGCTGAGAGGAGAGTGTCGCTTTTTTATATATCTACATATCTCTCTCGATGTATAGAATAACACCTTCACGGCCTGCTAAGTTTTCGAAAGTAATAAAAATAAAGTGCCACGGTATATTCTCGTGATACCGCAGCTCGGCCCGTCTCTACCACATGGCAGATATGGGATATATTGCCAGGGCAGCTATTCTTGGCTATTACCATATGGAAGCCGGTGTCTCGATCGGGCCTTTCCCGCGCGCGAGGATGCGATCCAGTAGCATCGCGCGTGGCATATGGACCGTTAGGGCTCATCCTACTGTGCAGCTAGGTAAGCCTCCCGCCTGTCTCTTGTTATACCTACCTAGGTATATACGCGTAGTATGGAGATGGTCGTGTTGCGATCCAAGAGAGTTGGTAAGCGCTTAACCGAGTCTTGGATGTAGTTAAAGTTGACGTTACAGGAACACGCCCAGAAGAGAAGGAGGAAAAGACGGGTTGTTAACTCTCGATGGCATCTGGGGGGCGAATCCTCCCTACATATGAAACGGACCCGGCTCGGATTCACTGGGCAGCGGGACGTCCCTTTCGCTTCCCCGGTCGGAGGATCCGGAGGAAGAGGCAGATCAGCAGAAGTCAGCATCGGGTCATGCGATGCGGGTATCCATAGATGCGCACATAGCATGTGGCTATGTAGGGATGGGGTCGACGGGGAGGTGAGATAGGCTCTGGAATGCTGGCTAACTCGGACCGCCATCTAAAGAGACTTTGTTGCGAGAAGAAACGATTACCTACAGCTAAGGTGCCTTACTAGGTAGGTAGAGACCTCTCAACGTAGACCTCGGAAAGGCTCTGTCACGAGGCCATTGGACGTTGGGAGCTCGAGTTTCCCATTTGGTAGGTTCCCTCGACATTTAGGGGTAGCATTCCGCGCTGGAGGGGTGGGGTGGAGGGGTGACGGGTACCTACATCCGTCCTTGTTCGCGGGCAGCCCTACAGGTTAGTCGTCTGGTACCAAAGCGGTGCCTCCTCCTCCTCAGGCCGTGGGAAGACGCCCCACCGACCACCACATATAGACCTCTCTTAAATCGCACTACCACACGACAATAGGTCCGTACATTGGCGGATCGCGCAGGGTTCAATTGTTTTTGGGAGTCCGTCCCCGGGCCGTGTGTTGTGCGAACTTCGCGATCGACGGCCGATGGCTTCCGCATCGAGTAGGTAGGTGATAGTTGGATCAACCGAGACGGGCGGGTCATATATAGGATTGTCCCACCTTTGGGGCTATACTCGGTAAGTTGGGTGTTACGGCGTAGGTACAGCCAGCTATTAGAAAGTAGGTAGTCTACACGTATTTATTAGAGACCCGACACGTTCTTAGGAGGCATTTCTTCTTTCCATCCCGTCAGCAAGGTGTAGGTATAGGTAAGTTTCGAATGCGTCGAGCCACTCCGTCTAAACACCACAATTAGATGAAGTATCACGTCTTGTAATCATCCTCTAGATACTGCAGGTACATAATACCCACGGCGTCGGCCAGTCGCTGCGCACTTGACCACAGCGTGTAATGACCTATTTTTAGGGCAGCGATGGCAAGATAACACGATAACATGATAAGCACGATAACCTGATAAGCCTGGATAAGAAGTGAAGTGGAAAAAAAAAGTTCACCTACTGAGTAGGAAAGCAGGCAAGGTACCTATCTACGTAGAAATTTCGAAATCTTCACGCCATTTTTCCCGCCTCCAGCTTCTCGCTCTCTCTCGCATACCGCCTCGGATTGCGCGACGGGTCGGATCGAAGCCGCAACCATGGACATCCATCGCTGCCGCTTCGTGCCGTATCCCCCTTCTGCCATCAATTCCGTCGCCTTTTCCTACCCGACCGTGTCCAAGTCCCAGAAGGGCGCCCCCGTCCGATTAGCGATCGGCCGAGCGAACGGCGACATCGAGATATGGAATCCCCTCCACGGCAGATGGCTCCAGGAGGTCGTCATGCAGGGCGGGAAGGATCGGAGCATCGACGGCCTCGTCTGGGTCGCCGAACCCGACCAGATCCAGCAGGACGGCATCAAGGTGATCGGGAGGTCCAGGCTATTCAGCATCGGCTACACGAGCGCCGTTACCGAGTGGGATCTGGAGAGCGGCCGACCGAGAAAGCACGCGAGCGGCATGCACGGCGATATATGGTGTATAGGCGCCCAACCCCCTGTCGCGCCCGCCAAAAAGGCCCCGACGGCCACTTCGAGCAGCGCCACGCCAGCCAGCCGCAAGCTGGTCGCCGGAACTATAGATGGCAGCCTCGTTCTCTACTCGATCGACAACGACGACCTCCAGTTCAACCGCGTCTTGGCGAGATCCTCTTCTCGGAAGACGAGGATAGTCAGCATCGCCTTCCAGAACCGCAATACTGTCGTCGTCGGCTGCTCCGACAGCGCTATCCGCGTCTACGACATCCGCAACGGCAACATCTTAAGGACCATGACCCTCGGCTCTGACCTTGCCGGTGGCGCTAAGGATATCATCGTCTGGTCTGTCAAGTGCCTTAACGGAGGTGATATCGTCTCGGGCGACTCGACCGGCCAAGTCTGCATCTGGGACGGAAAGACGTACACGCAGACGCAGAGGCTGCAGGCCCACAACCAAGATGTCCTATCCCTCACCACGAGCCCCGACGGCGCCACGATAATGAGCGGCGGCATGGACCGTAAGACCGTCTTGTACAGGAAGACCACTGGTTCATCCGCCAGGTGGAGCAAGGCTTGGCATCGAAGGTATCATAAACACGATGTCAAAACGATGGCGTCGTTCGAGGGAAACGGCCTGAGTGTTGTCGTCTCGGGAGGTTTGTATTTCTTCCCTGGCCCGGGTTGGTTGCCATAGCTGATCTCTGCCGCAAAGGACCGGATGCCTGCCCGATCGTGCTCCCTCTCCGCGAAGCTGGGGTGGAGAACCACCGCACCCTATCGCATCTACCCCAGAACCCCCTGGTGCAGAGCGCGCCGAGGGGTCGGATGATCGTCAGTTGGTGGGACCGGGAGATCCGTATCTGGCGACTAAGAAGGCCGTTGCGGGACTTGGTGGAAGAGCCGGACGAGGAGTCTTCCGTTGGCCAGAATCGAAAGCTACTGGCGCAAATCTTGATAAAGGGCGAGGCGAGTATTACCTCGGCGACGATCAATCGTGACGGGTCCTTGCTCGTGGTGTCGACGGTTTCCAACATCAAAGCATTCTATTTGAAGCCCCGGAGCGTGGCGGGGAAAGATGAACTCAAGATCTCCCAAGTCGACGTACACGAGGACATTTCTAAGCATGGCGCCACACGCGTCCAACTTTCCCCCGATGGGCAATGGCTGTGCGCTATCCAAGGGGCCAGTAGAGTTACCATACTACCGATATTGCAGGGTTCTACTCCGGATAACAAACCAGCGATTCACCCTAAGGCAATTCGGTTATCCCGGATCGAGAGAAAGATACCAAAACATATCGCTCTAGGCGGTCTAGGGCGTTACGATAGAACCATCACTCACATCGCGTTTTCTCCGGATAGCCAGATGTTAGCAGTCGCCGATCTAGCTGGCTACATTGACACCTGGGTGTTGGGTACACCGCAAACCAAGCTAGGGAACGGCGTCGACGGAACCCACGATGATACGTCTGCCGACGATAATTCGTCCGAAAGTGAGGATGAAGGGGAAGACAAAAGCGGCAGAGGGGGCTTGCGATGGACGCGCAACCCGCGGGGGTCCCTCATACCTAAGCTCCAAGCAGCTCCTACCGTTCTATCGTTTTCTGGTCACATACCGATATCAAAACCGTCGACAGGAGAAGACGAGGCCGCTGATGACTACACCCTCCTCACCGTTACCGCCAGGCCTCAAGTGCTAGTTATCCATCCCAGTCTCGGCTCTCTCACACCCTGGTCTAGGCGGAATCAGATTTCACGATTCCCGCATGAATTCCGGAATACCAGAGACCTCGCAAAGGGGGCCCTGTGGTCTGGCAAGAGGGTCTGGCTCTTTGGAAACGCTTTTCTCTTCATGTTGGACCTTGGCCAGGATTTGAAAGAGCCAACAGACACCCACGGCTCTTCTTTAGTAAAACAGGGAACCAAACGAAAGAGGGGGGGCCATAGTGGCGCTGGTAGTAAGATGGACATCGGGGCCATGGGACCCACCAAAGTCTCACGCCAAGCGGGCGGCGGCAAAAGGGCTGAAAACATCCCCCTCGACGGCCCCGTACTCAACCCTACGGACGAGGAAGAAACGAGCCATCCCGCAGGGGAGAGCGAGAGCGAAGACTCGGACGACGCGATGCAAGGCGAGCTGGCCGTCCTACGGGATGCCCAGGGCAAGCTAGCCCTCGAGTCGCAGGCAAGCAAGGGTGTGGCTTTTTGGCATACGTACAAGTACCGATCGATTCTGGGGATTGTCGCCCTCGGCGAAGCAGGAAGGGAAGAGGAGGGGAACTCGAATGGGGCAACCGGAACGGCCCTGAATGGGGGGCGCCCGGAGCCGCTCGAGGTAGCTTTGGTTGAGCGGCCGCTGTGGCAGATCGATATGCCCGACCGGTACTTTGCAGATAAGGAGCAGGAAAGGTGATGCGAGGCTTGTCCGCCTGCGTGTGTATATACGTGTGTTGTTCATAGATAAACTGTTGCTCTACGAGCCTGCTATAATGGACGAGCCGAGGCCGTCAAAAGACAAATTACTTTTCACGCACCAATGGCTGCTTCTACCCACCTTGCAGAGACCGGTTTGTCCTCGGCGGTTTAGGCCTCGCTTCCCGCGACGGTCCGTGCCGGAAACCAACCTATACTATCCTCCTTAGCCTAGTTACCATTTCGGAGAGGCAGTTGTCTATTTTCCCCCAACCGCAGTCTCTCGCCGGCCAGCACCGGTCCCCGCTTCGGAACTAGAATAGGGATACGCCTCTCCTGCGTTCCAGGGAAGCGAGCCGCGCGAGAGGAAAGGCGAGAAATAGCGAGACTTTCCCAACTTGAGGCGTATCCTGACATTATACATCCACACCCTATCAGCCACCCACGGTCCGTCCTTTGTTCTTTAGCTAACAACACTACCACTCACGATACACCATTGCTTTTCGTGTGTTGGGGGAGGGGATGAGACCTCCTCCCCCCCGCCTTTACCCACGCGGTGAGCGGGCAGCATTGTACCGGCCACACGCACCTTGTCCTTCCACCCATCCACCGTCTCCGCCGCGCGCCCTACGACGCGGCCTGCGCTTCGCACACCGATTTGCGAACGGGCCGAATGTCTGCCGCGGCGAGGGGCGGGGCGCCGCAGGCTCTCGCAGGGCGCGAGGCTTGGGGCGTGTCGGCGCGAATGGGGGCAGGCCAGAGCGGCCGATCGACGGCCTGGCGTTGCAGGCAGATAGTACTGTCTCACAGCAGGCGGCGGCCGCGCCCGGGTCCAGCATTGGCGCCTCCTGCTCTTCCCCCCCCTCTCCCCGCCCCCCTACGCTCAGCGCAGCTGGCGACGGCCTGGGCCTCGCGCACCCCGCTCTCGCTGCCGGCATACTTGCCCAGCTTCGAGTGCCGGCGGGATCCCGCAGGCGCCTCTTCGGAGTTACTGCCCGTCGAGACCTGTCTGGTACCTATGTTTTTCTCTCGAGCCCGGGGGGGAAACGCGCGTGGGGGAGGGAGAATAGATTGGTTGTGACGGACTTATCTCTTGCCTCGCATCTCCACATGTCCCCTCTCCGAACTTATCGTCGGGAGAAGGCGCGGAAATTCCTTTCGAAGTGCGTATGGGCGATCTTACGGGCTTATACGCCTTCCCGTCCCAGCAAGACCTTCAGGCACAGATTAGACCTCGTACTCGTTTTTGCCGTCACGGTGGTAACTGACAGAATACACTTTGGAAGGTCAGCTTTGCAATGAGCTGGGCAAGTTCAATTTGGCTGCGTCGAGAGGTGAAGTACCTAAGATGGGGAAGATTGCATAAGGTCCGATAGGGCTCAACGTCTCTCCGACCTATCTGTGTAGGTATATAGGTATGGGACCGCTTGACGATACCGGCGACGCCGACGCAACCCACGCCGAACGTAGTGGCTGGCTGTCTTATCCGAATTCACATATGCTGGCCAATATAGGTAGTGGTAGTGATGAGAACCCCAGGTGAGAAAGATATTTCCGAGGTGTTAAGCAATGTTAGCCCGTCCTGGGCTGGTCGGTCGTTCCGTGTCGATGTGACATTTTGCGATGGGTGGTGGTGAGGATTATCACATACTGCTATCTACAGACTACCCGGGGCCAACGGAATTCGTTCCCATGTTGATGTGGCTGATATGGCATAGAGCTGAAAAGTCAGACGTCAGCATCCGGACAAGTGGTTGGAATAAGATATCACCAAGTCGGGACTTCTCTGTCGCCTGTCTCTGGGGCCAACCACAGCTGAGGTCGAGCTATAGAAGTGGACGAACCCCTCCTTCGCTTAACGGCTAAGCAAGAAGACGGAGATGATAAGTTCGACTGGTACACGCGATAGTAGGAATATTGGCATTCCTCCTACACCAAAAGCTGCCCGTCGTCTGTATATCGGAATATATGAGCCTTCCCGAACAAGCGAACCGGACCTGTCTCGCCGTCAGTCGAGATCGTGGGGAGCGTGGGTTGAGCTTGATAACGGGGCTGCTTGAGCGATTCTCAGCGCGGGGGCGTTATCACACACATATTTATACAGTACATATAAATGGGGAGGTCCTATAATACCGTGATTGCGGCTCGTTAGATGCCGCCATATAAAAGGGCTTGGCGAGATATCGTCTATATCCCACTGAACGAACCGAGTCACCACGATAAGAGGCGATGGGGGGTTTTCAGCATCTAGGTCTAGTAATATTCGAATGGCCCAATATATGGAACGTGCGAGTACTCCGAACCTTGGCCCATTCTTGTTAGGGTGCAGAATCAGGGAGTGCGTTATGGTAAATAGGACCTGCTCGAAAGAACTCTGGGGAGGATCTCATACACCGGAAAAAGAGACAGGAAACGGGGAGAGGTTGCTCTTGCATCAATAATCTGCGATTCCGAGCTAGCTCGTCGAACCCATGCCGCTGTTCGCCGGCACGCGACACGAAGTACGAACAAGCAATATCCACCATCATTGGCTTATTAAGGATATATTTGCAGGGCGGGCATGAGACTTCGTACAATATCGCCTCGTGAAGTCTCACATTGTAGTGCTGTATCGTGGGGGAGTTGAAAGGGGTAGGGGAGGATAGAATCTGTAAGAGTCCCTAAACTATACAGATTTACCTTGTGTCAGCGGGATATAATGCCAATCAAGGGCCTCGGATGTCTAACTCGTCCTTCTAATATCCTCGAAATACCCACTCCTTGCCCGGAGGCATTGAGCACGAGCAACCAGGAGTAGCAGCCAGCCCCCTTCGTTCAACAGCACAGCGAGGAGACGATTTTAGCCAACGTGCTGCAGTGTGAAACTAGAATCGCGTTCCTGCACATTTGGCCTCATCCATGAGATTGGGTTGCAGTCCAAGCCAGGTCAGAGAAAGGAGCAGTGACGGCTCACAGCTACCGGGTGGATTCAAGAAGCCGCCGCATGTAGTGGCAGTCGGGCCATAACACTTCAATCTACACGATGACCCGCCCGCCTGCTTGTCTTACGGCAACGTTTATATGTAGCAATTACCCACGCATTGTAATCCGCTACCCTGCTACCGGACGGGGGCTTCTGATCGCATGCCGTCATTCGAAGATGAACAAGGGTGTGTAGTTGACGACGACAAGTCTCCACTAGACACGCCAGGTAGACCCCATTCGCTTGTGCTGGAGGGGGAGAGACGCGCGTCCCGGTGAGGGACACGCACATTTAGTCCGCCGGTCTAAATTGCAGGTGGCCGCTGCTGCGTTACGCATCCCGTACTGCAGACCTCGTCATCATTTATAGGCTGCTCTTCAATTTCTCGTCAGATGGCGAGGATAAGCTGCGATGCCTAGTTTTGCCCCAGACTACGAGGAGAGTAGAAGACACTATTCATATGTCTGGGGGGCCGGATTACTATGATTTTAGGGGGTTAAGGGGGAAGGGAGGCTTACAACTTAAGAATGCCTACGCATGAAGTCGTCTGAACAATGGCCCCAGCTGCCTCGTTGCGGGAGGGAAGAGGGTTCAACCTAAATGTGTCGGATCATGCCGAGAACGAAACCTTAACGGTGACCACACACATGGGTTTGGGTGTCTATAACATTAGGTATACGGATGGAGGTATGTGTGGTGGGTGGTAGAGTCTCTCCCCGACAACAAATTCGTCCGAACTTCTCCACCGACGACATGGGAGGAAGACCTGGTGCGTTAAGATGTGGATGTCTCCCTATAAAACATATATAATAACAACTACAGCAAGGCGCTCAGGCTCTGTGGTCGTGCGGTGATATTTTCGTGGTAGTCAGCCGCAAACGTCGAACCGAAAGGACTGTCTAGGCCCAGAAATTGGGTGATACGGTAAAGAGCCGAGGCGAGCAACGTAGCATGACCCAGAAGAGAAGTGAGCAGCTTCGCAAGTAATCGGACAGGAGCGGTAGGATTCGAAAGCTCTAAAGGAGTGGCAATCTTTCTATTGGCCGGGACCACGCAATTTTCTCGAAGCGGGAGAAGGACGCGCAAGCAGCCTCGACACCACAAGGGGGTCTACTCATAAGTCGGAGACATACACACCGGGGGGGGCGCATATATGCGCACGTGATTGACGACACTATTGCCTGAGCCGCCGTATCTATGTGGCTCGTCTATCGAGTAATCGCGTATTGCGTCCCTCGGGGAAGAGAGAAGGAGTTGCGAGAGGCGATCAGGGTTGCGTCTGACTCGAGATGTATGTATGATGCATGTCTCTTTCCCACGATCCCTGTTCACCTCAAGGTGTTGAAGGGGGAAGACTGTGCGGAATTTCTCGCGTACTATGAGATCGATAGCCGGGCTTGGACGAACTTCCCCGGCGACTAGTCGTTTGGAGACTTTATCGAACATGACTATGTACGTACCTACACGTATGCCCATGCGAACCAGGCTGGGAAGAGTTGGGCGGCTGAACGTGCCTTGAACCTTATACGGCAGCGCGACACGTGGAATATCTAAGAACCCACGTACAACCGCTTCGGGCAGAAGAGCAAACCGGACCGGGGAATTCTCGAGCGGCAGGGAGATAGACTTAAGCTCACCGTGTCGAATCCCAGGGGCGCGATTTACGAGGGCGCGGCATGGCAGGGTTACCGACAGCCGGACGGTTAGGTAGGTGTAGCTACACCCCCGTAAATACGCGCGTGTGTGATGTCGGTATCAGCCTCGAGGATGAGGGGAGAGGACGAGCTGGAGGGGACACAAAGTTCACATGGTGACGAGGCTGAAGGCTGATGCACACGGAATCGCGCTTGAGGCTCGCAGCGACTTTTGCGAAGCGGGATCTTGAGCATCCGCGGTGAGACAATCTTAGAATCAAGACCGGATCTTGCGTAAACGTGGTGACGCGTGTTTGGGCGGGTAGGCCGACTCAGGCGAAGACAGGACCGGGTTGCCAAGGCGGAAGCAGACGTAGGTGTCGGTTAGGTCCGGGGGGAGGCGGGATGATGGGGGAATGAATGGGCGTCGAAATAGAGCCCAGCAAAGGTATAGGCAGACACTTGGCCAGCCAAGGCGACGAGCGGATTTTGAAACGGGGAGGGATGTGGAAGAAGGAGAAACAGTCCCGGCCGAGGAGGATTTAACAGCGGGAGCCGAGCATGGCGAGACGAGAAGAGGCATACCAACCCGCGGTAGACGACCACGGCAAGGTTGGATGAGAGTGGCACAGCTCTGGGCGTTGGCAAGTGCTGCGGTTGATGGGTCGGTCCGGTGCACGGTGCGTTACCTACCCAGGTACCTAGAAACATGCGTTCAGGGCGAGATTGAGGGGATAGAAAGGTATCTGGTACATAGTAGGTACAGAGAACAACGTTCATCACACCTCCGCTACTACGTTGTAGCGGCGTTCAGCCACGCAGCTGCGAGGATCAGCGAAGCCACGCCCCGTCATCGCCCCCTTCCCCTCTCCCAAAGAGCGGAATGGAGGTGACTTTGGAAGCAGGTACGTGCCGTACGTACGTACCTGGAAATGTACGTATGTACGTATGTACGTAGGCCGAGGCGTATCTAATGGCGGAATTCTCGACCCACTACCTGTTCAAGCCTTCCCGTCGGTTGAGATGGGTGTGGTGGAAGTACCTACGTGATCTGGAGTAAATACCTCGGTACCTAGGTACCTAGGCAGTGAGTACTTCCTGGAGGGTGCCTCTTGGTATGTTGGCCTAGGTACCTTGGGTGCCTTAGGCATTGGATAGGAGGTAGGCAGTGTCTAACGTCATCGGATTGAGGTCTATAGGGTGCGTGTGCTAGGAGGTACCTGCCTCCGACGCCTCGCGTACGTGTATGTACCTATGCATGTACAAATAAAGTGCCTAAAGTTAGCATCGCCGTGGTGGGACCCCATAGCCGTGCCCATGCTACCTTAGGTACCTACATCTACGTACTTTGAGTATAGGTAGGGATATACCTACTGTATATGCGTAGACCCGTAAACGTATCTGCCGGTACGGGATATACATGCGTCACAACAACTGTGACGATTTCTGAATATACGCAGAGCGATATTTGGGCTAGCGAGGCACCGACGGGGAGAGTTTGATCGTCAGGAAGGAAGAAAAAAATGACAATGCGTGGGATCGGGGGAACGAGAGGGAAAAAACGAGAGAAAGAGAGAGAGGAATACTCGTCGTGGCCCCACCCGTCCCCCATGGTCCGAATGTGTATTAGATGATTGGCCAGCCGGCGGAGGAGACGCGCGTTCACGCCGTCCCCTCTCCAGCCTAGTGCAGTTTCTGCCGCGACACACAGTACCGATAGACGGATTACTTGCGCGCAGTCGCCGCGACGACACTGTATCCGGCTGGTTTGACGGCCAATGATGGGAGGCATCGGCTGGGATGGGCGGAGAAGGCCTACGCAGCCTACGCACACCCTGCGCGGCGCTGCGCAGCATCTCCCTCTTTTCCTTTCCTTTTTTTGCGCCCCCCATGTTCGGGTCCCTGTCCACGCCCACTCTCCTACGGTCCTGAACCATCAGGAAAGCTGCCTACGAGTACGTCCCGACACGGATCTGTCGTCCATCCGTCGGTCGAGAAATCTATACACACGGACCTGGATGGACGTAGACTGCTAGACGGGGGGGGTGGCTAACCAAGACGCTCGAGAGAGGTAAGAGGCAACGAGAAGAGAAGAGGTCATACCCTCACACGCGAGAAGCATGCCGCTTACTTCCCAATCCTTAGACGGCGAATTACTCCTTCGCCTACCGGCGCCGACGTTCGTTCTATCATCGCATTTGTACTCTATTACATACTAGTCCCTACGGACCGCTCGCTGTCATTACGTCTCCCTGCCCCCCTCCATGCGTACGCGCACTTCGACATCCGCGAGGAACACACCCTCTGCCACATACAGTGCACCACAGACACGCCATAGACGCACCCCCTGCCCTCCCCTCCACCCCCCTCGGCTTATTACGAAGTAGGTATACGACTTCTCATCGCAGTAGGGAAAACCCATCGTTCATCCTCCGTCCTCCATCCACCACCACCACCATTACTGCTACTGACACTACCAACACCACTATCCATCATCCACCCGTTCATTCATCCCTCCGCCCTCAACCCCTGGACTCGCCACGTTCTCTATCACCGTACCCCCCCGTCTTACTCTTATCCTACTCGTTAACGCTACCGATTGTATTCTTAATACCTCTCCGTCCTTACTGCGCTCTCTCCTCTCTCTCCTCTCTCGAACAACTACGTCTTATCTCTCTCCCGGGTTGACGTACGACCTCGTTCTCTGTCGTGGCGAGCCGTTCCACCGTCGCTTCTAGGTAATCGACGCCGACCGGCCTCGTCGTCCGCGCTCTCCCCTTCGACTCGCGCAGCCTACGCCCGACCGGTCGCATCATTTCTTGCCCGATTGCTCGAAAGGAAAAAAGGCCAAAAAAGGGAAACACACTGCTGCCACGGTACTGCGACGCAGACACGAAGACAGGCGAAGCCTGGCGACTACTAATAAACTATTGGCCCGTATGGAGCGTTGATTCGCCATTGCTACGTTGTCTTGTTCTACGGAGCCCTCCTGCTCGCTGGTGGCAACTGGGTCTAGGAGGGGGTGGCCGAGTCCGCACCATCGCCAGGGTCCTGGTCGGCTGATTATTTAATCTATCGCATCTCTGCGTAATCTTCGAGTCAGCCTAGCCCGAGTTCGAATCCCAACATCACAGCCGGCCTGCCTGCCTGGGACTGACGAGTTGTAGGGGCGCCTACGGCGAGAATCTACACGTAACAGCATTTACCTTCTCGACGCTCCGAGTCGACCTTCGAGAGTGGGCGAATTGACGGACGGCAGCACCATGACTGGTCGTAGCGAGGCCTCTAGGAGTGACGACCAGGGCGAGTATGGAGAGGAATGGGCACGGGATTTGCGAGTCCAATTCGAGCAGCTGATGCGGACGAAGCGGTTAACCGAGATCGAACAGTCGCGACTGCCACGGCAGCGCCTCGCCTCCCCCGACTTTCGAGAACAACAACCGCCTTCGTCTAGCTTGCAAGCACACCCAGCGGCGCCTTTGGGCAGTCCTTCTCCCTCGTCTAATCGTGATCCAAGCCCAAACCCGGCCACGCCCACGCTACCGCCGTCGTATTCTTCGCTACGCAATCTCCCTAAGATCCCGACCCCCCCGGGTCCGCATGACCGGGACTCGCAGATGTTCCGCAACTTGCTCGTGTCCCTATCGTTGACTCCCACCAAGTACGAGAACCCCGGGCTGCTTGACGAGGCCCTTCAGGTGATCCCGCTTGACCGAATATATGGCGAGGCCGAGGAAGAGTCGCAGGTGTTGCAAGCCTCAGCGGAGAGCATGGGTGACGGCAGAAAGCCGGAATGGGGATACCAAGATTGCGTAATCCGAGCATTGTTAAGGTAGGCCTCTCAGCGCATTGACGCAATGTCCGATAGCCTTCTAATCTTGGGCATCCAACCCGCAGATGGTTTAAGCGATCATTCTTCACTTGGGTGAACAATCCGCCGTGTCCCATATGTCTATCGCCGACCGTCGCTAGTGGCAGGACGCCCCCGACAGCCGAAGAAAAGGCTTACGGCGCTCTACTAGTCGAACTCTACGCATGCTCCAGCTCGTCGTGCGGCGCCTTCGAACGATTCCCCCGGTACAGCGACGTCTGGCAACTCCTGCAAACGCGGCGCGGCAGATGCGGCGAGTGGGCTAATTGCTTCAGCATGCTGTGTCGCGCCGTCGGCAGCCGCGTGCGCTGGGTATGGAATGCCGAGGACCACGTATGGACCGAGGTCTACTCCGAACATAAGCAGCGATGGATCCATGTAGACGCCTGCGAGGAGGCGTGGGACAATCCACGCCTCTACACCGAAGGCTGGGGCAAGCAGATGTCATACTGTGTTGCTTTCAGCATCGACGGCGCAACCGATGTCACCCGTCGATACGTGCGTAAGAGCGAGCACGCGCGCGAGCGGAGCAGGTGCCCAGAGGAGGTTATGCTCTACATTATGCAGGAGATTAAGAACATCCGCCGCGCTAACATGAGTAAGGAGGCGCGATTCCGGTTGGAGAAGGAAGACTCGAGAGAGGACCGAGAGCTACGAGGCTACGTCGTCGCTTCGATCACCCAGGCCGTAACAAGGATGGTGCCGGGCACGTCGAGCTCCGCATCCGGCACCGCAGCTCGGACTACTACTACTTCTTCCGCCAGCGACGACCAGAAGCTCCCTGCTGAGCAGCCGAGCCGACAGAGCGGGAATGCCGAATGGGTTTCAGCCCGTGGGGAGAACGGCCAGCGGAATAACCAATATCAAGACCCGAGGGATCCTCGCCACCAGAGGTGAAACAAGCCAATGCAGCCCATCCATATCACTTATATCACCGCCAATAGCGGTACTGCCTTCATCGCCATCATCGCCATCATCCATCACTTATACCAACCTTCGACATACGTCACCCACTAATTAGACGTCCCGGTGAGGTATATATATATATATATATATCGTCACGTGGCAGTTGAACCAGCCCTTATATGCCTACATACCGCAAAGCGTATCGTAGGCGTCTACGTTTTACGCGACATATATATATGCCCCAGCATTTAGCATCTTGGCCAGACGACTTACTCACTTTTTCCCCTTCGGATGACGGGCCACGCATAACTCAAATTCTCATTTGTCTTACGTATCATGTGGTCATCTGCACCCCGTACCTACCTATGCATCCGGTCACACTACGGCGCCACCATGCCGTTCTCGTTTGTCACTTACATTTTGGATACTCTTTGGATTAAAACTGCCGGCGTACCGGTACCATCTGGTTCAGGAAGCATATCATACAATTATTCTTATCACGGGAGGGCGTGGGTGGACATAAAAAGGGGGAGGTTAACTGTCCCCGCCCTGGCGTTCAAGGGTTGCTTGCATGAGGGAATGTAAACGGGTCGACGAAGACGATAGCCCATAGCAATCGAGAATAGGGGTACGGGCAATGGAAAGCTGCGAAATCGTATATCACATTAAATTTGAGTTATCATTTAACGTACCTAGCGATGAGCCGGCTGAGCAGGGGATGGTGTGAAGGAAGGGGTGGCTCTCCAGCCTTTTCCTATTCATTCTCCCTCTCCCTCCCTCCCGTTTTCCGCCTAAGCCTCTCTTTGGGCCCAGCCGCAACAAAACCTGTCGCATAGTCGACGTCGTTGGAGAAACATGTCAATATGTTGCAAATTGATTCTCCCGCTGTCATGTACAGTTAAAATGGGACCGGGCAATCGGCCGCGTGTTGTAACATCGACCTTATACTCTATGCTGCCGTAGCAGCGGATACGCTATTTCCCTGATATTACCTGCGTGCCGCCGTACGTGGTTCGCGGATAGGGTTGTAGAGGAAGACGACAAGTAGGCGGTACTGGCTGGGTATGGCTTGGTAGGTGTATGTAACGATGGGGCATCCTCTGTTGCTTAAACAGGTGCTAGATGACAGATGTTTTTACGATATTCACGGCGCCGCGCTGAGGTCAGGAAGCCTTTGGATGGAGAGGTTACCGGTGTATGAGTATTCCATAAAGAGTGGCGTGTCAACGACAGAGGCGCTCATGCCGAGACTTGGGCTTCGCCTTCGCAACAAGGTGCCGTACACAGGTCTGGAGTCTCCAGTTTGTCTCGGGGGAAGACTCACACCAAAGGGGCTGGGAGAGGTGGATCAAGAGACCATTGGCAATGCTTCTGGGTATCGGCCGGTGGCCTCTTCTTACTACTCACTGAGGACGATGGGCATTTCCAGACACGATGTGAGCATATGCTGACTCTACATATATATATCCATTCTGCCTATGTGCTACTACCTCTTGAGAGTGTTACGAGGTGGCCCCTTTTCCGGCCAGGGGCAGAGGCTTCGAGATCTTCTGGAGCGGCCTAATCAGACGATAGTAACGACGACCATGGGGGCGGTCTTTGTGAATAAATCCTTCTCTTCCGTATAGTGCTGGATGTATTGGGTCCAGGAGCCGATGCGCTCCGCAATGCCCGGTGCCGTGGCGGACGGCTTGAGGATCAGCCCCCGATGCTCGGCGTGCGTGCTCTTGGCGCCGTGGTTAAAATGAGAGAAGAGGGTGCCGACAAAGAGGCAGAACACGAACCCGCCGGTTGGGCCGCCGGCATCGGCGGCCTCTTCGGCGTCGCCCTTGTCGTCGAAGTTGAGATGCAGCGTGTTGAGCGCGCTCTCGGTCCGGATGGGAAGCCTGGACGCCCACGGAGGCAGGCCGCCGGCTGACGTCTTCTTCTTCTTCTTCTTCTTCTTCTCGCTCACGGAGACGGCGCACATCGCCCCCTTGGCCACGATCCTCCCACCGAGGATGCGGCCGAACGGCGCCTCCTTGTGCTCCAGCTCGCACGAGGCCTCGAGGATGGAAAACCGTTTGTCTGGCTTGTAGGTGAAAATCTCGCTCCACGACACGAGTCTCGGCTTCGTCTCCCACTCCCAGTCGATGCCAGACCTCTCTCCGCCGTGTTGCAGCGAGACCCAAGACCAGGAAGGAGGGCCTTTCCCTGGCCGCTTTCTCGAGTTCTCTTTCGGTTGCGATTTGACCTTCCAGAGGAGATCCCTGGCGAGACTGTTCCTCCACATGCCGGCCATATATTCATCTTTCACCCCGCCGATCTCCGGCATATGCTTGGAGAACTTCTGAGCGAGTCCGCCGAGGGCCGGGAGCCGATCTGTCTCTACGGTGAGGTTTAACAAGCAGTAGTCTTCTACCACGGTCCTCCAGAGCCCGCGAAGCTGCCAGTCCTCGAGCGTTCCGAGGGTCGAGATACGGCTCTTGGAGGCGCTCCAGCCGTCGCCGCCGATTTCCCTGTCATCCAGGGCGAGACATTCGCAGCGCTGCTTGTCGATGCAGTCCCACATCATCTCGTTGGCGTGGAAGTGGACGGTCCGTGGCGACAGGTGTCTCTCCTGAAACACCCATCCTCGCTGGATCAACGGCGCAGTCTCCTGGTGGCTATTGATCCACCTAAATGTCTGCATGGCCTCGTGGGACGAGTTCAACGTCAGACGCACCTTGATCGAGCTACCGTAGAGCTGCGCGTTGTCTCTGTTGGAGACGACGAAGGACTTGACGTCGCATTTCCTAATCTTGGAAATATGCTCCTCGCCCTTGCTTCTAGCCCCGCCTTCATCGTCATCATCGTCATCGTCATTATCGTCGATGACCGAGCCTACCTCCGCCGCAAAGCGCTCTGCATATTCCAATGAATTACGCGATGTCCACCGAGGATGGACGAACCCCTCGGCGCCGTTAGGCGATCTCGTAGTGGCGATGTTCAGGTGGCAATTTGCGTATATGTCGGCCATGGCCGCCGACTGCTCGACCCAATCCTTACCGTCTATGTCGTCCTGGATTATACACAGCGAATCGATCCAGATATACCGGAGGTTGAGCGCCCTCGTGAGTTGGACGGCGTCTCGGAAGGTCCGCGGCATGTCATCCAGAGAAATCCCCTTCATCCTGTCGTCGATAGTCCCCCTCGTCGTGACCAGCATCTGCTCCTTCCCCCAGCAGTGGCTGAGTGCTACGTAAACGCCCTCCTTGTATCCGGTCTCGATGAGCACGATTTTGTTCTCGGCCAGGTCGAGGACGCGCCGGGGAAGCGGCTTGGGGACGCCGGCACGCGCGATAGTGTTGCAGTTATGGTGGTGCTCGCCGCACTCCCGGACCCAGGCGGTTATGGTAGAAGCGTACTCCTGCAGCGAGGGATTTACGGGAACTTCCCCAGCACTCTTTAGCCAGGAAAACGAAGGAGGAATGTTTCCTGGAGGATCGTCAGAAAGGGCCAGAAGGGGGGGGGATAGCGCAAGACTCTTACCTCCGACAGCCGCGAACACCTCTATCCCGAGTTCTTCAAACGATTCGTACTCGCCCTTCGTTTTCGGCGGATCAAGATTGCATTTCACGACTAGCCTGAGGGTCTCCAGGGCACGCGCAGCCGCCGCCGGGGCGTTCGCACCCCCGGCGCCCGATTCCTCCTCGTCGTCCGAATCGGCCCAGTCGCCATCCGAACCCCCCTGCGCAGACCCGGATCGAGCGTCGTCATCACTGGTATCTGTATATCCGTCGGTGTCATCTTCGTCTGAGATCTCTTCGCCGTCGAACGAGCCCGCTCCCTCGTCGTCGTCGTCTTCGTCGTCGGCGCCCTCTTCCGGCTCGTCGACGGCGACCAAATATTTCACGGCGCCGCACTCCTCCCTAGACGCACATCTTTGGGCGGCCAGTCCGCTCTCGTGCAGAAAGGTTTCCACGGCGTCCCTCAGGAGACCGCACTTGTCGCACGGCCGCTTGAATGCCCGGTAGGTGCCCGAATGCCTGGTCCCGCCGGTCCCCCGGGCAGACGCGCGTAACTCGGCCGCTTTCATCCAGTGCCGCGCCTGCTGCCCGTAGGAGCAACTGTCTTCGGCTAACTTGCGATGGCGGACGGGGTTGAGGTTGTAACAGAGCGGGCAGATTAGCGAAGCCATCTCGAAGGTCAGGTAGGTGCGCAGGTAGGTATGTTTCATGAGGGGGGATAAGGCGAGACGCGTAGCGTCGATACTCGAGAGCGTCTATCGGGCCCATACATATATAGCATTTCAGCTGCTGCAGGCTCAGCAGAGCCTGCTTGATGCCCGAATCAGCCAAGAGCTGAACCCATAGTCGCCGATCAGACTGGCTGATATTATTCGTCTTAGGCATTGCTTATAAGCCCTAGTAAGCCGCCGCGGAGTTGTCTTTAAAAGCGTGTTCATATTCGAGTATCCAGTTTCCTGATTTAATACACCACACCATTTCTGACCTTGATTTTCTTTAGGGATTTGCATAGGGAGCTATACCTACCTATATTAGATCTGCATGAGTACCGAATAGGGACGCGTAGGGTCGACGTTTTCCCGTAACGAGACGTTATAGAGTTCCTATACCTGTCTATAAATTGACTAAATTTATCGTTATCCTAGTTCCATATAATTATCTAACTCGCCCCTCTAACGTAGTGAAGCTCTCCCCCTTGACTTCGTTAAAAGCGCTCGACGGCGTTACCTTCGAGGTCAGAACACAGGACTCACAAGGAAGGTTGCGAGTAATATACCTAATACCCTCACACGATCCAGAGCCGACATAGGCCGGACGAGACAATGGCAGGGAAAATCAACCCATGCTTTTCTATAGTATCCTCCTCTAGGCATCTATGTCTCACCATACCCGCTATTGATGCCTACTTATTGCTAGATGCTATCAGCTAGACTTGGTCGATGGTCACTTTGCGCTCGATCGCTAGCATGGGCCACTGCTAAGGGGTGTGCTTTTTAGGCTACGGGGACCCCTGATTTCCGGACTCTATGAGTATTGCAGCCAAGAGGCCCTCGAGATAGCGCTGACGGGTTTGAATCCGCGACGCACTCAGCCCATCTTGGCCTTGGGATTGGCGCAACCCGATATAAAATGCACTCTGCACTCCGATGCCTCCTGGTAATGCTGCTGATCGCATTCCGTCTCAAGTGGGCTAATACATTCGAGGGAATCCGCGGCGCCGAGGCGATGTACAGGCAGTGCTGTTGGCGTTTGCTCATGATTCCTAAACTGAACACTGACACACGTGCGTTAAGTATAAGCAGTTGCCATAGTCAGCGATAAGCAGATATCCATCTGTGTAGAGAGTTACTAGTCGACTAGAAACCGAAGCTTACACTAAGTCTCAGATGAGGTTCAGAAATCGGAAGGAAAAGGGGAACGGTGCAACCCGAAAGCAGGGAACTAAGCCTCAGCCCACCTGGTATTATCGCCTGTACTTTTCCAACCGTAGCCTACACCCGTTCTGCTATCGCCACGGGCGGCACCATCAACCTGGGCTATTACTACGCGGCGCTGGAGATCGCGCGCCAGCAGCCTGACTGGCTCGTGGTCATCTGCTCGCGGTCCGATCCCGAGCGTGCGGTCGAGTCCGTCAACAAGACGCTCAGTCAGAGCAACGGAGTCTACACGCCGCTGGACCTGGGCACACTAGCAAAGTCCGCGCCTTCGCGGGAGAGTGGGCTGCCAGGAACCGCCCGCCGATCCAGGCGCTCCTCCTCAACGCCGGCTTGCATTTCCCGTCCAAGACGGCTACGAACGCCGAGGGCGTCGAGGCCACCTTCGCGATCAACCACGTCGGCCACGCGCTGCTGTTCCGCCTGCTCTGTTCTGCCCGCGTCGTCGTGACCTCCAGTGGCACCCACGACCCGGCCACGCAGAGCGGCATGCCCGACGCAGCCTACACCACGGCCGCGGGCCTGGCGCGCCCGCCGGCCGCCAACTACACCAACAGCAAGTTGGCGAACCTGCTGTGGGCGTACGCGCTGCAGCGGCGGCTCGGCGCGCGAGCACCCGGCACCGCTGCGGCTCGCCTGGAAGCACGTGGACCCGCGCCTCGTGCCGCTGCTTAAGGTTGTGTCCACGAACAACGTCCACACGCCGCGCGAGTCGGGCGCGGCGCTGGGAAGCGCTACGAGGGCCCCAGGGAGATCCCCTCCAGCGTCGCTAGCTACAACCCCGCCAAGCGGGACGACCCCTGGCACTGGACCGTCAACCACGTCGCCTGGGGCGAGGCCGAAGCGGCGCGCTTCGAGGCGTTTAGTTGAGGTTGGGCTGGTGGGGCTTGATGCTGCCCTCGGAGAGCGGTGGGTTTCTTCTTTCGTTCGAGCGTCATATGTGGCGCGTAGGTATTAGGTAGGTAGGTAGGTACCTATGTGATAAGGAATACACGGTAGGTAGCGCGGCGGGGAGTTACGGGAAGGCGAGGGACTGTCCGGTTTAGAGGCCCGGTAGCGTTGAAGCGTGCCGGCCTATGTTCCCTAAATATTCGATCATTTAGCTTTTTAGTTGTTCTTGTCGATTTTTAAAGACAAAGGTCTTTGCGGTTACAATTTGCTGGGGTGTTCTTTAATCGAGATAACCTCTTCTAGGTAGGTATGTTTCAACTTGAAGATACAAGTAAAGTATACCTGATATGCGGACCGAACCCCCAAGTATCTAGTACTAATATCCCACGATAGTCCTCCTGAACCGTCTCCCAGCGTACTAGTTAGTATGGTATAACCCGGCCTAACACAGATCGTGCCTACGGCTAACTTTGGACGGAATCTTCTTGGAGCTACACATTAATAGGACCTCTCGCAGCCCTCCCCCAAGGGCGGCTCCGCTCAACGAACGGCCTTTTCACTCTCCGTTAGCCTTCGCTGCCGCCGCCGCTAGCGCTTTTGCGTCTTTCAACGCGCCGCGCTCCTCCACCGTCTTGGACATCTGGTGGCCGTGCTCGGTGCCGAGCGCCTCGAAGCCCCGGACGACGCCGTCGCGGTCGCCCCTGGTCATCTCCTGACTCATCTTCCACTTGCCCTCGAGGCGGTCGACGTCGATCTCGATGCCGATGATGGCCTTCTTGAGGATGTCGACGTACGGCGCCGGGGCGTCGTCGACCTGCCAGGCGGCCGGGGCGTCGCCGCCGACGTACTTCATGAGGTGCTCCTCGGAGTGCTTCGACAGGTCCTGGACCTGCTGCTGCAGGTACGAGCTCGTCTCCGGGCTCCTGGCGTCGCCGAACACCCTGACCTTCCCGTAGGCCTGGACGGCGGCGTAGTTCCAGGTGGGCACCACCTTGCCGGTGCTGGGCTTCGTCTCGGTGTAGAACTTGGGCGTGACGTAGGCATGGACGTTGCTGGTGAAGACGACGGAGACTTCCTGCTCGAGCGTGCCGTTGGCGCTGCCGTGGACGGCGACGGCCTCGACGAGGGCCTTGGAGTGGGGATTCGCGCGAGCCAGATGCGCGCGCAGCTTCCCCAGCTCGGTCGGGCTGCTTTCGTCACTCACGTCCAGCACCCAAGGGACGTGGGTGCACTGTATGGTGGGACTCTTGGGCGACGCGAAGGCGGTGATGAAAAGACCCAAGGGGTTATCCCGTATGAACGTGCGGAGCGACGGGATGTCGACCTCGGCGTGGGGTGCCCGGAGGTACATGGTGGCCCGAGTCAGCGAGGATTCGCACGGGGGTAGGCGACAGGACAGGAAATGAATCGAAGTAGGGGGTACGGGAGCAACGTCAGAGGGAGGTATCACGAAGCAACTTGGGGTTGGACGATAGGGAATCAGATCGTCGGATCGGGAGGAGGGTATTTAAGAGTTGCGGGAGTCATGTCGGCGGCGTGCTGTCAAGGCTAGGGCGCGAGGGTGCGGATGGTACACAGTTCGGACGAGCGAATCAGACGAGCCGTATTTCGACTCATCAAGGCAGCCGATGATTTGTCACGGCATTCAGATCGGTTGCGCCTTGGGAATTCGCGATAGGCACGTCGTCTCCGTGGCCGCAACCGCATCCGCGGAGATCCGTCGGCACCACACCAGGCCAGACCTCTCTCTGGCTTTCCTAGTTAGGCATGTACACCCCAGGTCTGCCTCCAACTCCATCATCCCAGGCAGATTAGTTTGGGTACCTACAGTAGATATTTGTAGGTACCTACCTTAGAGGGGGTTACGGCCTAACACTCGCTGGCACGTCGTCGAGTCCCGGTTGTCGCTACTAGAGGTACCCAAGGTAACTGACCATCGGTAGAACCGCCCGAAGTCGCGTATCCAAAGGTACCTACCTACCTACCTACCTACCTTGGTATCCAACGAGCCCGGCGCGACCAAGTCCTGCAGGCTAGTAACAGGCAGGTCGCTTGGTACCTAGGTAGGTAGGTAGAAAGGAGACGAGAAGAGCCGCCGAAACAGGAATGAATCATCGCAAGCGAACCGTTCTATCGCGCCCGCTCCCGTGCCCGACTCAGATCCCGAGTGCGTAATAGGAGAGATGAGATCCCGAATGAGCAATAAGAGAGGGGATTAATAATCTGTCACGACCGTGTACGGCTTCCCGGTTCGATATGCCGACCTGACCACATCAAGCCCACACCTCCCCCAAAACTCGCTAGGTATTCAGGTAGGTACATTATCTAGGAGGTACCTAGGTATACCTATATGACACAGACACAGCTATTAATAGGGACCCAGCCCTGTAAGATTGGGCGATTCCCCATCGTGATAATATGTCGTGCCGCGGCGCCGACCCCAGATTACAGGCGGGTATTTTTTGATTACCTACCTCACGTAGCACCCATCTCACAAATTATCTGGAGGCGAAGGCGGGTGGGCTATGCAAGAGACCGAGTCGGCGCCACGTGCCGATCGCATACTCCTGGAGGTAGGTACCTAACCCAATACGCAGCCGGTTGCGAATATGAGGTGCAGGCATGTACCTATACCTCAACACACCACATGGCAGCCTAATCAATCCCAGCACAGATTCAAGACTGGGTCGATGTCGTTTCACCCTACCTCTAGCCTCTTACCTACGCAGCAGCACCAACCTATTACCTAGGTACCTAGGTATATTAGGTAAGTCCCTTTCCTCGTCCAATACGACCCTCTCAAGACCGACCTACTATGAGCTGCACCTACACGGAAACACATTGCTCAGCCGCTCTCCCTCCGCCTCAGATCAATCGGCGGCCCTGTTTCAGCATCGGGTCCGCATCGTCGGCGCTTATCATTATCCAACACGGTGCGAGGCCCTCTGTCTTCACAGGGTCTCACCCCCGTCTATAGGTCTCGCCCGCCATGCCGTTTTCGCCCCCATTTGCTTGGGAGCCCCGGTAGGATTCTAACCCGTCAGCTGTCCACCGCCAATAAATACCTAGCTGTCTACCTACCTCCCTTCTTCTTTCCGGTCTCCTCTCCCCTCCTGCCGACGGGAGAAATCGAAAGGAACGAAGAAAGGGAGAAGAGGGAAAAATACCAGTCAAATCTCGGTGTAATCAACTAGATCCCAGCACGATCCCCCCCTTTTGCCTCCGTGTGGAGGTGTGCTGAAGGAAGCAGGCGGGGAAACAAAGGATGGGTGTTCTGCATCGTAGCCGGGATGGATTCCAACAACGCATGTAATAATGCGTTCCGGCATCCGCTCCTCTCCGCTCCGGCTTACGACAGCCTCGAGCAGGTGCCCCAACGAATATCGGTCCCGAGTTATGGCGATGTCAGCCCCGAGACCCCAGCACATTATTCAGCGCTCGACGGATACGATGCCGATTCCGATCTGTCTCAGGCTATTAGTCGCGACACGCCGTCCGCGCTGGTACGAGCGGATCCGTGGCCGGTAGTCTGGCCGGAGCCAACTCGTGATGAGGATCGAGGGCCCTTCGAGCCGTTTCGGCACCTGGCCGCTGATCCCGCTGGCCCACCCCGTCCCGAGCCGCCATATCACGCTCAAGATCCGAGCCACAGTTCCGACGTGCTCTTGGACAATTCTCTTCCGAGGTCAGAGCCGCCGCCGCCGCCGCCGAATCAACATCGATCATGGCTACCCATGTTCTTGCGGCGGCCTGTATTCATTACCTTCGCTCTCTTATTTGTGGCCATGATTGTGGTCCTCGAGGTGCTCTTCGGCCTCTCGAAAAGGAATCAAGGGGTAACCGAGAGTGATGCCGGCCTCAGATATCTGTGGACCTACGGACCGACAGCCTTCCTGACCCTAGTTCACGCGCTCTGGAACCGCGTAGACTATGAGGCCAAGGCGACGGCGCCGTGGCTCAAGGCTGATCCGGTCCTGATCGGCCGGGACGCCTTGCTACTCGATTACGTCGACATGCTTCCTATAGAGGTACCCTTCCGGGCCTTGAAGCGCCGTGATTTCGTGGTAGCCGCAAGCTCCACGATATCGCTGCTCTTAACCGCGCTGATCGTCCTATCTACGGGTCTGTTCACTCTCTCCCCCGTACAGATCTTCGACCAGTCCGTACCTATATCGCTACAGAGTCGGTTTGTCGATGATCTGGCCCGTCTCTCCACCCCGTCTGCCCTCCCTTTCTACGGGTTACGGGGGCTCGCCGAGGCCAACCTAAAGTATCCCGATGGCTGTTCAAGTCAATATGCCTACCAGTCCTTCGCATCCGACCTACAGGGGATCTCGGAGCTGCATGCAACAGTCGATGGCATGTATATGGATCTCGATTGCGAGAAAGCGTCCGTGAGGGATTTGCGCCTCACTCACATCATCTGGACGAACATCAGCTCCATGGTCTGGGGCTCAGAACTGAATCTGGAGTACGGGGACTGCAGAGCTCCGGTAACATTTGACGCCAACCCTCTCGCTCCCATGATGCCATACGTGCCGTTCAGAGCGACCAACACCGAGACCACCTTCGTACATCGTAACGTGCACCTAGTCGCAGCGGGAGGGCTCACCCCGGGCCAGTGCGGGACCGGGGGTCTGGACCACAATCGTCTGGTGTACCTTTCCCTAGAGCTATATTACAAGCTGGCCAACGAGACCGAGACCAAGTATTTCGACACGGACGCCGTTCGGCTCGACTTTGAGGTTACTGACGCGAAGTCTGCCGCCTTAGTGTGCGCCCCAACCTACGGCATAACTCCCGTCGATGTCGTCCGCAACGCCACGGGGATAATGAGTGTCACTCCTCACGGCGACGACCCCCCAAGATTGTTTCCGGGCATCCACCCCTGGAATATCATGCAGGCCAATTTAGATACCTTCGAAACCCTCCGCGCCGAGCCAATCTCTATCGGTAATGCGACCGTCGATGATTACGCTTCAGAGGTCTTCAGGACCTGCGGGGATCCGTGTTCGCAGTTTTCATCTATGCTGGACGCTCCCCTGGTTGAGGATCTCATGTCAAAGTATTACCGGAAGTACGCGTCGTTTCTCCTCCACCAGTCGCTTATGGTGCCGGCTGACATAGAGTCTACCGCCGCGGTATCGAGGGTTGTGGATCGCCTGTTCGTTCAAGTGACAGCGTGCCAGTGGATGGTTGGCATCATGGTTCTCTGCGTAATAATACTAGCGTGGCTATCCTCGAGGCGGACCGAGAGTCTCACTGTCTCGATCCCCCCCGGGTCCATCCTGGCCACTGCCGCCCTTGCCGGGCACGTTGTAGCCTCAAAGTTCCCCCGCGACCTCGGGGCGGTGGATGCCAAGACTCTGGAAGCGAGGATAGGGGAATGGAGCGACAACGTCCACGCGACGTACCAGTATCCTGTCGATAGGGACGCGCCTCGTAGCGGGTCCGCGGCTAGAGGCGGCTGGAAACAAGAAGCTGATGGTCTACTCAAACCATCCGGCGGGCTCAAACCCGTCTATCCTTTCGTCCTACGACCTATCTTCCGAATCGCAATCTATGCCGTGGTTGTCGGTTGTGTCGTGGCTTTGGAGCTCGTCCTCCAGAAATCGAACCGTGAAGAAGGGTTAGGGGATGTCTACGACGATACCTACCTTCACTACGTATGGACTGTCCTTCCTGCCGCATTTTTCAGCCTCTTGGGACTTGTCTTCGTCTCGGCCGATTCCCAAACCCGGCTTTTAGTGCCGTATCACTCCTTAACCAGAGGCGCGCCGATGGATGAATCAATCGACGTGGACTTGCTGCGCCCTCTGATGCCGCAAGTGCTCCACGAGCAATTCAGAACCCGCAGCGCCGGCCCGCTAATGACTACCGTCGCCGCGCTGATCGCGTCCACGTTCGCTATCGGCACGGGCTCGCTGTACCGGGCCAGGACGTTCCCGATCGCCAGCCCCGTGGAGCTCCGGACGACGAGCACCTTCTCGGTCGCGACCCACACGGGCGCAGATTCGAACCTCGAGTCGTCGCTCATCCTGGCAAGTAACCTCTCATACTCGTCGTTAGCGTACGAGAACCTCGTGTTCCCGGAGTTCTCGCTCGAGAAATACGTGACAACAAACGCCTCCCAGGTCTCAGACGAGTCCTCGATCGTCATCGAAGCGACGGTCCCGGCGATACGGCCTCAGCTCTCCTGCCACCTCTATTCGGAATCCGACATCACATATACCTTCTTCCGCAACCAGACAATCGGTTCCAGTATCAACCGGTGGGTATCTGACGGCTTTGCGATCAACATCACGGGGGAGTCTTGCCCTGGCCGATGGTTCCCAGAGACACTGATGGTGATACCCAATAACACGGCGACCTTTACGATGGACTTCCCCGCGGAGGGTTATTTTGGTACGGGTTCCAACGTCAAGAGACGCTCCGTGTCCGGCTGTAGCTATTTCCTATATACGTGGGGTAAGTTCTCCGCGTCGACAGACCCGCCGTCCCTGTCGGCATCTGCCTTGGGCTGCAACGCCACCGCCGAAGCTGTCGACGTAACCGTCACTCTAATAGGGCCTCGGCTCCAACTGGATCCATCGCGGCCGCCGCGCCCGATCGAATCAACCGCGCGTCCGGTGCCGATCGAGGAGGTCGAGGGGGGTGATTCGGCCAAGATTCCCATGCTCATCCCGCTCACCATGTACGACAACCTGGCGTCGCTCCCGCCACCCAGCAATAACACCACGTTCGATGCTTTCTTCGAGCAGCTCGTCACCTCGCGCTACGCTGTGCCCCTCTCCGCAGTAGGCGACCCCGCCCAAGCGGCGACGGTCCGGGACGCGATCACGTTCCAGCATGGTGTCATCGCTGCCCAGTACTACAGCAACACATACCGGACCGGCGTCCCGACCGAGCCCACAACGATCACGACACCGCTATTCCCTTCGCTATCCGAGGCGTCTTCGCCAGCCGGCGGCGACACGGGCGTCTACCCGGGCACGGCATCCGACCCGTACGGGAGGCGGCGGCTGGCGCAGGACACGGCGTCGACGCGGGTGCTCGAGGCGCTGCTGCTAGGCACGCTGGCTCTCTCGCTGGCGGGGTGGGCGCTCGGCCCGCGGGGCGCGGTGCTGCCGCGCAGCCCGTCGGGGATCGCGGGGGTGCTGGCGCTGCTGGCGGGCGGCGACGTGCTGGAGCGGCTGTACCAGGGCCGGGACGGGGACGGCGGGGCGCGGTGGGAGAGCTTGGCGGAGGCGCGGTCGGCGTTCCCGGCGGAGTGCAGCTTCTGGATGGGCTGGGGCCCGGCGCCGGGCGGCGGCGAGCAGAGGTTCGGCATCTGGGCGGTGAAGGTGAACTAGGGAAATAGCGAGGAAGGACGACGCCGACGAGGGACGGGTGGCTGGTGGCGTGCGGAGGCGCTTTGGGTGTTATGAGTTTAATATGCGGAAATAGCCGACGAGAAATGAGAGAAGAGACATGGTAATGATGAGTAAATAGCGATCGGCGTTCCAATGTCTAACTTGACATATTACCATATCCTCCTTTTTTTCTTTTTCCTTGTTCCCCCCCCCTTTTCTTTACCGCTGTATTATCTTTTCAGTAGCCAGCCGTCCGTGCCAGCCCGCCGAGGGATAGCACGGGGAACGCAAAAAGCGAGGTAGGTAGGTAGTAAAGAGTCTCGCCTCGGCAGCGAGGATTGCGATGCGTAGGGGACAGACACGTCGATCGACCTGTCCCTCCCCCTCCACCCCCTCCCTCTCCGCGCCGTGGCGTTCACGCGGTCAGTTTTTCGCTTCTCCAGCCGGACTCGGGGGAGGGCAAGTGGCGATAGGTAGGCACTACTACTCCTTGGAGAAGGGCTCCTGAGTCGAGGTATGTAGGTGGTGTCTACGGCCTAAGGAAAGGAGAGAAGGGGGGGCAGGAGAGAGGAAACGTGCGTGCGTCGATTTGAGGCAGATCGAGGGCGCTAAAATCGAGCCTGCCTCTACCTAGGTACCTAGGTACTAGGGAGGCGATGGCTGGCTGGCTGGCTGGCTGGCTACCCAGCTGACAGGTACCCCCTCTCCCCGCCCTCGGCGCCCAGACCGAAACCTTCTCTCTCTCTCTCTCTCTCTCTCCAGGGAGCGAGGAGAGAGAGAGAGAGAGAAGCTTGGCCTCGAGGCGAGTGGGGGCCGGGGGTGGGAGCAGGTAGGTCGGTAGGGCCGGGCTAGGCCGGGTTCGGTAGGCTGCTGGCGGCGGGGCGGGGCGGCGTTTTGCGTGCATTTGAGCAAGTTAGAGTAGGTAGGCAGGCCGGCCGGCCTGCTTCTCTCTGCCCCGCGAACAATCCTAGAGCTCCCCCTCCCTACCTCCCCCGCGGAGGCTGAAGAGGGCAGCGGATAGGTAGGTAGGAGAAAGAGGAGGTTAGGTAGGTAGGTAGGTTGGTTGGACAAAGAGAAAGCTAGGTATCTACCCCAGCTCGGCGGAGCTGTCGATCTAGGTACCTACCTATAGGCTTACCCTAACCTCCTGCTTCGCATCGCGGGCCCCGGGTTGGCACACACAACTGCCTCATAGGTATCCAGCCAACCCCCGCGCCGCCGCACTAGGCACCTAAGGTAGCTCTGCGGCTGACAGCGCTCGCCACTCGCCCAGCAACATACCTAGGCAGCGTGCCATCGCAGTCTACGAGGCACACCCCTCCCTGTGCTCGTCCCAGAAGCTCCCTGGCAAACTAGGTAGGTAGGTATCTAGCTACATCTACCCGTGTACACTTACATATAACCGTGCGGGTAGATTCCGGGTCGACGGGCGGCTCCCTTAGCTAGCACCCGCGAATAGGCGCTGTAGAAGATACCTACAAAAAGGTAGGTAGGCGTCGGCATAGGTTGCCGCTATACCTACCACCTAGGTACCTGGGCTGCCACGGGTACGAAGCAGCTCGTCAGGGAGCTACCCACTCATAGAGCTCTCTCGACTACGGCCGGTGGCAACACCGCATCGGCATAGGGCGCTATCGACCGCCGCGGCGCAGCTAATCTCCCCCCCTCCCCCTCCGCCGCGGCGCTACGATACGATTCCCTCGCGCCATCCCCATGCGTCCAACCTTCCCCCCGCCCCAAACCGAAAGATCAGAGACAGGTGTGGGGCGACAAAGACAGAAACTTGCTCGCTTCATTCCCGCTACGGGCAGCGCGCGCTTCGTAGTGGTCTTTGTCGTCGAGCGTAGATGCGGGACGATTCTCGATGCGGATTCGGTCCTTGACCGCGTCTATTCCTACTCGGCTAAGCTAGGTATAGGTATATACAATCGGAGCACACACATGTAGACCGGGGGGGGGGAGGCCATCTAGGGACCCGGTGAACAACACGGTCCGGCAAGCTCCAACTCGCTCAAGCAAATCTCTTGCCTACCTAACCCAGGATCCATCCCATCTCCATCCACCCACCCGGGTTTGCTATCTGTCAAGGTTGTGTTCCTGATATTTCATGTCAGGAACCATCCCAAGAAGCAAAGGTCGCACCAATCATCAGAGCGTCCCCCACCCCTGCTTCCCCTGGTCGTGAGACACTACATACATACGTCGCCATCGCCGCCGCCTTCTCTCTCCTCACCTCCCTCCTCCCTCTTCTGTCTTTCTACACAGTCGTCCTCCGTCGTCTCAACCATCGCCTCCTCCCGGGACGAAGGCCGTGTCAACAATACTCGACAAGTCCAAACAGATCGCCACCGCCATGTTGAAGAACACCGTAGCTCTCGCTGCTGCGTTTGCGCAGTTGGCGAACGCCCACTTCCTCGTTCAATACCCGTCCTGGCGAGCCGAAACCCTAGACGTCCCCGAAGGCTCTGATTACGACCAGTGGGCTTATCCTTGTAAGTAGAGCTGCCAATCCTGCCGTCCTTGCGTAGGGCGATAAAGTGCTAAACCCCCGACATAGGTGCCGGTGTCCCCACTGGTGCCGGGAACCGTACCGACTGGCCTCTTACCGGCGGTTCTATCAAGCTTCACCTCTACCACCCCTGGTCTTATCTCTTCATCAACCTCGGATTCGGAGCCAACACCACCAATTTCAATGTTTCGCTCACCCCGAACATCGTGAACGTGACAAGCAACGGCGTCATCTGCCTCCCCCAGGTGCCCGTACCCGTGAACGTCAGCGATGGTCAACTAGCCTCGCTCCAGATCGTTACCAGTGGCAGCACTGGCGCCGCTTTATACAATGTAAGTTGCGTGGGACTTCCAGGCCGATATGACGTATTTGCATGCCTGCGTAGGCGTGGAGAGAGTCAAGGGCAACCCGAAGCTGATTCAAAATGTGACAGTGCGCCGACATTACGTTCCGGTCTTCTGCGCAGTTGCTGGACAGCAACGAGTGCAGGAACGATACCGACATCACGGCCGTCATCGTTGGATCTTCATCCGCTGCCGAAACCCCAGCGACTCCGGCAGAGTCCACTCCCCCTAGCGCCGCACCCGGAACTACTGTTGGAGGGTGGACACTTGCCGCCGCGGTCGGCCTCGCATTTGCTTTTGTTGCGGGTGTATAAGAAGGGAGCAATCCGTCTTGGCTTCCGTTGCGGAATAGGAATTCGAGATACCGGTATCGACGGCCTGCGTAGGATGCGGGATGGTTACGTGGTTGCTGGGGACATCTCAAGAAGCGAGTATCTGATGTAGGGAACGGCTGTACGGATCCAATGTGTTACGTTAGCCTCGGACTACGCCAACCCACGCAACGGAGCAATGAAAAAAAAATGTGTCGCGAGACTCACGCTGGTGTGAACCTGTTCGTGACCCCAACAGTGGGACGACCAAGCTCAAGATCTTTCGCGTAGTCCGAGCATCGCTGAAGGCCTGAAAAATGAAAACGTACCCCTATCACCTGCTAAAGCAACCCGATCCATTCCATATAACGGCGACCTCGATATCGTCGACTGCCCCCACCCCTCCGTAAACAACTACTAGATCGAGTGTTGAGCGATAGCAAAGTTAGATGATGCTGGGTTTTAATGTAGGGAGTAGCGCCATAAGGTAGGGTAGGACCTCTAACTAGGTTGCGTCGTGACGTATACGATGAGCCGGTAAGATACATTGACTCGTACACCTTGTTCGTGTGCTTGCTCGTTCTTCTCGTTACTTAGATTTGCCGGCGTCGCTTACCCGGCCTACAGCGTTTCCCCCGGCCGGCTTCTCCTTGCTCAACTCAATCTTGGCTATTTTCATCGTAATGCGGTTGCCCGGGTTGGGTGTGAGCATCTGTAAGACCAAGAATTCGATGCGGTCGCGCGGGTTGAGGTGCGCCTTGGCCTCGTTGACCTCGGCGAGCCACTGGTGCATCTGGGCGGCAGCTGAGGATGGCCTATTGGCGTAATGATGTCTGCGATGTAGATCGGCGATCTTCCAATACAACTGTTTCGGGTGACCCTTGCGACCACGGGCCTCGGGGAAAGCAATCTTTCGAAGGACGTACAGCATCGTGACACCCAGGGCCCAGACATCGGAGGCGGGGCCGCGTAGCTTGTGTGCGAAAAACTCCGGTGGGACGTAGTAAGGGGTGCCGCCGTTGGTGGCCGGGTCTTTGGTGGACGTCGAGAGGCCGAAGTCACAGAGCACAGCGCCGCGGTCGCGCGAATATAGGATGTTGGCCGGCTTAATGTCGTTGTGGATGCGACCCTTCTCGTGCACAAAATTCAGGGCGCCGGTAATGTCGCGCAGGATGCGCAGGGCGTCCTGCCGGTCACCCATGAATAGCTCAGTCGCAGGCTCGCGCCAGACTCCACCGGCCGCTAGGTCCTTGCCGTCGACGTGTTCCATATACAGCGAGAGATACCGCGCGTCGCCGCCGTATAGGCGCACGATGGATTCGTGTCGAAGCTCCTCCTGGTTCCTGTACTCGCGCAGCCAAACGTCGGCCTGTCGGATCACGTCGCGATGCGTATCCTGCGGGCGCGTATCCGCGGAGCCATTTCCAGGCCCGCGTGTCTTGAGTACTTTGACCGTGATAATACTGTCTAGCACCTGAGAATGTTCGGCTGTGAACACGGACGATGCGCTCGTAACCGCTATTTGCTCACGCCTCGTCAGCTGATACTGGTCCAGGCCTCGGCCAGGTATAAACGCTGTCTCGTCCTTCTGGATCTCAAGGAGGGCGTGGCCATTGGAAACGGCAACCTCCTTGGTATTTGCCACGTTGGAAAATGGGAGGATAAGCTGTCCGTCAAACACGATGACCTCGTCATCTCTGTGTTCTCCCTCACCCTCTTCCCTCCGTGCTCTCTTCTCGGGGGTCCCATTGCTGGCCTCGTCGTCGGCATCGGCTAGAAACGAACGCTTCCCTAAAGAGTTGATAAGGCTGGTATCGGGGTTCGAGGACGAATCGGCACTCTCGCGAGGGACTAACAGAGTCGCAGGACGCTTCTCTAGAATCCTGAAGTCGAGGACGGGGGTGGTGTAAATATTAATTCGCCAGCTGCCTGGCGACAGCTCCTGGGTACCTCCCGGGTTGATGTCTTGACCAAAGATCGCGCCAGTCTCGGGGATGGGGGGAGACACCCTCGTCAGAATAATTGGCACATCGGATCTATTCCACAATATTAAGCCATCGCCAGACGGATTATAGTATAGTTCAGACCATAATGGTGGCCGGTCCTCCTCATCGCCTTGTGGTATTCTAATGGAGAAATTGATGTCTTTAGACGTCTGAGTCACGGCTAGAACCCTGGATTTGGACTGCTGAAGATCGGCGACCTCAGCGCGCAAGGCTAGCCACTGGACATTATCGTTCCCGGGGCTCACCGAACGGTTTCGGGTCAGCGGCCGCACAAGGATACGGATACCTTGTTTATGATGGTCCTCCTCGACGATTAAGGCATCTAGCGGCACGGTGTCCTGGCGCACATCGTCGAACTCGTCGACGTGAATGCTCCCCTGCAGCCTAGCTTGGAGCTCCTCCGTGGTAAACGGCTCCGTCTTCTCCTCGGAAGGGCAGACCTCCGCCATAGCGACAGTCCAGTTTCGAACGAACGAGAAGAAAGCGAAATATATAAGAGAAATGGAGAAATCGCAGAGTATCGGTCAAGAAGACACAGCGAGCGATGGCACAGATGGCCTCCACTTGGTCCGCAGTTGGCGGCAGATGTTGGCGAAGAAGAAAAAGAGAGAGCAGGCAGAAGAAAACGACCGAGAACTGCAAAATGTGGTCGGCGCAACGTAGGCGCCGTTAATGAGCCATTCCAGCGATCGAGATTTAAAAACCGTGGTTATTCGGATTGTAGAAAAATCCGAGAGAACAATCCGTCAGATGAACAGACCTCGAGACGTGTCTCCCTCACGGATTACTTTTGGTCCTTGCTAAGGAGAGTCATATAATAATGTCATGGACCGGGGAAAACTGGAGAGGAAACTGGGAGTCGCTGTGCGGCTGATCGCCCTTCTCGGTCTGCGGACGGATCAACTGCCCAGGGGTTGGTGAATTAGTCACCTCGACTTAACGGAGCCGTCCAGCGTGGTTAGGCCTGCCTGAGGATGGCTGCCGTCTATTTAGGTAGGTATCGCAAGGCGTATAGGGAGGGCGGCCTAGTTCGCACCGCAGAAGGGAGCCAACCTCAGGCCTCCAGAGGAGAAGGCGAAAAACCGGGTGAATTGAGAGGCATGGGCACGTACATACCTAGAAGCATTGCTGACATCAAGTACGTGGGTAGTACCGCAGCTTCGCCCGCATACCAGAGCCGGGGAGAGGGAGAGGGAGAGGGGGCGGGGACGGGCAGTATGTTCGACATTCATCTAGCTGCAACACCGTACGCTTACAGTGAGCGAGAGGAGGGAGGAGAAGGTTGCGGTCCGCCGCATGAACAGGCGCGAGTGACCTGAGAAGACAGTCTCACGGGAAGGGTCGGAGACTGTGAATTGTGAAGGATGCAGGTGGGCTCAGATGCGTCAAGTGATTCGGCGACAGGTGAGGGAACAGGCAAGCGACGACATGGTTTGGCCCCCAACGGTCCCAGCCGGTCCTAACCAATCGCGCACAGGGGGGTGTGGCTCAGCAAGGTCAGCGAGCCCAGCAAGTCTGAGCCATCGCACAGCCGACCAGCAGGCATGATCAGATCCGTCGGCTCGAGAGCGAGTCCACGAGAACGAGTCCGACAGACAAGAGGGGATTCGGTAGGCGCTTGCTTGAAGCCCGTCGTCGTCGATCTCGCGGCGCACCTGTCCGTCTGCCTGCCCGTCCGTCTTCTCACGGCCTTTTCGCCCGGATTATAGATATGCCTTACCGGGTAGGCAGGTGAGGGGGTAGAGCAGGGCTGGTCAGACAGACAAACAGACGGACAGACTAGGTTAGTGCGAGGTAGACGTTTGGGTCAGATCTCGTCAGCGTGCCATGATGCTATTTCGAATTGATATCGTGATGCCGTGCTGTCAGCCTTGCTTGGTTTGGCACGCACACGAGGCCGAGAAACGAGAGAAACCCGGCAGTCCTAGAGGCAATAAAGACGACGGCCACGATTTCCTTTTGAATCAACCACAAATACACAGGTACCTACGAGGTTAGGCAACACGTGTAGAGGCACGTCATGTACGAAGTTCGACTTTTCCATCCACACATTTTTCGGAGGCCGAGTTCTGCGTATTCCCGTATTCCCTTCGCGGCCTCCACCAACGTACCCAAAAGGCTCCAATCCTGAGTAGCTGTACCTAAGTACATAGGTACAACGGAGGGAGATCGGTACTTAGGTACCTGCCTCCTACGTAGGAGGTAGGGATGATTGTCGCCGCTGCCTTCCGTCTTACCACACACGCAGTACACCGAGTTAGGAGAGCGTTTCGACGGGTCATCCATCGAATCCTGCACGCCTAGGTACTCAGTACTCATATACATCAAGGCTGGTACATTGGAACCCAAGGCGAAAGCCTGCCGACGAATGTAGATTACGTGTAGCACGATAATTCCTCGCGTTGGACAGTGCGTAGGTACCTATGGTCAGCCGGTGCCGGCCGCCGTGCTGAGTACTTAGGTACGCGCTTCCAGTACCTAAAATACTGGAGGCATCCAGGTACTGCTTCCCATACATTGGCACTCCGGAATACCTCGAGGGATGTATGTCTGTAGCCTGCCTATGTAGCCTAACCTACGTGCGGCACGTTGGAAATAGAAATACCTTCGAAGGGGCCGACGCCTCTTAAGGTGATTGGATACCCTCCCGTCTTAGGTTACATTCATGGAGGTTGGCGTGGAAAAATTGGACCCATGAGGCAATGTGGCTCCACCATTCCAAACACAGGCCCGTTTGATTGGGTTCCGCAAATTCACCCTTCTTGCTGATTGGCAGCAATCGTGGCAATGTGGCCAATCGTGTCAGAGCGGAAGGTCCTTGTGGTCAACCGCCCCCCCTAGGATCCACACATCCCTTCTTCCAGCCAATCGTCTCTTCTATTTTGAATCAGCCATTGATGCCTGAGGCAGGCAGACCGCGACCCTTTGTCGACTTATGGTATCTAGACCGTTCCCACTCCCGACGGTTTCGGCCTCATCGATCCCAACGAAGTCACCTGTGGACACATCTAAACGCTTGGGAATCGCCTCAACACTCACACGCACCCTCTCAGAGCACCTCTCTCTTTGATGCAGTGCTAGACGCCCATAAGTCAACGAAGACGACAGTAGATCCCGCCGCCACGATGTGTTCCGCTCCCCCAGCGTAGATGGCTGATCTCCTAGTTGCCCTGTTTCGAGACATACCAGGGAACAAAAAAACTGTACACGAACCCTTCCTTTCGCACCAATTCGATATCCGCCATAATACCACCCCCTCTCAACTCCCTACTTAGACTTGTACGCTCACGCATACACCCGGTCCAACTCTGATCCGACTTCCGCTCCCTGTTTCCCCTGTGAAGGACCGCGAAGTTTAAGTCGGCCCAGGAGTAACCAGCATCGCCCTCTGGAGAATGGACGATCCTGGTTGGTCATGGCCCGCTTGGAAATTTGGCATGAAGAGAGAAGAGCTCTTCACCAAACTGCATGATCAGTACAACACTATCGCTTTCTCCATCCAGGACCCCGAGGCCTTTCACCACGACGTCTTCGAAATCTCCGCGACTGCGAACACGACCGACGAGTTCCATCGCCTGTTAGCCGACCGAAAGCAGCAACGGCTCGATGAGCTGAATCAGAGTCTGGAGTCCGCCTCGGTCGAGATCATCGCCAACCCCAGTCTTATCGGGACTCGGCAATGGGAGCACGCCCTGCAGCTGTTTCGTACCAGGTCGATGGACTCTCTCGTGCGATACTTTGCCTCCTATCTTCCCGACGACCACCCGTGGCATCGCGCTAGCGATGACTTCACCTTCAAGCCGTTCTTTGACGAGCCCGAAGACGATTATTCTTCCGTAACAGACGAGCCTCTCCCGATCACAACCAGGACTCACACCGTTCCGTCAAATCACCTTCCTCCTTCTCCCCGGTCTCTTACCATGTGTTCGGATGGTTCTTCTTCCTTGACAGCAGAGCGGACCTCATCCTTTTCGGATCCCGAGACGGGTGAACTGGGGCTGTCGACTACCTTGTCCCGAGGGTTCGACGACGACGACGACGAGACATCGCAATCAGACGACCTCGACAGTCCTACTACGTCTATTTCCGACATATCGGAAATCATATCACTGGCATCTCAGGTAGATGAGGAGTCCGACGTAGAGGAGGTGGATGACGAATCCGATGTAGGAGAGGCGAACGAGAAGCCGATGACCTCGAGGCCTGATCGGCAAAGGGACGACGAGAGCGAGTCGAAGACACCGACGTTCCGGAACGATCCGGGCTCGGTTTCCTGCCTAGCTAGCGACGCCATAAAGCTCTCCATGTCATCGAAGTATTCCCCGCTTCACAGGCGCGAGAGAAGTCCAGGCTTGGTGAGATCACGACGGAGGAGTCCTGAAGTCGGTCGGGTGCGAAAAACTTCTCCAGATCGGACACGGTTTAGACCCAAACCTTTGGGGTGGAAGTACTATGACACTTGACGTCGTCATGGATGTGTATATATATTATGATGATGCTGTTAATACCCTTAATGCCTTTAGTTTTATGTCTTTGTCATGGCGTTGGTCCGAATCGTGTTGTTCTTAACGTTCCTATTTCGGTCATAACGACGGCTTCAAGTTGGTGCTACGATTGCTGACTTGATGTACAAATTACCTACCCATCTAATTATGACAAACAATAGCTATATGGTCAGCAGAGAAGAAATTGTAGATCGCGAGCGACCGAGCATGCAGGCCATGTATCGGGGTCGTGGATCGACAACTCATTCACAAACACCATCGCCATTACTATCGCCATTAGGAGGGGATATAGAAAATACGCCGCCTCGTTGCTATGGTACGTTATGGTATCGGCGGTATAATTAAGGCGGTTGCGGATGTGCTAGACGTAGATAGGCCGCCCTACGGAAGGCGTATGAGGTTTAGGGCGTGCTTCGACACTGATCGCGACGGAGTCGTGATGGGCTTTGTGATCGAGATGGGATCGATTGCAGTAGAGAGGGTCGGTGGTGGGGAGGTTCATCGTTGCCTAGAATGACTGCTCAATCCAGCAGAGGAGGGTATATATAGGCGGGGGGCTTATATAAGCGGTCCTGCTTCCTGACGCGAGCTCCTGATGAGTTCTCGATAATACCTAGGTCTAGTGAAGACCGAAAAGTACTCAGGCCGTTACCATCTGTTACCTACCTACACCATCTCTCACCCAGCCTTTTACCATTTTCAATTTGCCTTTTGCCCACCCAGACCGTACATACTACCGTTGGGTAACGTCCAGTAACAGATTAATGTGTTTTATCTTCATCTTCTGTTGAGTTCCGTTTCCCGCGTGTCGTCGAACTTGAATTTCCCAACTCGGCATTCAACACAACCACAATAATTACCACGCTCCGAGGCAAGGTACCTATTAAACGCGGGGGCAAGATGACGTCCGCGTACCCTCCTGTGGGCATTGCTAGCATGCCGTGTAGAGGCAGAGAAATGTCTGATGAGTATATGAGTGGCAGCCGACAACTGTCTACAAGTGATCGGGACCGTGACCAAATAGTCGACTCTAGGAGACGCAGGTGACCGAGTAACTAGGCCGCCCACACCAACCAATCTCGGCCCGTCACATCAATAACGCCGTGTAATACACACGCTGAGGGGCATCGTGAAGCACAGCACCTCTCTAAGGCCCCCCCCCCCCGTGCACTCTATCACGATGGGGGATGGGCGCTTTTGGATCTGTAAGCCTAGATAAATTTCCCACCTATATACCGTACACGCTACAGACGCAGGTATTAGTTAATGCCCGTCGGTAGAGCCTAAACCATTGTATAGAAGGTATACATCTAGGCTATATATATTCCTAGCCTTGTCATGAGTAGGTATTGTAGCGAGGAAATGGCTAGTCAGCAATATCGTGGGAACGGGTGCAGATAGGACTCCCAGGCTCTGTGTACTGATCGGATTTATCAGAATTACGACCCTTAGACCTTTCGTTCTTACCCGCGGACGGTAATGGATGAATGTGCTTGCAGATCTGCCTGCCTACCGAACCTGCCGAGGACATATTATATTACCCAGCTGATCACACAGGCACGCGTATATTCCGAGCAGAGCAGCACGCGAGCGAGAGAAAATGGGGACCCAGAACGTTGCGGTTCAGGCCGGCCACCTCAGGAGACTAGATGGCAATACGTTCCGCAACACCGTCCCGAGAGGCCCAAATGCCAGATTTCCAGCCGAGAAGGGCCGCTGTGCGATGGACGTCGCCCCGGGCTGCCCATGCGTAAGTATATTCCTATATATGCTATGGTTAGGTCAAGACTAGGCAAATCATTACCGATTACACACAAGACCGCGGGAGTTCGCTGCCCCATAAACCTCGAATAAACATCTAGGTATATCGTAGTGATATGGTAGGACTAGTCCTTTGCAGGTTCCCCATCGGCTGCCACACTCACTAGGACACATGCTGACATTCAGAGGTGGGAGTTATCTTTCGCGTATTCGACGATGCTTCTCCTATATGAAACCGTGCCTGCCCTCGAGGATACGTGGATAAATGCTTAGGAGAACCGGCTAGATACAGGTCAGTGTATTTACCCCCGCCCCCCGGCCAGGTTCAGTCCAAAACTAGGGCACCCAGAATATCGAGGCGTCCTGTAGCTCGAGCGATAAATCCGACTCTTCCTTGTAGAGACGTGGCCTTAAACATATTAAACCCCGTATGGTCCGTGTATTGGCCTTCGGCGGAAGGCCTCCTGACAATAACCTCGTTTACAACCCTCGCAGAGCTCACTTATATGCGGCGGGCCTCCACTCCCATCATACGGCCGCGTCTCCATCGGAACGCCAGCCCATTTCTTCAGCCTATATGCGACTCGTTCGATATACGAGTTCTCGTTTAGTGTCAGGGTGCCTAATTTGTTGCAGGATTGACAGCGCTGGTTGAATACGGTGGCGTTGTACCCATTGTTAGGATACCGTCGGATCACAATAGCTACCGTCCTACTTGCCCAGCCGTCCTTAGAACAGCCGCCGTTGTTGCATTTGAACTTTCCCATCACTTTCGTCGAGTATTCTTCCTCGAACCCTTTGTCTTTTTTTTTGAACCACGTCGAGGGGATTTGGTCGGATACTGCGTTCGCGACGTCCTGATGGAGCGATGGATACTTGATGGTGGCCCTCGTCTCTGGCTTGGGCTCGGAGGAACTCGTCTCTTGTTCGGGCTTCTTGGACTTCTTCCGTGCCATTGTGGACAATGCGATGATCGTGTTTTGATGTGATGAGCTGAAGTTATTAGGCTGATCGGACAATATAATGATCTTTGGAGCATGGCAGGTTCACGAGAAAAAGAAGGCGCCTGAAGAGAGTATTAATATCCCTCCAATTTCGGTTTACTACAGGTCATAAAAACGCGACCCTGTAAGTCTAACCCGCAGCTGAGGGTGACTTTAATGGCTGTCTAGTAGCAGGGAGAAAGGATGACTTCTCAGCGTCGTCCAATACCGTTGCGTTCTCCCGCTGCGCCCTCGGTGACTCAGGGGCGCGTGGAAAGACGTTGTTGGTCCAGCCACGTATTTGAGTGAGCCCCCATCGGCTCATGTAGTGTCATACTGATCCGGCGAACAGCGTCACGTTTGAAACGTAAACGGGTAGAGACGCCGTAAAGGTACGAGAGGCAAACGAGAGCCATAGCGAAACCGCCTTGTAAGTTGACGTTTTACTAGCGTAACAATAGACTAGCGAAGGAAGGGGGCTATCGAACAGCGTGTGTATGAAATATATCCACGAGTAGGGAGCCCCGTATTCTGCATGCAACATCAGCATACCAGTTATGAATTTACTCATACTTTTACAGAGGATAAATACCTAGGTATGATCGCGGAAATATGCAAATGTTCAGTTATGCCCAGGGCTTGAACAAAGAACCCTCGGGCAGGCTCTTATTATTATTATCTGCGTCAGCGCCGCTCCTGTCGCACCCACCCCCCTTCAGACTCAAATACCTCCCCCACAGCCTTAGCGACGGTAAGCAGGCGTCTGTCGTGGTACCTCGGTGCGACTAAAGACAAGCCGATAGGCATGCCGTTCTCCCCTTTGAACCCTGGGATGTTGATCACTGGTGTATGGAGGGCCTAGGAAGACGCATCGCATGCATCAGTTATCATGTGGCGAACGGAGACGGCGGGAAAGGAGGAGGGGTCCTAGAAGAAGGAGAAGCGGGGAGAACGCACCGTCCAGATGGCATTTAGCACGGGGCTGCCGGTGGACGCCGTACCAACGGGGGCTTCGTCGACGACGCTGGGGGTGAGGATGGCGTCGTACGCGCCGGCGAGGCGGTCGATCTGGGGGCGGAGGGCGGCGAGCCCGTCGAGAGCGGCGCACTGCGCGGCGCGCGTGATGCCGCGCGCGTTCTCGACGTGGCCGGCCAGGAACGGCGCCAGCTGCGCCCGCGCCGCCCGGTGCTCCGCCAGAAACGCTGCCCGCCCGTCGCTGTGCATCACCGTCTCGTGCCACCCTGGGGCGGCGTCGAACGCCACCGGCAGCGCGACCTCGTCGACCGCCGCGCCGTGCGCGCGCAGTAGCGCCGCCCCCGCCTCCAGCGCCGCGCGCGTACCCGCACCCGCGCTCGGCCACGCGACGGTCCTGACCACGGCGAAGCGCGCGCCGCGCACCGAGAAGGGGGCATCGGCGGCGCCGCCGTCATCGTCGTCCTCAAGCGCGAAAGCGTCGACGAGAAGCTGCAGGTCATCGACGGCGCGGGCGAAGAAGCCGACGGTGTCGAGGTTCGGCGCGTAGGCCTTGACGCCCTCGCGGCTGACGGCGCCCCAGGTCGGCTTAAGCGCGTAGATGCCGTTGAAGGAGGCCGGGCGGATGATGCTGCCGCCGGTCTGGGTGCCGAGGGCGAGAGGGGCCTGGAGGTCGGCGACGGCGGCGGCGGAGCCAGAGGAGGAGCCGCCGGGGGTGCGGGCCGGGTCGTTGGGGTTCCGGGTGCTGGTCGGGGAGGCCATGGACGCGAACTCGGTGGTGGTGGTCTTGCCGAGGACAAGGGCGCCGGCGGTGCGCAGGACGGCGACGGCGGCGGCGTCGATGCCGGGGCGGCTGTCGGCGTAGATGGGCGAGTTATGCTGCGTCGGCATGTCCTTAGTGTTGAAGATGTCCTTGACGGCAACGGCGAGGCCGTGTAGCGGGCCACGCTGCTCGGGCGGCACCGAGTCGAGGACGCGGGCCTGGCGCACGACGTACTCCGGGTCGAGGTGGGCCCAGGCGCCGACGTCGGCGTCCCTCTGCTCGATCCGCGCGAGCAGCGACCGGGCGTACTGCTCGATGGTCAGCGAGCCGTTGCGGATTTCCGCCTGAGCTTGCGCCGCGGTAAGCTGGTAGGGCTTCATTTTTCTGTTCTGTCCGAGCCAAGCTTTGTTCCGCGCCCGATGAAGGATGATTTCTAGGTATCACGAGGGGACTGGCCGAGGGCGTTGGTCCTATTAACCTAACCGTAGGCCCCGGGCGCCACCTCGGGTATTAATACTGGTCTAGTTTAACCGCTCGTTGGGCCAATTTCCCAGGGTATTGGAGTGGGTGGGTTTATTCAAGCGGTCCCCCAAGGCCTTGGCGCCTGTTCTGCGGCGGCTTTTCCGCCGAACCGGTGTCGGATAGTTATCTCACGGCGTTGGCCGCGGCATACGCGGGGAGCAATACGACCGCAACCCCCACTCGGCAGATATGAGCCCGTATGACAGGTAAACATCGCTTCACGTATCGCGACGGCGAGTTAGTAGAAGGGGCGGTGGCCTCATCAGGGCCGGCTGCTGGCTGCTTGGGGCGAGACAGGAGTTCATGTTCGGAGCCAGGGAGTTTGGAAGAGAAGTGGATGCCCCCATGGGGATAGGATGGCGTAAAAGTAGTGAAGATAACAGAAAGTTATCCGCTGTTGGCCGCTTACTAAGTACCTACCTAATACCCAACCTACCTGCCCAGGTAGGTACCTACCTTAGTTGCTCAGGTACCTAAACTATTGCATTCGATTCCCTGCCTCGACATAGAGCTTTGTGTAATAAGTAACTCGTGTTATGTCTTTCCTCTGTCCGGGTCTGCTCCTCTATTCTTATATTTCTTGTCATGTCTCCTTTGTTTTGCGTAACTGCGAGGCATGTGTTCTCCTCGTTTGCCATCATAACGCAGCACAGGACTATAAACAAAGGGTTAACCGGTTGACAGTGTTGGATATTCGGGTTCGAATTAATATGGGTCGAACGAAGGCTAGCAAGTAGGATTTCAGCTTGGCTTTGCGTGCTTGGGACCATTCTAGTACTCGTAGTTGAGAAGCTATAACAGTCTTGCTTGTCTTTTATAACTTATCTGTTACGCTGAAATGTAACGAGAAAGGCTTATGCTCTGCTCTTTTAGCCAGGCACTATTATATAATAAGTATGGCTGTGGGTTTCTATGTTATACAGTCCATCTCTATAGTTGGGGAGTTGCAATGTATTAAGCCTTGCTAGGCGATGGAGCTATACGTTTATGCTTACGCTTATGTACCCTATAATAAGTGGGAAGTTAATGGTGCATTCCATGTAGGTAATAATAAGTAAGGAGGATATCGGTCGGGTTAGTCAAGTAATGTAAGTGCCTATACACCAGTTGCTGTTTCCAGGCCATGCGTTTCTCCACCTAGGCACGCTTGTTTGTGCCTTCCCACCAATACTCGGTGTAACTCCTAATGGCGCCACCGGATTCTCACCGTGCCTTCCAACTCCTTCCAGCGAATGTATCCCTCCTTCCGAACGTGTCTATACCCCAATTCCCGATACATACAATTCGCACTCCGGGAGGTACACATAGGAGGCAGATAAGTCAAGTGAAGGTAGGTAGGTACTTCACGAGGCACCTTAGGTAATTCATCCATTCGCAACTTGCCTACTCAGTGCCTATTATCACATCTACCTCTCGTAGAGGCCGGCGGCTACACGCTATTATAACCAACCTGTGCTCGAGGAGCTTTCGCGTCTTGGTAGCATCCGTACGTCGACTATTTCTCGACTTACCTACCTAGGTACCTACCTGCCTGTCTACCTACCTACTTGTCTGCCCAGGTTTTACCCGTCTATCACCACATATCTCGTGAGATAACACTTGAGAGACATCTCCCGCTCGTCGTGTCGCTACTGCGACAGCTTCTTCTTGACCTAAACTTATTGGATCACCGGATCCCAGCCCTGGTTCTCGCCTGCATCGCAGAGCAACTGTCACATCCCACCCTCCTCAGCCGAACAACCCGGCCCCTGCGCTACGCCGACGATGTCGCCTTCCTCCTTCATCCACTACTCCCCTCAGGAGCTCCTCCGCCTCCGTGCCGGCGTCGGCACCGTCCACACCGTGTTCCTCGCTCGAGAGCTATGGGAACCGCATAAACGCGTAAACTGGCGAGGCCTCTGCGCCGAGCCCATCGTGGCTTGCTGGCTCGCGGCTCGCGAGCGGGAGGTGAATTATAGTCTGAACGGATACACCGAGGAGCGAAACTGCTGGGTCATCGTCCTCGAGCTGGCAGCTCGGCGCAGCGCCACCGTCGAACTGAGACAGGCCGACACGGCCGGGAACACCATCACCGTGTGCCGCCCCGGCCCTGTGCCCAACGTCACGAGCAGGGTCTCCCGAAAGGGATCTCCGATCGACCTCCTAGAAGGTTATGCTTGCAGCTTCAGACTAGGACTCGTCGTTCGACGGACGGTGGGAGACTGGCTCGATACGCTCCAGCGGTCGGGCCTCACCGGATACGCCCTCGAGTGTGGACGTGGTAGGTACCACCTCACCCTGCCGCTAAGGCTAGCCGCCTTGCTCACGTACTGGGTTTCGTGCCCGCTCAGGCCAGAGATACTGGGTACGCGCGGTGGTCCGCCAATTCAAGGACGTCATCTTGGGAAGGGCCCGCAACCTCGAGCAGTCCGAGATGGCACATGTCTGGGAGCTCGGCGACGAAGTCGACCCCCCGAAGGCAAATGGCAGCGGCACAAACGGTACCGGCTGCGACGGCTTCCAACCAGGCCGATTTATCCCCTCCAAGGCGCTTACGAAGCTTGACGTGCCCCGAACCAATGCTCCCGAACTGATTCCGACCGGCCATGAAAAGAGGGGACAGTACTCTGAACACCCTCCTCACACATTGCTAGAGCTATCGACGGATCTGAGCCCCGAATCCCAGACGGAAACAGAGGGTTCGCGGCCCTCGCCCTCGCCCCCAATCCGCCGATTCTACCCATACCAAGGCCCCGAGGAACCATATTATGGAGTCGGTATCGAGGCATGGTTGCGCTTTGCCAAGGCCCACGGCGCCTAGGTAGGCGGGATGGCGAGGGCGGGGTTCATGGTTCCCCTCTCACCGCAACGGCCCCCTTCATATTTGGTTGTGTTAACTAGAGGATTTGAGTATGAGGCGCGGTCTAAAGACCCGTATCTACCTAGGCCGCAACTCACTTAGTTGAGGGTGTTTTGCCAGCATGTTGCGAGAAATAGGAAACTGTAGATGATTCCCGTAAGAGGTTTTTCTGTACAATGATAATGAGTCTTCTGAAGATGACTATGGCTAGCAGTTTTGCGCCTAGGCGGCTGGCTCTGTTTTCCCGTCGTCGGAGCAGTGGACGCAGACCCGGCCCCAGATTGGGTGATTGCATTCAGGCTAAATTCAGGGCGCCTGGACGGGAACATCCCTAGTCCTGGATATCCGTAAAGCTTGGGCAAAGCTGCCGGACGCGCAGGGTGATTGGCCGGGTTATTTCACGTACTTCCGCGCCGCAGAGCTGCATATGCCGTTTGGTAGGTAATAATAACGGCTCCAACTATGCTGCGAGGGGACCGCAGTCCGTAGGTATTATTGAATGCTCCTCTCGCCTCCTTTAGCCTCCTTGAACCCCGACTCTCTGTTCGTGTTCCTATACTCGGGGCACTGCTAGAACTCGTGGGTGCGATCACCTGCGCTCTCCCCTCGCGGTAAATTATCCGCCAGTCGGTTCTCGCCAATTTTTCGGCTTCTCTACCTCGAGGCACGCGTGGTTTTGATTGACCCCAATGCGGAGAGTATATGGGCATGGTGTGGTCAATTCAGGTACGGTGTTTGCCAAGCGAGATATCACGATCTTGGGTAGCATCCTCGCTACTGCACTCCCTCAACATGTCGGCACGGTCTCCGGATTCAATACGTCGTTTCTCCGCCTTAGCTACGACGATGGTCCGTTTTCGCCGCCTACCGGGATAGCTTGTCCCGGTTCTACTTCACTCGGTTCGTTAGAGCTGTCGTATATTACCCTGGCCGTTCCCGCTTCGCAGCCCACGATATGTCCTCGAACTTACCTGTGCTCTGGTGATGCTACGCTCACTTAGATAGCACACTCGGGACTTCTACTCTTGCAGTGGATGCTCTTGAAGGTGCCCTGTTCAGTAGTGTGGAACTAGCACTGGGACATACTGCGAGCTCCTAGATATGCACCTCCTCACCCCACGATGCCAGCTGCTGATCCAGGCGGCGGCAATAGGGTTCGCCCCCCTCGCCGCCGCCCTAGGACAGAAGCAGGTAATTAGCTTCACTAGCAGTCCAGGGGCTTTTCAGCTAGCCGGCGGAGCGGTCTCCCAGCCGCAGATTCTCGTTTCTGACAATGAGTACTGGGGCGTCGTCCGCGCCGCGGGGGATCTCGCTAAGGACTTCGGACGGGTGACCGGGACCAACCTCACCCTGAGCAATGGCCAAGAGGGGGCTAAACCAGCCGCGTACGAATACAGGCCGATAACCCAAAACTACACACATGTAAGCCGAAGAAAAAAAACACCTAACAGGCTTGGAGTGTAGTAGATATGAGCCTCAATTGTGGTTGTTCTGAGCCCGAGAGATAGAGACCGTTCGCTAATGGATTGCTAGTATGAGGTTAACGAACCGCAACACTTTGATGGCCCCGAGTACGCCGATCCATCGCTTGAAAACACTGTGATAATTGTCGGCACGCTGGGACATTCCACGGTAATCGATGACCTCGTTAAGGCAGGAAAGTTGAACGTTTCCGAAGTTGAGGGGAAGTGGGAATCTTTCGCTACCAAAGTCGTCGAGGAGCCGATAGTTGGATGCGCAAAGGCCCTGGTTATCGCGGGCAGCGATCCCCGTGGGACCATCTTCGGTATTTACGACATCAGCGAGCAGATCGGCGTCAGCCCATGGTACTGGTGGGCGGACGTGCCAGCGAAGCAGTCGAAAGAAATCTACGCCCTCCCGGACGGAAAGGTGCAAGGTCCCCCCTCGGTCAAGTATCGCGGCTTTTTCATCAACGATGAGCAGCCTGGGTTGTCAGGGTGGGTCCAGTGGAATTACCCGGACACGCCGTACGGGGACGGCTACGGCGCCAACTTCTACTCGAACGTTTTCGAGCTGCTGCTTCGACTACGGGCCAACTACCTGTGGCCGGCCCTGTGGGGGACCATGTTCGAGATCGACGATCCTGCGAACCAGCCACTCGCCGACGCGTGGGAGGTCGTACTGGGCAGCTCACACACCGAGCCGATGATGCGCGCTCAGAATGAGTTCGGTAACTTCTACATAAATAAAGGCCTCGGCCCATGGGCGTACAATCTGAACAATAAGACGATCGACGAGTATTTCGTTTATGGCGCGCAGAGGGCTAAGCCTTACGCCCGCAACAGCCTATGGACCATGGGCATGAGAGGAACTGGAGATACCGCAATCGAGGGCCTAGGTGTCGAGGTTATCGTCGAAATGCTAGAGACGCTTGTTAGTAACCAGAGAGCCATTATCGAGGATGTCCTAGAGGCCGACATCACCGACGTCCCTCAGCTGTGGTGTCTGTACAAAGAAGTCATGTCATATATCCTCCAGGGTCTAACAATCCCCGAGGATATCACCCTCCTATGGGCCGATGACAACTGGGGCAACGTGCGACGGGTGCCTATCGGAAACGAGACGGCCCGGTCTGGAGGCGCGGGCGTCTACTATCACTTCGATTACGTCGGCGACACTAGGAATTATAAGTGGATAAACACGATCCAGCTGGAGAAGACGGCGGAGCAGATGCAGCTCGCATATGCCCACGGCGCCGATCGAATATGGATTGTCAACGTCGGCGATCTGAAGCCCCTCGAGATTCCGCTAACCCACTTCTTGGACATGGCGTACGATATTAACCGATGGGGGGTAGACAACGTTACTGATTGGACTCTCGCTTGGGCTGCTCGCGAGTTCGGATCAGAGCACGCCGCAGACATAACGGACATCATGACGCGGTTCGGCACGTACGCTGGGAGGAGGAAATTCGAGCTGGTCGAGCCGTACGTCTACTCGGTCGTAAACTACAACGAGGGCGACGCGATACTTGCGCAATGGCAAGCCCTAGTCGGCGACGCCCAGGTGGTCTACGACCGATTAGACGAAGCTTACCGGCCGGCGTTCTTCGAGATGGTGTTGCACCCCGTCCTCGGCGGCCAGATCATCCACCAGGTCCACATCGGCGCCGGAAAGAACATGGTCTACGCGAACCAGCACCGCAATGCGGCCAACGACCTCATCGCCGAGGTCCTGGAAAGGTTCAACGCCGACGCGAACCTCACAGCTAGATGGGATAGCCTATTAGACGGGAAATGGAAGCACATGCTAGACCGTAAGTCGGCCGAAACACTCAACAACCGCAGACCCTCGAAGTCTGTCGAACTAATTCTGTTAATAGAAACACACTTTGGATACGACGGCTACTGGCAGCAGCCGATGCGGAACGTACTCCCGGCCATGGCCTACGTCCAGACTGCGGTGTCGTCCATTGCAGGCAACGTAGGTATCGCCATCGAGGGGCTCAACGCCAGCATTCCCGGCGACAACAAGTACCACGCCAACTCGGGGCGGAATCTGGTGCTGCCGCCGCTCGACCGCTACGGCCCCGCCACGCGCTGGCTCGACGTCTACTCTCGCGGCACCCTGGACTGCGAGTGGCGCGCCGAGGCGGACCTGCCCTGGGTGAAGCTGCGGCCGCAGGCGGGGACGGTCGGCCCGACGAACGGCACGGATTCGCGGGTGCTGGTGTCGATCGACTGGGCGAGCGCGCCGGCGGGCGGCGGCGACACGCTGGCCAACATCAGCTTCTCGACGGGGTGCGGCCGGGACGGCTTCTCGCGCTGGTACGGCGCGCCGGTGGTGCAGCTGCCGGTCAGCCTGTGCGCGGTGCCGGCCAACTTCACGCGCGGGTTCGTCGAGTCGGACGGGCACGTCGCCATCGAAGGCCCGCACTACCAGCGCGTGCACACGCCGCCGGGCGCCGCCGCCGCCGTCTCCTACCGCACGCTGCGCAACTACGGCCGCACGCTCGGCGGCGTCACGCTCTGGCCGCAGTCGGCGCCGCCGCAGACCCCGGCTACCGCGCCGGCGCTCGAGTACGACGTGTACCTGTTCACAAACGCGTCGCGCGCCAACGTGACGCTGTATCTGTCGCCGACGCAGAACTACCTGTCGGACGGGACGCCGCTCGAGTTCGCGGTGTCGCTGGAGCCGGCGGACGCCGTGGGCGGCTCGCCGCCGCAGGTGGTCCAGTTCGTGGGCGAGAGCGTGGGCCAGGGGATGCCGCCGGGGTGGGGGCGGGCGGTGGCGGACGCGGTGTGGGGGCTGGCGCCGGCGCACAGGACGACGACGACGTGGCGCGTGGCGGGCGAGGGCGCGCACCGGCTGCGCGTGTGGGGGCTGGCGCCGAGCGTGGTGGTGCAGAAGATCGTGGTCGACCTCGGCGGCGTCCGCGAGAGCTACCTCGGCCCGCCCGAGAGCTTCCTTGTCGGCCGCGATGAGGTCGGCGGCTACGACGGGACGAGCTTCGCGACGGGGCCCGGTGTGGTCGGGCAGTTGACGGGGAGTAGAGAGGGGAGGTGAGCCGCGCCGGGGCGTAGCCGTAGGTATGTTGCGAGGTGATTGTAGGTAGGCAGGTAGGTAGTACCTCGGGAGGCTCCTAGCCTCGCGCCGTCTCTGCCTACAGGTACGTTCCGCCTAGAGTTAGTGAACAGTGCCCATGCCCATGGGATATAGGCAGACACTTGAGGAACTACCTACCTGGCTCAGTTGTCCACTACGGGTATCATAGCCTCCGAGACGAGCAGGCATAAACCCCTAAATTGAGACAATGGCGAACGCCTGTTAGGGCTGCGATGTCGTGGTATTTCAGTCGCCCCTATTTACGAAGTACCTCTACTAGGTACCTTTCTTGGGCGCAGTGCAGGGGATAGCCAACTCGTTACAAGCAACAACCCGCTAGCCCGCACATTCACCTACGCAAGGGCAGCTCACGTGTTTTGCGGCCGGTGATTGGCCGCGCCCGCCCAAAAGTCTGGGGTTGCTCAGGCTAGGTCTCCAGGGTGCCGGCCAATCAGGTGCTCCAGTCCCCTGGGGCAGCGTCTGGCTTGCCGGTTGCTGCGGAGACGTTTAGCGGCCATCAAATCAACACGCGCGCGCCCCCCCAAGAAAAAAAAAATAACTTGACTCCTCCCTAGGGTATGGTACATGCCCGTCTGCCTCGCCTCGCCTGTGTCCTGCGTAAACATCACTTCCGCCCACACACACAACACATGCATGCGCAGGTTGGTTCTTGGCTCCTGCTGATGACGATACATAACTCAGCTGCCGCCTCCCACCGCCTATCGCCGGCCGACAAACCCAACACCTCTTCCCTCCCTTGCTTCCTCCCAAACTCCGTACTAACCTAGGTAGAGCAGCCAGCAGCCCATCTTGGCCTGAGGACACACACCATCACGACGACGGCAACCACCTTCACCGCACACGACCGGACCCCACTGGCTGGAATGCGGTTTGGAGTGTAGCCAGCCAGCCAGGTCTCTCGACTTTTGTTGTAATTCACTAACGACGAAACCTTCATTATTTCTCTCTCTTTTTTATACCGCTACTTCCAGTCTTTTCCTTTCCTCGTGGACACGCAGATACAGATACACACACACACTCCTTTACCGGTGTTTTTATGTGCCGACGTCGCCTCGAGCTCGATTGCCGCCCGACATTACTTAGTTCATAACGCCGAAGAAATCTCTACGAGGGAGGGAGAAAAAAAAAAGAAAAGAAGGGTCAATAGAAACAATAATAGCAACAGCAACAACGACAACAACGTACGAGATGTCGACGACAGACCCGGGAGCGTCCTCCATCACGGTCACAGGTACGCTACCCTGCTCCCTCCGCCTAGCTGCCTCTACGTAAACGCAATCGAGTGCTAGCCGATGCTAACGGTTACTCGAATGCAGTCCGAGTGCGGCCGTTCACCATCCGAGAAGCCGCACAGCTGTACGTTTTGAAACTCCCCGGGAGATATCAACACTGACCGACGGGCGAAAATTTCTAACTGGGCCACTGCAGGCAGAAGAACGACGACGGCACCCTGTTCCTCGGAGACGGCTCCTTGGCCGCCGCTCCTACCCCCAAGCTTAAACAACACGGCATCCGCTCCGTCATAAAAGTGGTCGACGACAGATGTCTGTAAGTATCTTCACCTGCGAGGCGGTCGGGTCTAGGCTGGCCCCCCGCCGACATCACCGATGAATGTGCGTTGCGTCTGACGTCTCTGCCTTGTTAGAGTGTTCGACCCACCGGAAGACAGCCCCGTGCATAGGTTCTCGAGATCGGTAGTCCCGAACGGCAAGAAGGTCAAAGACCAGGTCTTCGCCTTCGACCGGATATTCGACGAGAACACGACTCAGACCGAGGTATACGAGGCCACCACAAAGACGCTACTCGACAGCGTCCTCGACGGCTACAACGCCACCGTCTTCGCGTACGGAGCCACGGGATGCGGCAAGACCCACACCATCACGGGCACGGCCCAGATGCCCGGCATCATCTTCTTGACAATGCAGGAACTGTTCGAGAAGATTGCCGAGCGCAGCGACGAGAAGCACACCGAGATATCACTGTCCTACCTGGAAATCTATAACGAGACGATCCGAGACCTGTTGGTCCCCGGAGGCAGCAAGCAGGGATTGATGCTCCGCGAGGACTCCAACCAGGCCGTCACCGTAGCCGGGCTCACGAGCCATCATCCTAGGGATGTCCAAGAGGTCATGGACATGATCGTACAGGGGAACGAGTACCGAACCGTATCGCCGACGGAGGCGAACGCCACGTCTTCGCGATCGCATGCCGTCCTTCAGATCAACGTCGCCCAGAAAGACCGCAACGCGGCGGTCAGCGAACCGCATACCATGGCTACCCTTAGCATCATCGATCTCGCGGGTAGCGAACGCGCCAGCGCGACCAAGAACCGGGGCGAGAGGCTCTTAGAGGGTGCGAATATCAACAAGTCGCTTCTCGCACTGGGTAGCTGTATCAACGCGCTCTGCGACGCGCGGAAGACGAACCACGTGCCCTACCGAAACAGCAAGCTCACACGGTTGCTCAAGTTCTCTCTAGGCGGCAACTGCAAGACGGTCATGATCGTATGCGTCAGCCCGTCGAGCGCGCACTTTGACGAGACGCAGAACACGCTACGGTACGCCAACCGCGCCAAGAATATCCAGACCAAGGTGACTCGGAACGTCTTCAACGTCAACCGCCACGTGAAGGATTTCCTAGTCAAGATCGACGAGCAGATGGCATTGATTAACGAGCCTCAAGGCCCAACAGAAGGACGCCGAGCGAACCTTCTTCATCAAATTCCAGAAGCAAATGGAGAAGAGGGGATATTCTGTGAAGGAAGGAGTGCAGAGGATCCGAAACGCATACGAAAATTCGCTACCCGAAAGGCAGGAGAAGGTGAACAACATGAAGAAATTGAGAGGTATCGAGCGGCGCATCGGCCTCCTGTCATCCTGGATCGCTTCGTTCGACGCCGTCTGCGACGCGAGAGAGGATGAGGGCGCGATGCCGTCGAATCTGGTAGCCATGCGGAAGACGGCACAGGGCATCCTGCTGGAGCTCGAAAACAGCCGGTACCACATCCACCAGAAGTTGGACAGGGCGAACTGGGAACGCGCCATCGACGGAGCTCTGCAACACAGCATCAGCCAGCTACCCGCGGGAGACGGCTACGCAGACAACGGCGAAATCGACAGCCTGACAAGGGAAGCCGAGCTCTTAAAGTGCAAGTTCGCCCGGGAGGCCGACCGCGAAGTCCTGGAACAGGACAAGGTAGGCGATACGGCAACGATGCAGGTCCTTCTCACCGCGCAGTTCGAGACGCTCGCGTCGCTCTCCGAGACGATAAGCATGAGCGAGGAAGAGGCCGTCGCGCACGCCAAAAGCATCATCAACCGCCTGCTCGAGACCGGTTACGCGGCCACCTCGCAAGTCGTCAAACCCGACGGAGTTAAGATGCCCGTCGAGGCATTCCCGCCCACGAAACGCGGAACGCCCAAGCGAAAGAAGATCTCGCTGCTGGGAAGGGAGCCAATCAAACCCATCCCGATCCCGGCGCTATCAGCCATCGCGGAATCTGAGGCAGAGCAGCTGCTGTCGCCCGTCAGGGGCTCTCCGCGACGCCGCAAGGCGCTCAACGCACGGAAAGGGGTTTCCTTCACTCCGGTCAAGAAGAGGTCTCCCTCAAAGCGGGCGGTCCGCTGGCGCGACGACGACGGCGAGACCCTGGCAGATTTCGAGAAAACCCCTAAGAGATTCGAGTCCTCGCCGGATCGAGCCTCGCCAGGAAGAGCGATACCCCGATTTAACCCCATCCCGTTCTCCCCTATCAAGAACAGGGTAGCTGTGGAGGAGCCAAGCCCCCCCGTTACCGCTCCCGAGGCGACGTCAAGCCTCCCCGTTGCGAAGCCTAACAGGTTTCAAGCAGGCTTCCTGTCTAAGTCTCGGTCCCCGGATGCCCGCGCCTCTCCCACGCCGCCGACCATCTCCATCAACCTCACTTCGCCGGAGCCCGAAGAAAAGCCCAGCCCGTTGCGCAACCTTGACGTATCCCGAACCGCTAATATCGGCTCTCCCGGGTCGACGCGTCGCGCATCCTTTAGCCCCAAGGCAGCCGCGGCCACGGCCTCGTCGTCTATCCCCGCGCCTGTCCAGGCTTCGTCACTGTCGACGACAACCTTCCGCTCTTCATCCTCTTCTTCGGATGAAAACCACCCCCCGTCCTCAGACGACTCCGAGACATCCAACTTCATCGACGCGTCGAAGCTGCGGTCGGCGCTTCACGCGAGCAAGCGACCCAAGAGGCTGTCGATGCTCGCGGGGAGCGTCGGGGCCGCCGGCTCGGCAGGCGCTCGACGCGTCTCGTCGATCGGGTCCTTCGGTGGCTCGCACAAGGCCGGCAACGGCGCCGGCTACTACGGCCACAGCTACCACCACCACTCGGCGCCGCTGGCCTCGAGCACCAACGGCATCTCGCGGAACCGCCGGAGCAGCTCCGAAAGGCGCCGCAGCCCGCCCATCAGCTGCTCCCCGCCGGACCTGGGCGGCCCCGGGAGCGGCGCCAGCGCGTTCAAGGCCTTCACCCTGGGCCAGGCCAGGCGCATGAACCTCGCGGGCAGCCTGCGCGGCGGCGCCGGCTCGAGCGTCCTGCAGGCTGCGGGCGCCACACAATCCGACGGTGAGCGCGGACGCCGCATCACTATTGGCGGTGCGGCGGTGACGGCTGGCGGGGTTGGAGTGGGCGGGGACGCGCGCAGAGGGGAGAAGGGGGCGGTGGTGTGGCGATGAGTGTGACGACCTGAGCGAGAACCGACGCCTATTCATGATTTACGGACGGGAGAGGGTTGAGGATGAGGGCTGATTTCGCAGACCGCGTTCCCTTGCGTGCGTGCGTGCTTGTTTTTTGTCCTTGCTTCCGGAGTCAGTGGGAGGAAGGAGGGTTTCTGCCTATAGAAGAAGGCGTTCAGGATCTGTTTTCCCCTCTATCTGCTTCTCGTCACGTCCGTCTCCTTCACCAACGTGTCGGGACTGGTTTTCCTCTCCGCCCGCCTCTCAGTCCAGTGGGCAGCCTTACCTCTACTATATCGCTTCGACTTCGGCGCGGGCTTCGATAGCCATGCTCGGCGAAGATCTCTCTCCCCAATTCGTCCCTGACAGTGCCAAACATGACACTACGTTTTCCCCCTCTATCCTCCATTCAACCCGTACCGCACAACCCTGCCACGCTAGCAGCCATCGTGGCGATTATAGGCGATGGGGTTTGGTATTCGGGGTTGTCTGGACACGACTCAAATGTATAATTTGTCCGCTCTTCCATCGTCTGTTTTTTGTGTGTCTGTGGCCTGTTCGTGTAGGACGATTCAGCCTTTATATGCCTAGGCACTCTTCTACCTCCAATATATTCACAGACTCGCAATCTGTCGACCTCTTCCGGCCGGGTCGGTCTAGTCCCATTTCCGGGTCTGAGGTATCGTTTGCCGCCCTCGCGTGACTATCGTGTAGTATTATCGAGGCAAGGCTTTATTCTGGCGATGTGGGTTCTCTTGGGAAGATGAGGTTTGGTATTGAGGCCGCGTTCGTCAGGTAAAAGTACTACATGACGGTGGGTGGTTGGTGTGAGTGCTTGATGCAGTATCCGAGGGGCGAGGGGAGCGTAAGTACTCGTATTCAGCGTTTGCTGACTGATACCCCCCCCCCCCCCCCACCATTTTAGGCGCCCTACAACGTCGACAACCTTAAACACACCTGCTATAATGTACCTAGATACTCAAGGTATAGGCCTATCCCTAGGTACGAGGCGACTCAGCTAGGCACCTAATCTAAGGCGCCTAACCCGCCCTGCATTAATGTATGAACAAGACACCTGCTCTATGACGATACCCCCCTTATTACGATACCCGCTCACTTGCTAAATCCCACCGTCGTATGGAGCAACCAACGTAGGCAAATCAGGGGGTGTCCGTTCCTTTTGTATGAGGCACGCAAACGCTTGGCGTTTGATTGTCACGGGAGCGCGCGATCTCCGTGCCCCGTCGTCGCCGTCATCGCAACCCGGGGATCTCGCATTCCTCCCAGCCGCGGAATCGAGCACAACTCATATACCTACCTGCCATGCCGTACCTCGGGGCGGCAGCGCAAATGTGGGCAACGCCTTGAGAACAACGGGCATCTAGAGTGGAAAGAAAAAAAAAGGCAGACATGGCGGACCCCGTACACGTCCTCGACGACTACTACCTCGCCATCACGCTGCTCGTCACCGTCGCCTACCAGCTCTGCTTCTTCGCTATCGCCTTCACTTTCAAGTTCGACAAAGTAACAGGTTCTTGCCGCCCCCTCCCTTCTACCGTCCCTCTCCTTCTCTTCTAAATTTTTTTTTTCCTCTTCTTCTTCAGGCCACTAATACCACCCCCGCGATAGACTTCGCCGGCGGCACCAACTTCGTGCTCCTGGCGGCGCTGACGCTGGGCCTCAGCCGCGAGCCGGACGCGCGGCAGGCCGTGGCGTCGGCCCTGCTCGTGGCCTGGGCGCTGCGGCTGTCGCTGTTCCTGCTGCGCCGCGTGCTGCTCGCGGGCCGGGACGCGCGCTTCGACGGTATACGCGACCGCCTCTTCCCCTTCCTCGGCTTCTGGACCCTCCAGGCGCTCTGGGTGTGGGCCGTCTCGCTGCCCGTCACCGTGCTCAACTCGCCCGCCGTCCGCCGCCGCCCCGCCGTCCCCTTCGGCACCGCCCGCGACGTCGCCGGCGTCGTGCTCTTCGCCGTCGGCTTCCTCGCCGAGGCTGCGAGCGACGTCCACAGGTCCGCCTTCCGCCGTCGCAACCCCGACCGCGCGGCCATCTGCGATTCCGGCCTGTTCCACTTCAGCCGCCACCCGAATTACTTTGGCGAGATCATCCTTCAATTCGGTGGGTGTGCAATTGCGTACCGAAACATTTATTAATCGTCGGCTTGATAGCGTGAGCGACTAATGTCTGAGTAGCCATCTACATGATATGCGTCTCGGCCGTTGCGGATGGTGATGCCGACGGTCCAGCGTACGACGCTCTCTACGCCACCATCGTAGGACCCTTCTTCATGACTTTCCTGCTCCTGTTCGTCTCGGGCCTACCGCTGTCGGAACGGCCGGGGGCCCGAAAGCGGTACGAGAAGGGCCTTAATTGGGATGCGTACCAGCGATACCTCAACCGCACTAGCATCCTTATCCCCTTCCCGCCGTGGATCTACGAGCGGCTGCCGACCTTTCTCAAGCGGACTGTGTTCCTCGAATTCTCAATGTACGTGTTTGACCCCGCTAAGCACTCTAGTGGAGTCGTCGCGGCGGAGGAAGGGCAGAACGAAGAGGGACGTTTAAATGGATAGGGGCGGCGGCGATAGTGTCAGATCTAACAAACGGTATCTCTCAACACTCAATCCGGCGGTATACCTATGTTGAGTGCTGGTCACGGCCTCTTCTCCCACCCTACATTACGATTAGCCAACCCGGACGGAGCCGATATATTTACAAGAGCGCTGTGTGCGGTACCTACATCGTCTCATACCATGCTAAACTCGCAGCCTCCCTTGATGCGCCCACAAGTAGGCGCAGCAGCCCCATCCTGTCCCCCCTTCCCCATCTCCTCTTCCCCAGCTGATTCAAACCCGCCGCTACCGGCGAGCTCGCGGAAGCCATCGTCGCCACTGCCATGGCTGGCATCGAGGGTACGGTTTCGGGGCGATTGGTCGAGGGAATCCTGGGAGGTGCTGTGCCCGGAGTCCCAGGGTTCGCGCGAGTACGACTCACAGCCCTCGGGGATGGGCACCATGGCCGACTTGGTCCAGATGTGGATGGCACCCGACCAGTCGAGGCCCTCGATGCACTATGCTCGATTGTCAGAAATAGGTATGTGTATGACGGTAACGAAAAAGGGGCAAGGGTAAAGTGGCTAGGAGTGTTCTTATTCCCGTATGTGGGTCAATGTACACGTCTCCCTGAGGGAGAGAGGAGGGGAGGACTTATAACGAATTGAAAGGAGATAAGACAGGACGGAACGGGATAGGATAAGAACGAGAGGATATAAGATGTACTTACTCCTCCCTTGACAGACACTACGTTTTTGCCCTACGTTATTTCCCCTCGGTTAGCCGCGGTCACATATAGCTCTCGAGTGACGAGTCACGTTAGTGCTGAATATAGGGGTTCTTACCGACGCCATGTGCAGCATTCTGGTCCCGCAGTTTCGGCAAAAATAACTATTCGAATTTTGAGAATCTAGATAACTAGAGGGCATCACAGACCAGTAGGGGGGCGGCTTACCAGTACAGCATATGGCCCGACTCCGTTGGCCGCCTACGTTGGCGAGTTAGTACGGTTACTTCTCTCTCCTCGCCTCCTTCTCATCCTCTTTAGGACGGCCCGATAAAACGTAGAAACCCGGAAAGGAAAAAGAAAAGGCAAAGAAGGAGAACAGGAGGAATTCAAAAGTTCAAAATGAATAAACACCAAAGGAATAAAGGGACGGGAGAGGAGAACATACGTGTAACAGGACAGCAGCTCGGAGCGCGGCAGGGGGAACCGGGGGAAGATGGCGGAGGTACCGAAGGCGGAGCTGGCCTGGCGGCGGCACTCGACGCAGTGGCAGATGTAGAGGGCGAGGGGCTTGGCGAGGGGTGTCTGGAAGGTGACGGAGCCGCACTGACAACGGGCCTCCATTGTGCATTGCCTTCTTTTTATTTTATCTCCGTATCTTCCTCTCGATATTTCCCGGTTCTGTGGTATTTCCGTCCGCTTGTGATTCGTACAGGCAATGGGTACGTGTTGTTAGGTTCTTAAAATTAGTCAGAACCCTGTGCCCAGCTGTTACCAGCGTCGGTGTCAATCGCAGCCAGTAGGCAGACAGTTAAGTACTTCGATATCCCACGCTCGGCTCGCAGCTAGCCTTATATGCGGCTCCCCACGCCCGCGTCGTGCCCCTGCGGAAAAGACGCCGGCGGCCGGGGGGGGTGAAGCGGTATGGAGGTATGAGGATATGGGGAGTCCGGGGTGGAAGATTGCGGACAGGCGATAACGTGTCTGTGTGTATCTCTCTGTCTTGCCGGCAGCGAGTCTGGCTCGACAACTCAAGTTGCAGTCTGATCGAAGCGAATTCGACAAGAAGCTGGCGGCGGCTGTTATATACCTACCTATGTCAGCAAGCCAGCCGGCCAGCAGCCTTGGCCATGGGCAAACCCAATAATGGACGGTGATAGGTAGAGATAGGAGGTATTAGAAGGCAGCGTGAGAGGGGGGGGCGAGGGCCTACCGCACTCGGAGTGGGCCGGTAAGCTATAGAGAGAGGGGAGAAGAGAGAAGACGAATCGAGTAAGTAAGCAGCGTAGGATTCGCCAGAACCAGGCTCCTTATGCACCGCCTACCCACCCCCCTTACGTGAGTTAGGTAAGGACTAGGTAAGTGATCCCCGCACAGAGTACCACGGGTCAGTATGGACAACCTGGTACATGCACGTATCCTATACGCAGCCCTATTAGTAGGTACCTATAGATAGGACTATTAGTAGATAGGTTATTAGTATAGCCCGGTTAGTAATCTAGCACACTTCATAGGCATCGATGGATGTGTAGATCTCCCCTTTCCTCCTCCCTAACCGCCGGCCCGCATCCCCTACCTGGCACCTCTCCACTCCCACGTTCTCCCTTCCGGACGCCATGTCACTCACACCTACGGATTCGGTCCCCTCGGTCGAGCTTAGCCCTCTCTCCCCGACGTGCCATTCCAATGATCTACGGGACGACCTACCTACTAGAGCCACGACTCCCGCATGAGACCGTGAGGCTCGCGAGCTCACAGGTAGTTGCCTAGGCATAGAACCAAGAGAGTAGGCGCAGAGCGGAGCTGGCTCCGCCGGGGTCTTCTTTAGCGGTGACGAAAATCACAGCGGCGCAACAGCCTCAACCGACAACCGCCCTCGTCCGCGCGCGTACCTACGTATAAGGGTTGAAATTACTAATATAGCCATTGTCCCATGCGTAGCCATTATCAACAGCCGCGACAGACTAGACCATCCTTGTTCGTGTATCTACCTATGCTGCACAACATACCTATAGGAAGACGCGGCGAAAGAGAAACAGGGGACCTCCGCAGACGGACAAGATGTACGGCTACCTCCGAGATACAGAGCGTCCCCCAGTCTTCCCCGACCGACCTAACTAAGAACAGGGTGGGTATTCATCAATTTCCTCTCGTAACTCTCGCACCACCTCCGCAAGCCGCATGGCCGAGCCCCACGAATACATTCCGGCCTGGCGCCACCGCGGGAAAACGTCTATAGCGAGAGTCGCAGACATACCCATCGCCGCCGTAGCCATCATCACCGTCGCCGCCGCCGCCATCATCGTCAGTCCCGTCGGTCTCGTACGGCCCGTCGGAATCCGTGCCGGAATCGTCGTCGTCGGCGCCGCCGCCGGCGGGGCGCAGAAGGCTCTAGAGCCAGCGCAGCCGGCGGGCGACCAGCCGCACGCAGTAGCGCGCGGCGCGGAAGGCGACGTAGGCGGCGATCAGCAGCGGGGAGGCGGCGGTGAGGACGACGCACGCGGCCAGGACCGGGGCAGCGCGCAGGAACAGCCGCGCCAGCCCCCAGTGCAGGCGCAGCACGATCATCGGGTCTTCGCCCTCGGCCAGGACGCCGAGGAGCAAGGCGGTGACGAAAGCGGCCCACGAGAGGGCGAAGGACAGCACCGAGGTGACGACGTCCTGCGGCACGGCGGCCGCTAAGTCGGCGATGATGTTGACCGTCTGGTTCACGTAGCCGGCGATCACGTTGGCCGTCTCATTTACGTAGCCGATTAGCACGGCGAGCTCGTCGTTGTTGGCCATTGTGGAGCTGCGAGTACGTGAGATTGCTCGGGGTATAGGGGCCGATGGAGTTGGTTCTTTGAAGTCTTGGACTGCAAGATAGGGTGTATATTGCTGCCTTGCTAGAGAGTCAGCTAGCTAGCTCAGAACTTCAGGAGATCAGATCCGGCGGAGATGGCCAACCTGGGTGTGCGAGACCGTGACGTTCTTGAAGACGAGTCTCTCTCTCTCTCTCTCTCTCTCTCTCTCTCTCTCTCTGAGTTCTCTGCCAGGTGCGTCAGCATATCTCGCTCCGACGGACGCCGCCGAGCCAGGGGCAGAGCCAGCAGCGGCAGCTTCACCACATACCTAGTTCTTGACCTCCGGTTCCAAGTCTTGACAGGGCAGTTTAATGATGGGACCTGGTGGGAGATGAGATGGTGGTAGGTGATGGGAGGTGAGGAGGAGCTGAGCAAGCCAAGTACTGAAAGGGAGAAACAAATACTCAAGACGTGAATCGCCAGGGCAAAGGCTTCAGCCAACAGCACGCAAGCGGTCCAGAATAAAAGCCACTATACCCCCCAAGGGGGGCCATCGCCGCGGCAGGTATCTACTGCTCTCATCCCCAAGGCGATGGAATACATGATACCCACTCGCGCGTAACCACAACGCAGGGCCTGTGTGCCTGTGCCGGAGTAGCGACACTGGAGCACAGCTAGACTAGACCGCATTGCGAAGCAAGCGCAGTCCCATCATCCACAGCGGCCATGATACCGATACTACGTGCTCTAGATGCCATCAGGCCTGTTGCAACATGTATATATTTATATACGAGACGCACGTAGCCACGTACCGTGGACGCGACACACATACATGTGCAGTTGATATAGCACATATCCCAGACCGATCCGGGCGAGTCCCGTTCACTCTAATTTCCCCCCTTCCCGCCCCCTGTGTAGTCCGTGTATATGCAAGTAAACAAATGTGTAAGGAGTGCCGTCCGTGCTCCGAGCGTCGCCTAGCCCGCCCGCTCGCCTAGTAGCTCCTATGTGCGTCTGGGCTGGCTACGCGTGTCGCTATTCCTCCTCCTCCGCGTGTGCACTCCGGGTGGTCGCCGACGTTTCGTTTCGATCTAAACCCTCGTTTTCCGGCTCGACCTGTCCCAGGAAGTCCACCGCCCCTCCCTCCCTTTTTCTCCCCCTTTTCCCGGTTATCAATCGAGGCAGAATCCCGTCCCAGTAGCTCAATTCTCCACGTCCCTCTCGACGCAAGACACCCGGACGCGGGGGGGCGGCGTGGCGCTCGCGTCGGCGGCGTCGGCGCCGGCCGCGGGCTCGTTGAGCGCCTCCTCCAGGCTCCGGCACCACGCGACCTTGGCCACGTCGTCCCAGTCGGCGACGGCGAGCTCGACCTCGAGGCGGCGGAGCCGGCGCAGCCGCTTGAGGCCGCCCGCGATCCAGGCCTCAGGGTGGCCCGCGGCGTCGCGCACGCGCACCGTCGGCGCGCCGCGCTGCGGCGAGCCCGCCACCGCCCACGACCCGACGCCGCCGCCGCTCCCGTTCCCGGCCCCTCCGCCCCCGCCCCCGCCGTTGCCGCCGAGGATCTTGAGCCGCAGGCCCCGCAGCCCCCCCGACCACGCCGCGCACACGTCCCGCCACTCGTCCGCCAGCCGCCCCGCGAGATCCCGCGACAGCAGCTCGAGCCGCGCGTACCGCATCGACTGTGCCTGCCACGGCTGCAGGCCCCGCATGAAGGACCGCGTCGCCCAGAGCCCCGACGAGAACCAGTTGACGAAGACGAACTCGTTCTCCAGGAACGGCAGGCACCGACTCTCGACGTACACCTGCCTGCTGGTCTGGAGAACCGCAGTAGGTATGCAGCAGTACGGCCGCCACGGCGAGAGGAGCGACGACGATGGCGACGGCGATGGTGATACGGACGACGGTGACGACGGGGTGGCGACTCGGGTTCTCGACTCCTGGCGATCCTCCGTTGCCGGTTCCTCCACATCCTCTTCGCTTAGGCCCTCTCGAGCGACTGCCATGTTCAGTGGGTCGCAGATAGGTGGTGTCGAGTTCGGCACGACGGCTCTAACACGGTACATCCGGCTGAGGGGATTCGGGCACCACGGCGCGAACTGGGTTAACCTGATGGGGTTCATGAGGTAAACCCATCGATATATCTGCAGCCTGATCTCGAAGGGCAGGTCCATAAACGGGAAGTATGTCTCGTCATCGAAGCTGCTGGCGGAGGCCGACATGGCTGGGGTCGCCGGCCCCGTCCCGTACCCGGACCACCCGTCGTTTGAGACCTCTCCTAACATGAGAGCCTCGAACTCGGAGAGGACTTCTTGGCTGAGGGTTTCCGCACAGTTAGGCTCCGAGTTTAAAGCATCCATCGGGCCAGGGGCGACCTGCTGCGCTATGCAATCACCTCGGCTCCACGGCACAATAGTCCCGCCCTCCCACCTGGAATCGTCGACCGCGTCCCCGGCCATCTTAAGAGGTGTATCCGCGGCTAGAGAATGCCGTAGCACAGCATTCGGTGCAGCAAGCGACGTGACGATTCTTCACGGGCTGCCGAGGGGGAGTGCGCAAACAGGAGGGCGAGGCTACACTAAAATGTCTCGAAAGGGCCTGATAGGGAACGTGATACAGCAACAAGAGAGGGGCCGGCTCTTCCGCTTCACGCAATATGGCCTGGAGAATGACAGTGTGTGTATCTGAGCCTTGATACCGGCTCGTTGCCAAGGCCCTTGCGTCGGATTCTATCCGAGTACACCGAATCTGCAAATCTAGCAGCTTAGCGGCTCGAACTGTCGGACAGGGTGTTCGAGGCACCACCAATCACGCTGCTTTCCGTCAGCGGCCACGATGGTTACAGTCGGCAGGGAAAGATGTAGGAAGCAAGATGAGCAGGTAGGGGGGGGAGGGAAGCGGGGGGAGGCGGGAGGCGAGAGGCAGACAGACCGGGCGAGAAGGTAGACAAGCAGGGAGATGCGAGAGCCGCGAGCGATAGCATCAGCTTACATAGGGAAACTTGGTCACAACCAAACTAGCCTTTGTATGCGATGCGCTCCCCCGGTTGTCAGCCCTGTCATCCCCCCCCCCTCATCATCGCTTTGGGTTGCAGCGGTGTATGTGCTGTAGCGTAGCCCCAGCGGCCCGCCCATGAAGGGTGCGATTCTGCGAGTGAGCGTCGAACCCGTCAACGAAGCAAAGACCGAGACTCCTAACAGTTCTAGAATCCCAATCCGATTGGGCTTCGCGCGTCGTCTTCCCTGCTGAAACGTCGACCGCCGCCACTTGGCATTTTGCAATTCCCGCATTCGAGAGGGTTCGGGATTTGAGATCCTCTTTTCGGCGTTCCCTCGAACTTTTAATGCCAACTTCTTCGGTTCCCCCCTCCCCTCCCCCTTTCTTTTTCTCAGCTCCGGCCGTGTCCCTCCTGTCTAACGGATCGTATCGGTTGTCGACAAGGTACCACTCCACCTTGGCTCAACGAAAACTCGCTGCATAAAGCCCGGCCGCATGCATAGCCAAATCGAGCCGTGCTTACGTAGAGGCCGGCAATAGCCTCTCATAAGGCTGAATGGGTAGCACGGGATGTGTCGTGACCGATCGTCGAGGTTCAACCGCCTGATCCTACGCAACTAGCTTACTAAATCGCCATCTCGATCACACATCGCGGCTTATGTGGGTGATAACGAGGCTGAACAGAACTCCCAACCGGCGCTTATGCCACGCAATTAGCTTAGCCAGGGTAGATTATGCGTGTCTGCTGGAGGCTAAATACCTGTCTAATCGCCCATCGTTGTGCCCCGTCACAGACAACCCACGCTACGAGAGGAAGGGGGCCTGAGCCGGCTCGTATGTACGCCCGAGGGGCGTGTCACCCCCACTGCCCGATCTGACTTCTGAGCAAATATACGGAGCCGTAAAGATCACGTATGACGAATCTCCTTGTCGTGGGATCTCGCCCTTAGCTACCATCGTCTCTTCCTGTTACCATGTGACGTGTCCCCACGTAATAGACGTCAGAGTCCTCTCGTATGGGGTTACCCACCCTTTGTGTGAGGACCAATGAAGGCGTAGCACTGAATAATGCTCAGCATCGATGCGGGCGTCCCGAACGAAAAGGGCGTTATCGTGACTAGGTGCCGATCTCTCTCAACCAGCAACAAACTCTCCCCTCGACGCAAACCGCATAATATTCTCAACCGTAGCACCCTCAACCTCTTGCGTTACCACGGCTGGCGCCGGCGGCGGAGGCGGTCGGTCGATCTCCATGATATCGTCGTCCTTCTCCTCATCCTCGTCTTCGTCTTCGTCCTCTTCGTCCTCCTCGAGCGGTCTCCGCAAGCCGGCGCGCACGTTCTCGATGCCCAGCTCGCGCTCCTCTTTCGTGTACGGGTCGTTGTCCTCCTTTGTGAGGTAGTCGTAGAGACGCTTTTGCAGGAAGCTATTTGCCGCAGTCCATTTATCCTCCAGCTCCTTCGCCGCGTCTTCTGAGGATGCGGCTTCTCCCGCGACGTGGGCCGGGCTGGTGAGCCCCGCGACCACCCGACGGCCCTCGTCCATGGCGGTCGCAATGTCGGGTTCGGGCTTCTTGCGTAGGAGCTGGAGCAGGATGCTCTCCTGGGTGCGGCCGGGGAAATTGGTCGAGGGGTGCACAGCGATGCGGCTGAACAGCTCGTTATGCTGCGAGTTAATTTCGAGGAGCATGCGTAAGTTGTGTTGCAGGATGTCGGCCGAGGCCTGCAGCGAGCTTCTGTATCGTGCCCGCCTCTGCGTTAGCGCACACGGACGGAGATAAGGGGGTGGTGGTTCGCCCGTGAGCAGTCAGGCAGGCCGATAAGCGTACAGTTGAGGCAGAGGATTACTCGCAAAGATGCCGGCCTTGACGCTCGCAATGCTCTCGGAGATCTGCGAGAGGCGCTGTCGCGTCTGCTCGACGGCCTTGAGCTCCTCGGGGCTCAGGTCTAGCGACGCCATGGTAAGTTACGGGCAGGCGGGAGCCCGGAGGGTAGAAACTTGCGATGCGGCGCACGCGGTGCGGTGTGACGATAGGTGAGCTGAAATGTGGAGTGGGAGGGATGCTTGCATGAATCACGGATCAGCTCCGGGCAGGGCTGATCACGGATGGGATGGGATTCGGAAATGGAACTTTCATCGTCCAGCCTCGCGTCGACGGAGGGGGATGAAGATGCTACGCAAGGTAGCAAGTACCTAGGTACCTGCCTACCTTAGGTACCTGCCATACAGGGAGGGGGGGGTCTATGGACAGTATGTCAGCAATAGAGTCGGGGTACCGACACGGTAACTAAATCTAGTAAGGGTTACCTTAGCTGGTCATTCTTTCGGAGGGGCTAAAAGAATTATAGCAAGGGTTACGGTACCAACCTTATTACCTTTCCTTCTTATTATTTCAGGATGGTTTTTATGACTGCGTAGGAACTAATATCCAGACGGATATGATAATGTCTAGACGGATATAATGTCTATATATTCCATAGGTACCTACCTACCTACCTACCTACCTAGACCACCTACCTACCTAGACCTGTTGTCTTCATCTTTTTTCTATAAACACCATGATCTACTACCTATCTACGAACCTATCTGCGAACCTATGGGAGCTAGTTCGCGCGTAGAATCTATCTATCTTCGAACCTATCTACGAACCTATCTTCGAACCTATCTACGAACCTATCTACGAACCTATCTACGAACCTATGAGAGCTAGTTCGCGCGTAGAATCTATCTATCTTCGAACCTATCTACGAACCTATCTTCGAACCTATCTACGAACCTATCTGCGAACCTATGGGAGCCAGTTCGCGCATAGAATCTATCTATCTTCGAACCTATCTGCGAACCTATCTGCGAACCTATAGGAGCTAGTTCGCGCATAGAATCTATCTATCTTCGAACCTATCTACGAACCTATCTACGAACCTATCTGCGAACCTATCTGCGAACCTATAGGAGCTAGTTCGCGCATAGAATCTATCTATCTTCGAACCTATCTACGAACCTATCTACGAATCTATAGGAGCTAGTTTAGGCGCGTGGAATCTATCTATCTTCGAACCTATAAGAGCTAGTTTAGGTATATAGAATCTATCTATCTTCGAACCTATAGGAGCTAGTTCGCGCGTAGAATCTATCTATCTATCTTCGAACCTATCTACGAACCTATCTACGAACCTATCTACGAACCTATCTACGAACCTATAGGAGCTAGTTCGCGCGTAGAATCTATCTACCTATCTTTAAACCTATCTTTAAACCTATGGGAGCTAGTTCGCGTACGTAGAATCTATCTACCTATCTACGAACCTATAGGAGCTAGTTCGCGCGCGCGTACGTAGAATCTATCTATCTATCTTCGAATCTATAGGAGCTAGTTCGCGTACGTAAAATCTATCTACCTATCTTCGAACCTATCTTCGAACCTATGGAAGAGGTAGGTAGGTAGGTAGGTAGGAGGTTAGGAGGTACCTAAGGTAACAAACGTAAAAGATATAAAGGTATAAAGGTACGTACTTAGTAACATAGAGGTAACCGGGTAATCCTATAGAATATACCTTTTTTAAAATAATAACATTATATCCGGATGGTAACTATGTCGGGAAATGATAATAATATCAGCCTAGAGTTTAACTCCTTCTTATCACGAGGTAGATATTATGTCCAGTCATAGAAAGGATTACTAACATAGTGTCAATAAACCCCCCCCTCCTTATATGGTGGTATCTACCGGAGATACGTACTCACATGAGTAAGCGGACCTATAGTAGGAGGCAGGTCGGTACCGACCAACCGAATCAGGAGGTCATTGAGATTAGGTAAGCAACGCCTAACTTTACGTACAGGCAGGTGCAGGTACCTGCCTGGAGAATAGACAAGACATTCGAAGTACCTATACTGTCGTCAGGGCTTGGCTCAGGTATATTATATCTACATTGTATCTACGCGTAGAGGTATCTACGTGGCATGTGTGAAGGTAGGTACCTAATATAAGTATATATACGCAGGCAAATACTATTGCGTAATCATAACTCTAGGCAGACCCCGGCCACCCAACCCCTGCCCCCGATCATCGGCTGGCCGCGACCAACAGCACGCTAATCGCCCACCCATGCCCTTCAGGGTCCGCTGACGTCGGGCAGTATTAGGCGGGCGGCACAATGTGCCATGATATAATAAGCCGCTAAGAGGAATCCGATTCGTCCCACCAAACTACACGCCTACCTACCACAAGAAGCCTACGTATGTAGGTAGTTCACCGGGCTGGTATCTAGCACCTCATCACGCACGACAATATTATTTTGCTTGGTACTCGTAAAGTCATGACTCCGTAACTCATCCCGCTCAACTCACATATATCATCCCCCGAATATAGGCATAGGTATATACTCTCAAAATGTCAAACAACTTTGGCCCGCCAAACCAGTTCGCCCCCCCGCTAGATGCGCCACCATAGAGACCCGGTGCTCTATACCGTGCTATTATAAGCATAACAAAGGGTCATGTCGTATGCTATCGTATCGGCGATTTACTCGTTATGCGAGCCGGCCTGGTCGACCAAGATGTCGCGGGTCTCGCGGCCGTACTTATCGACCGGAGGGTATCGTGCCCGGCGCTCCAGGTCGTCGAGGGGTAGGAAGGATCGGATGTACCTAAGGACGACTATTAGCCTCGACTACCTCGACAAAATGCCAGCAGTTAGGGTTTGGGTGGGGGAGATGCTCACTTCGAAGTGCCATTGTCTCCCGGATTGTAGTCCCACGGCTCAAACTTGCCCTTGTTCAAGGCGCCCCACACGAGTCTTCGTGTCCGTTGCGAGAGCAGCACCTGCTGTGTGATAGCATCGAAGTCCCAGCGGGCCTTGGCCTCGGCCTCGAACTTCTCGAACTTCTCCCTCGCCTCCTCTTCTTCGGGAGTCAGTGCCCCCTTCTTGGACACGAGCTCTGCCAGGTTGACGAGCTCCAGGGGATCCGCGTCCAGGTTGAAAAGCTGGGGCGGGTCGGTTGGGCAAGTGATGTACTTCCACGGGCCACGTCGAATCATCATAAGGGGGCTAATTGTTCCTTCTCCGGTGTACTCGGAAATCACGGTGTCGTGGCCCTCTCTACCCTCGAGATGGGGCAGGAGAGAGATGCCGTCCATCGGCAGCCCGGGGATGGGCGCGGTCCCGACTAGATCGCATAGCGTAGGAAGGATGTCCAAGGTCGAGACGTTCTGTTTGACCCGATGAGGCGTGAATCGTCGGGGGTCCGAGACCAGGAGCGGTACCCGTACTGAAGGTTCGAAATAGCTCATCTTGTACCTAGAACACGGTGAGCATCATGTCGCGGATCTCCCCCCGTTAACGGGTTAACGACAATGACTTACCATAATCCACGCTCTCCCAGCATATCACCATGATCGCCACTAAATATGACGATGGTGTTCTCGTCGAGTCGGCAGTCCTTCAGAACGCGGAGAATACGGCCAATGCAGTCGTCTACGTAACTCACGGCACCGTAGTACGCCCTTCGAGCGCGCTTGATCTGCTCGTCGGTAAAGTCTTCGTCCCAGAGGTCGCATACCTTTAATAATCTCTTGCTATGGGGGTCCTGCTTCTCCTTGGGAATCCGGACTTTCGGCAGCGCGATATCTACGCCCTCGTAGAGATCCCAGTACTTTTCCTCGATCGTGTACGGGTCGTGAGGATGAGTGAGTGAGACCTAAAGCATTCCTTCCTGTTAGTCCATTGCCCCGTCTCCAAATCCTAGCAATTTTCCGCCGAAGCTGGTTCGGGGGAAAAAAGCTGCTTAAATTACGTACCGTCAGGCAGAATGGCCGCGAGTCCGGCCCCTCCCGAACTTGGTCGTAGAGAAACTGGGTTGACCTATACATGACCTCCTCGTCGTAGTCCAACTGGTTACTTCGCACACACGTTCCGGCCTGGAAGATGGAGCTAGCGTTGTGGTACCATTCCAGCCGCCTGTCCGGCTCGTCCCAATTCACGGCCCAGCCGAAGTCGCCGGGGTAGATATCGCTAGTAAGCCGAGTCTCGTAGCCGTGAAGCTGGTCTCCGACAAAGTGCATCTTGCCCGCCAATGCCGTGTGATAGCCCTTGATGCGTAGATAGTGCGCGTAGGTCGGCACGTCGCTTCCGATCTGCGAGGCATTGTCATACGCCCCGATCTTCATGGGTAGCTGTCCGGAGATCAAGCTCATGCGCGAAGGCGCACAAAGAGGAGAAGGGCAATATGCCGAATCGAACTGAACAGACTTTTCCGCCAGCGCGTCCAGATTCGGCGTCTTGATTTGCGACTCCGGGTTGTATAGCTTGAGCAGCGGCGCAGCTAGCTGGTCGGCCATGAGGAAGAGAATGTTAGGCGGTTTGGACACCGATGCTGGCGCCGCCGCCGCCGTTGCCACTGGCCGCCGGCGGCTGTCGGCGGCCAACTGCGGACGAGAAACGGAATCGATATCGGGGGCCATTGTTAAAGCAACCACCGGGCTCTACGGCTAGGCTGAGGAAGAGGAGGCCCGAGTCAGCCACCCGAGTGAGATAAATATACAGGGCAGATAAGAGCGAAGTGCAACTCGAACCCGGAGAAAGTAGGCGGCCAGAGTTGCACGCAAGCAGGAATAAGATGGAATCTCGAGCCTAGGTAAAGACGAGAAGAAAACAGTAGGGAGGAACAGAGGCGGGAAGAAAAAAAGGGAAGGGGAAAAAAGAGGGTTAATAAAAAGCGGACTAGTGAGTAGTACAGAACCTAAGAGTGGCTTCTTCTGGCCTCTCTACCATCGGAGACCCAGACCAAGAAGGATCGCGGAGCTGGCTAAAGGCATTGGCTACGAGGGCCGGAGTCGGGGACCCGCGACCACAAACAGACGTGTAACAGAGGCGTACAGGGACGTGCAAAGGAGGGGGGCTCGGCGGGTGGACGGCTGCCGGGGCGAAGAAGCCCGCGTTCGCGAGCGGAGACGCAGGACAGGCTCGTCTATATCTACCTTGCCTACCTACCTACCTCGTGGTCCGCCAACGCAACGAGAGGAGAAATCGGCCGCCATTTGGAGGAGCTGAGTGGTCGTGTGCAAATGGCCGGAGGACCAGAGGAGGTCGAAGACGCGGTTGGACACAGACATGTTGGTACCTGTTAGCCGTAGATAGGAGATGCTAGGCACGTCGTCGGTATCGGACCCGTGGCTGGCGTGATCAGAGAGAGCAATGGCGGCAGACGCGCTAAGAGGCGCTGGATCGTGGCCCTGCCCCTGCCAACCCCGTGGAGCAAGTGGCCGGCGACAAATACGGCCACCCCCGTACTGCAAGGGATGGCACGCCCCGTTGCCCTATCGGCGGCGGCGGCAAGTAGTCTTTTCCCGATTGGGGATGCACTCGCGAGGATGATTCGCTCGCTAGCGCCAGGAGCACCCCAGCAGGCGCACACCACCCCCGGGTGCACGTAGTGAGCGCTAGGTGCGTGCTACGCAGTAGTCAAATGAAAATGGGAAGGTGTGCTCGTGCCGTGGTTGCTACTCTACTGCCGGTTGTTGGACGGGGACCTGAATAATTGAATTAAATCTGGGGATTCATACGAAGCCGTGCTTTAGAGACAAACGGCCGAGCAAAAACAGGGGAGATTACATCACCGCTAATCACGTCAGAGCCCGCTAGTCTCGCGTGAGAGAGGGGAGAGAGAGATGAGACGCTCATCTCTCCTCTCGGAGTTCTTACTCTCGGCTTTGCCATGCCAATCTCCGCCCGTAGACATAATACACCCGGCACCACGGCAATGCTGCAAAGCACCGGCAGTCCTGCGTCGAAATTATAGACCTACCTACCGGCTAACGGCCCAGCATCGATATGGGGAGCTTCCAATAGGTACTGCCATTAGCCACAGATTGCCCGGGCAACCCCCACCCCATTCGTCCGCCTGCCCCTCACCATCACGCCTCTCTCGTCACGCCCCCTCTTTCTTCGCCTCAGCAGCAGTCGCCGATGCGGGCACATATTGATCCAAAGTGCCCGGCGGGAACCATCTAAGGTGAGATGTAGTTGTTAGTCGGTTAGAATAAGCAAGGCCGTTGAACCCCAACCCCCCTCTTTGGCGAGTTTCCAACCCCTTCCCCGTTCGCTCCGTCGCGGTATAGACAGAGTAGAGGGTAGGTTGACACATAGGTATAACCTCGCTCGACATGGGCTTATCTCCTCTGCACGTGTCACTACGTACGGCAGGCTAGGGGCCGCTTCGCGTTACCCCCTCCTGCCCCTATGCCCCTTCGTTTTACCCTGGTTTGAATGGATACATCCCCGCACAGGGCCGCAGTCGGAGGCGGAGGTTACCCGCCCGCAGCAGGCCTGACCAGGCCATTCCCCAACCGCCTATATGCAGATAGCTACGTGCGTATATGATCAGAGATCAACCAGGGTCCTGCTGCTGCAATGGTAGAAATAGCAGCCAAGGGGATGCCGTGTCACCCGGCAGTCTGGGACGAAAGGGAGCACCCAGAAAGAAGGCTGCATGGTCACTACGGGTCGCGGGGCGAGCCAGAACTCGACGACGTAATGTCTGTCTATTAATAAAGAGCACCCCATGTGTCTCTCGAGATAGCTAAAACCGGTATATAACAAAAATCACCCGTGTCCGTCCAGGGTGAGGCGCCGACGCTAGGGATCTAGCCCCTACGTCGCGTAGTCGGCCCCTTACTCTTAGGGGTGGCCGAGGACACGCCCGAGCTGGGCGCTGCAGCCGCAGCCACCGGAGCAGCCTCCTTCATCTTGCCCCGCGCCTTGGCCGACGGCGCGTTCCAGTAATACACCATCTGCGCGGCGAGAACCAGGTTCAGCGCGAAGCCCGCCACAAAGCCGTACAGGATCAGCTTATCATCGACCTCTTGCAATGTCGTGAAGATACGGGAGAGCGAACCGGCGAGATAGTTGAAGACCTATGGGGGTGCGCGCAGGATGTCAGCCGAGTCTGCTCGTTACACGTTGGCGTCTGAAAAGAAAAATTTGAAAAAAAAAAAAATTTACCGTGAATGCGCTCAGCTGTCCCGTCCCACCTTCCTGGTAGATGGCGGCGATCTGGGGCACCTTACTGGCGACACCTAAGACGCCCGCGCCAGCCTGCAGGTAGCTCAGGGTTTGCATGTCCAGGATCCTATCGCTGAATAGCGTGACCGCGCTGGTCGCTAGGACTGCCATGAACAGCGCCGCGATGTTGGGCCGGCCGCTGTAGTCCAGGACGAGGATGGAAATGATGGCGTTTTGGCCGAGGATCAGCGCGGTCTCGCCGTAAGTGCTGAAGGGGAAGCCGTTGCGGACGTTGTAGGCGAGCGAGATGAGGTACGACGACGTCTCGAGGAGGTAGGAGAGAAAGCTGACGCCGGACGAGGACTGCGACTTGAGGAGCTTGATGATCTGGGGAACCTTGACGATGGACGAGGCGCCGATTATGCCGATGCCCAAGCCCTTGGAGATGCCCAGCTTGAGGCACTCCGCGTCGGTCGGGTCGAGTTCGAGGATCAAGGTCTTGTAGCAGGCATCGCCGATGATGGACACGCCGAGGTCGCGGATGGGGGCCGGCAGGCTCTCGGTGATGGGCCGCAGCGGCTGCAGAGCAGTTCGTAGTGCCTCCATCGCGGATTGTCGGAATGAAGCCCGCGAGAAGTAGGGCGTTTCTTTTCTGTCTTCTTCTTTTAGCAGTATGCGGCTATCCTTCGCAGGCAGATATCGAGAAACTGGCTCTCCTCCAAAGTCGCGTCCACGGCTCTCCGCGAGAAAGTGAATGTGGTGAGGCAAAGGCGATTAGTGGCATTCGGAGGCCAGCACAGCAATATGAGTAAAATGCTCTGATGCGGCGAGGAGTGGATCCCTCTGCTGAGGACAATATGCCAACAATCACGTACGTACCTTTGTACCTCATGTTGTCCTGGATAGTCCTATCAGCAGCCTTGGATTTCATCACATGCGATGAGCACCAGATACCTTTAGGTACCTCAGGTATTAGGTAGGTACCTGTATGATCACCCAAGAGGTGCCTCTAATATACATTCATAGGTACATGCATGTACTTTACTGATGCATACCTGTAGGTACAATGTACATGCATGCAACAGAGGTACCTACGGTAAGTACCTATCTCCTAGAACTTAACTTACTCGGGTGGCTCTAATTAGAAATACTGAGGCTGCGCTTGGACCATATGCCTCCTACATCACTTCATAAGCCTACAGGCATTCATAACCTTCGCAACTTACTCCCTTTTCCTATGGACTCTGTAAGAGGGGACTCTGTCAGTAAAGACAGAGAATCAACCCCGTTTAGCAAATCCTGTCTCATTACACAGCCATACCCAACCCAACCTAAGGCGTCTAGGGGTGCGTACGTATATGCGTGCCTACAAGGGCACAGGTCTCCCTCAGACGCGGAAGAACCTGCAAGGCACCTCTAGGCAGATGGCCGGATAAAATAGGTAACACGACGGCCTTCCCCTTACTCCTAGGGTAGCCTAGACACGCCCGCCTCACCTCGCACTCACCATGCACTACAGCCTCAGTGTCTTCCCTTCTTAGCCTGCGCGGCGTGGAATGCCGTCACCAGGCGGGGGCAGTTCAGGTTCTGCTTGGGCTCCCAAGTGTTGCTGCTCTGGGGGAAGCCGGCCCACTTGATGAGGTACTCCACCTCGCCCGTCTGCATGTTGAGTCGCGCGTCGGCGATGCCCTCCACCGACCAGGTCTTCCGGCCGCCGAGACGGGCCGGGGCCGGGGCCGGGCCGGGGTTCTTCGGGGTAGACTTGGCGGCGCGCTGGCCGCCGCGACCGCTGACAGGAGTGGCTGCTCGAGCAGGGGCCGCAGCTCGGGCACGTTTATTCTGCGACGTAGGAGCGGTGCGTTAGCGTGGTGCGTGGGTTGCGGGGGGGATTCTAGTGGGAAGGGAAGAGAATGGGAAAAAAAAAGAAAACAATGAACCTTAGACTAGAGGTGCAAGTGAAACGGGATACGTACGTTTTGTTGGGCGATGCTGCTCGCAGCCAGAAGGGCGGCGGCGCGAGTGCTGTGACGCGATGGAGTAGCACCGGCCTCCGGGCCGCGTCGAGGGACCTTAGTTTTCTTTGCGGGGCGGCTGTCCTTGTTGCCGTCTGACGCGGGCGGCGCGTCCTTGCGCTTCCGGGGGCGTCCCAGACGCTGCGGTGCCTCCTGAGTAGGGTGTTCGGCAGCACTCTGATGGTCGCTTCCATCCTCGGCCTCTGGGGCGCGGGTGGCAACCGTGTCCTTCACGCGCGGGGCGCAAAGACGGTTCGCGGTGTGCTTACCGTTCATGGCTCCGAAATGGGCTCCGAGATATGAATTCTTCACGTCGTCGTCGTCGTCGTCGTCGTCGTCGTCGCTGTCGTTTTCAGACGCCTTTAAATCGACCACGCTTCCCTGGAGGTCGCTAGTGGCCGCGACTTTGCCCTGGGAGGAGAGGGCGTTCTGGGGAGCCTTGTGGTTCGTGCGTTTGTGAGAGGTGGCATCCTGCTTGTCACTTCCGCCAGGCATTACAGCGGCGGGAATGCTGTAACGCGAGTTATCAGTGACATTAGATAGGTGGATGCCAGGGTTAAGAAACATATAGACGCGAAGATAGGATTTTGAGCATTTGCCACCCTATGTGGATGACTTACCTGGGGTCGGCTCCGGCGCCGGCCTCAACCATGGGAGTAGGGGACTCGTGACCGCCCCCCGATAGATTGAGACGAGCCATCTTGAAGTGCCTATGTTGTCTCTGAGTCTTGTTTTTGTTCGCACAGATGGAGAAATGGAGGGGTGGTGGAGGAGGATGAAACGAAGGGTGAAGAGCTCAAGGATAAAGACAAGATCTTTACGAGCCGATGGGGAAAGGAAGGAGAGGAAGAGGAGGAGTAAGAAGGGCATTGGGGGTTGGGAGGAGATAAAGTATGTATTGCGGGTCACAACAACTTAGTGCCTAAAGGCAGGGAAAGAAATAATTGACCATTTCGAGCAACAGTTATGGTGGCGAAGAAGTTCGAGATAAACACCTCTCGACATGGGCCAGTTGGTGAGGTAGAAACAGCACATCGCCCTTTATGTTTGCTGAAGAAGCTAGCTGCTTTGGAGTGTTATACAGGCTTATAAGAAGAGAGGGAGTAACACTATTAGCGCTCAGGCTTATTATATCTATCAAAACCCAGGTGCGGGCCCTCCAGCATCCATGGCTTGTATTGCAGATGTAAGCCGAAGGAGGAACTGTCCATGGCAACTTATATTAGTGGTAAAATGTGAAACCTCAGGCACTGACGCCCATCTGTAGTAGAAACCTCAAGGTGTAAGGCTCATGAGGTTCTATACCAAAATATGCAATCACAGCCACAACATGGGTATAGATGTCAGCTTCCTCGGCTGCCTTTCGCTTTAAAGTGCCGCTGGAGTGTGTTTATCGATTATTTCCTGGGTGAATCCGGATGTCAAGGGTGAATATTGCTTCTACCTGGTGGCATCACAAAGCCTAGCCTGGGCAGACGAGTCACCTCTCGAACCAGGGCTATCGCGCTCCTTAACATTCGATTTGAATCGGTGCTGTCTAGTGAGATGAGATGACTTGGGGAATTATATTGGGTTGGCTAGCTACCATCTAGATACTGTGTATATATCAGGGCGTAATACGAGGAGACGACTAGCTTATAAATGACCCATCATAAATGTCCTTCACTTATTGAGGCAAACGCAAACGCGACCGGGCTGCTTTTGTATTCACACCGGTTGTGGATTGTTCCGTTGCGCAACGCCGAGCTCTGGAGGCTCCTTGCTGCTTAGACTAATCGACGTCGTCTTCATAATCGTCGGGTAGTTCTTGGAATCTTCCCTCTTGGACGGCCGTTCGCACCGGATTTTCGGCGGATATGACACCGTTTGCTCTCAATCTACCACGTCATTTGTTAGCAGGAATTATCTATTGTGAGGTTTCTCTTACCTTTCAAAGAGAACGAAAAGCCTTTCTGCCTCTCTTTCTCTCTCAGCTTCAGTCATCTCTGGACCTTCGGGCAGTCTTTCTGCATCTAGGAATTGACCCGTTATCGGATTAGTTGGCCGGCTAACCCCGCCGTGAGCGTTTCTGGAGCCTTCTGAGATGTTCTCGGGAACGGGTATATTCCTGTTGAACAGGAAGCCTGATGCAAACCCGTAACCGACGTTATCGACAAACATAGAGGCGTCTTTATCTGACAGTTCGAAAAATAGATTGGATATTGTGTCGCGAAGCCGAGGCGTGAGGGCGTTTGTTGAATTCTTCAAGAGCCAGGATGGCAACGAATCGGTCCGGCCTAGTACTTCAGTCCTATCGGCTTCTGTTGGCAGGAGCTGCGTGCGTATGAACTTCTGTACATCTCCCGGCGCATGCTCGTGGAGGGTTCGAATCACGCTAACTAAGGGTGTGACTGACGTCTCCAGCTCTTCGCCATCGTGGACAGTTCTCGAGCGGGAGAGCAAGTCTACCAAACGGCCTGCTAACACGTTGGGCTCTTCCGGGGGGTATACGGAGCTCTGGACATCTTCAGCACCGAGATCCAGGTTAAGGAGAGCGTTGACTAGGGAGCCAGTCGGGGGATCCAGCGGTTTCTGCGTCGCGAATGTGCCCTTGCACAACACGGTAACTATGTGGGGTATAGCTGTAGTAAAAGAAGATGTCCGCTCCTTGCAATAATAACTAATGTTAAACAGAAGCTTCAGCGTTTCGATGAGGGCCATCTCTTCCATCGGATCCGACGGAGAGCTTGTCCCGCCGCGGCGTTTCGCGTGCCGCTCGAGGTTTACGTTGATAGAGTCCGCCAAGTGGTGCTTGTCGATGAGCTCGATCAAGTTGGCGCTTGTCGCGTACGTCGTGAGGAAGAGTATCCTCGAGACTAAGAACTCGTCATCGCGGCTATCGTTTCGGAGTATCTCGCAAGCGCTGGCTCCACACCCAAGGTCGATGAATATCTGCCGCGTCTCTTGCTTCAATAGCAGGGCGTTGCACAAAACGCGCAACGCATTTCTAGACGTCGTGCCAGCCGGGTTGTCAAAAGCGTGCCGGGACAGCGTCTCGATACCCTAGAAATTGTAAGTGTTTATGCGTTAACGCTGCGTGGGCGATCCGCGCTGGTCAACCTGCCTCTTTGGTGAAGATAGGGTCTGCATCACGAGGGTCTCTACTATACACCTTAAGTTCCTCTAACGCCGAGTCTCGTTCTTAGGAAATGGCGAGTTAGGATGGCCTACTTCAATATGCGATAACAAGTAAGCGACTCACGATGAGGGGTTAGACTGGTAGTGATGAGATCCTGGGTCAAATTCTCCATTAGATCCGTGACAGCATTCAGCTTAGCTGCGTATCTGCGATGAGCATCGTGCTACCCCATAGGACGCACCAGCTACTAACCGGACCCTGTGAGTGCCGCGATGGCAGCGGCCTGCCGTTGGCCGGGTTGGGCCATTCCGGCAGGATTCGTGAGCGCTTCGAACCAGCCAGGTAGGTGAATGCCTAAATGCAGACAATATCCGGTGTGATGTCACACTCGATGAATAGTGGTTACAGCTCATAGGTGGGCTTGGGAATAGAGGAGAGCCTCATCGATCCAGCACGGAGGCAGCCGGCATGTAAAATAGCAAGGCTACAGTCGCCTCTGCGGAGCACGGGTGCCATTTTGAACTTCGTTACTGAGATGGGCGTAGTCAGCTTACCTAAGTACGGGGATATAGGCGTGTATTTACCTAGGTACCTTGATTACTAAGTAGGCACCTACCTCTAAGAGGTTAGGTACCTACGCGCTGCCTGCCCTAACGGAGCGCCACCAGCTGCACATGCCTATAGGTAACTACCATGGCAGGGGAGGGGGGGGGTCTATCGATAGTATGTCTGCAATATTAATACAGTATGGATATAATCTTTAAATAAGGCAATAATAATAAATACTTTTATAAGGTATGAAGTACTTATAGCAAAAGTTATAATACGGATTTTATTATAATCTAATATAAGTATTATAATATAGTTATTTTAATAAGGTAGGTATTTATTACCTTTCTAATATTATAATAATTTAAATATATATTTTAACTTATTATTATATAGGATAGCTATTATATCCTTAAAAAAGCTACTAAATTAATATAGTGTTCGTATTATACCTATGTCGTATCTTAAGTTTAATTCGTTTTAGTATCGCGATAGAAATACTTTTAGTTATAGTGATACTTTTAAAGGAGGGTAATAGTACGTAACATAGTATTAACAGACCCCCATCCCCTAGTATAGTATGTGTGTAAGCTAAATAATTAAAGTAGCCCAGCCGTAATCAAAGCAGAGAGGAAGGCGCGACTAGGGAGGGGCTGGGGTTCCTACACTTGCACTTGCACTTGCACTTGCACTTGCATTTGCACTTGCAATCTTGCATTTGCACTTGCAATCTTGCATTTGCACTTGCAATCTTGCACTTGTACTTGTACCTGCACCTGCACCTATACTTGCACTTATACTTACGCTTGTACTTATACTTGCACTTGCACTTGCACTTGCACCTGCACCTGCACTTGCACTTGCACCTGCACCTGCACTTGCACTTGCACTTGCACTCGCACCTGTACCTATACTTGCGCTTATACTTACGCTTGTACTTATACTTGCACTTATACTTGTACCTGTACCTGCACTTGCACCTGCACCTGTACCTGTACTTGCACTTGCACTTATATTTGCACTTGCACTTGCACTTGCACTTGCACTTGCACTGCACCTGCACCTGCACCTGCACCTGCTTTCAGCGGCTATAAATACCTACCTAGGTAAAGTAGAGGCCCAGGCGTTCTCGCGTCACACTGGCAGCAGCTACGCAAGAAAGCTTGCCGCGTCGCGTCTGGCATCATTACTTTTTTTCCCCCTTCGATCAGTCTTTATATCGTACCGGGTGGCCGAGCGAGACGGGCCATCTCAGTTACCACCTAGACTGCCCGTCTTATCAACCTGCCAACCTACAGAGTGTGTATTGGAGCCATCGATCTGCGGCTGCATATGTTGGTTTTCCTTCTCTTCTTCTTCTTCCCTCTCTTTTCTTTGGAATTAGCGTCGCTCTCTTCTGTAATCGCTTGCCTTACCAACTCCTCAAGGTCTCTCTTGTCTAGGTAACCGTCGAATACCTTCCCGCCCAGCTCTCTCGATATAGAATCCATGGTCGCCGAGTGTCCACAATAGCCTCTGTATAGTGGGAGCCGTCGGCTGTGAGCAGCCATGGTATTGCAACTGGACGCTGTTCCAAGAAGTCTGGAGTTGTTACCCGCGAGACCCCCGACGCCGCCTCGGGAGAAGAAACTAGACGCCGATTTTCCCGCAGCTCCTATCGTTGCCAATCACCCTGTCGATACCCGCCTGAGCCTCCACACGCCACCCAACTACCCCCCGGACTCCACCGATCCCCTCGATACCAGCTCCCGGAGAACGAGGAAGCGGGTTGGCTTCTCAGCACAGGCCGAGTATTGTGATGCTCCGACCTACGCTCCTAAGGGTAATCCCCCGAGCCAGCACACCCCCATCTCGGCTCCGTCGTCGGCAGCTGTGGCCAGACCTATCAAGTCCATATTGAAACATACGTCGAGCCCTGAGCCCCGGAACCCGCTAGACCTATTCGCCGTCGACGACGAAGCGACCGGCCAGATCAACATCGCCGCCATGTTGGACTCGACCATCAAGCAGCTCGCCGGAGCGGATAGGCAGTCCAAGATCGATGCGTACATGATGCTTTCACGGGCCCTCAGGACATCCAACAACCTGCCAGACCGCATCGCGCTGCAGGACAAGATGAGCCTCTTCACCCAGTTCATCCAGCGGGATGTCACGACGAAAGGTCCCAACGGAAACACGGACGCGTCCATGGTGAACCACGCCCTTACCTTGCTATGCACCTTCTGTTATTTTCCCGCCATCGCCTCCACCATGTCGTCCGATTTCGGGGTCTTCATTATCGACCATTGCATTCGGTCTTTCGAGGACCCGTCCGTCCCCAAGGACGTAGCCAGACATCTGATGCAAGTCGTCGCCTCCCAAGACTTCTCGCTCAAAGTCATGACGGCGGATCGCGTCGGTCGGCTGGTCGCATCTCTCCACAGGATCGAAGAACACCTCCAGGGAAAGAGTATCATAATGTCGCGGATCTTGATATACCAGAGGCTGATCAGGCAGGTGCGAGTTCACATGGTTACCCATTCGGATTGGCTCTTGGACTTGTTCACCGACATGCTTAGTAGCATGAAGGAGATCCGTGCTGCCGCTATTGCGCTGGGCCTAGAAGTTAGTTTTACTATCGGCAAGGAAAAGCAGCTCGCCAGGAGAGTCATGGAAATACTACAATTTACGGTTGAAGAGACCAAGTACATTGAGTATTACGCAGAGAGGCTGATGGCTATGGCGGAAGACAAGAACGGGTCGGCCTCCGTCCCCCAGGTCTGGAGCGTAGTCATCCTCTTGCTGAGGTGTCCGGTCAATAGGTGGGAGTTCTTCTCGCTGTGGTTAGAAATTATCCAGCGATGTTTTAACAGTGGCGACTATCACACCAAACTCGAAGCGAACTACGCGTGGAATCGATTCGTCTACGCCCTACAGCTCAACGGGACGTCCCTCTCGAAGACTATCGGAACTGTATGCCAGCCTTTTATTAGCCAGCTGAGGCGGAAGGGGAGTGGCAAGCCGTTCGACGAACTCCGGAGGGTTGCTATAGGGAGCGTGTGCAACCTATACTATTATGTCTTCAAGCCAAATTCGAGTCCGGCGCAGGTCGACAACTATTGGGACGCGTGTGTTCGGACTCTGTTGCAGCGATTGGTCTCTCCTGAGGTCGACAGCAAGAACACAGAGATGCCCACGGCCGCCGCATTAGAGAATTTGGCCCAAGCAACCCTTATATTAACCGGGCTTTTCAACTCGTCAACTCCCCGTATATGGAAAGAAGATCGCATTGCCGAGAAACTCTTGGTAAGACCGGACGAGCTGCCTGCGCTGGATCCAAAATGGATCAGACGAAACGCGGCGAGGGTGTTTTCGGTCGTGGAGCCCATCCTAGAGAAGACTTTCTCGGACCTAGCGAACTCGGAGTCCCTCTCTTACCATCTCTGGCGCACACTCGTTGGTGCCGTATCGATTGCTGCATCCAAGGAGGTCAAGGTGTCCACCGACACAGCAACCTTCATGGCACACGCTTTTAGTGTGCTCGCCAGAATATGGACTCGAGGGCTAGTCGAACCGAACGATCAACCTGACCCAGAGCAGAGATTCTTGGATGCGACGCAGGTGTATCTTGTGGTGATGATCGACTCGCTAGGTCTGTTGCCGTTCACCGAAAAACTCCTTTCATTGAATCAGCACAACACATTCGTTCCAGTCGCAACGCCCTCTCGTCGGTCGGGAACGTCCCAGGGTCTCGAACGAACGCCTCTCCATCACCTGTTCTCGATTCTTTCCACCCTGCCTCCGGGCATTCCAGATGGCGCTGGCCTGTCCGATTTGATCAAAGCCGCTTTGGGGCCCTTTATGGTAGCCCGATCGCCTCATGCCAAGGTGGACCTGAGTCGCGAGTTGGTCCAGGTCTTGCCTGCAGACGTCCCTTGCCCCTACGGACCGTGGGTCTTCATATCCGAGTCTCTTTCTCCGTCACTAGAAAATAGCCAGTCCAGTCATTCGACTACCACCTCTGCGAGCGAAGCGACAACGATCGGCCACGAGTATCGTGAGATAGTGAAGCACTTAGAGAGAGGCCTCAAATCTACGCCGAACCTGCCGTGGGAACAATGGCGTTCTCTCTTTCAGTTGCTAGCTACCCGTGTGAACTACGAAGCGGGAGAGGCAGGCTGTGCTATCGCCGTCGTAGAGCCCCTAGCTAAAATATGCATGGAATGTTTTCCTGCGGCTCGTGATTACCCAGTACCGCACAATCTCCCCGAGAGCATTATTGAGTTAATTGCTACTGCAAAGCAGCCTCGAGATCGACAGGCGTTAGACGCCGCTCGACGGCGTCTATGGGGCACGTCCGTCGCCGGACCGCGATCGGCTTCGTTCGACCCGTTCAGCAACTTTTACCGTATGACGAGCCGCCTACTCGAGACATCGTACATGCAGCCAGACCACTACGATCAAGACGATATTGTGGTGCCCTTGCTAACGGAGGTGACTGGCTTTCTAATACGATGCAACCGCTCACTCGTGTTCAGGTCGTTGACTCAATTACGGCGTGGTATCGGTCTCTGGATTAAAGACACGGACGCTCGGTACAACAGCAAACAATCCTCGAAAGTGTCTGGGGCTGTAAGCATATTTACAAATTTCCTATCCGTCTCGCCCTATACGATTGACTGACGACTCGCAGGTGAAAATTCTGTGGGACCGAATCTGCAGCGTATTTCTAGACGTAAAATCGCTGGGGAAACTGAAACTCGGCGCCGTCGAAGAACTCCTCTGCTCGGGCTTCCAGAGCAAACATAGGCATATTGTCAATGCTGTCTCTTCCATGTGGAACTCTGCCTTTGAGCAGGCGGAGGATATTCAGTACCCCGAGAAGCTCAAGACAGTGCTTCTCTCCATTCATCCCTATGTCGACGTTGTGCTACCCGGCTTGGATACTGCGGGCTACGAATACAGCGTGCAAGAGCCGTCCTTTATCGAATCACAAGACGACTCGGAGGACCCGGTCCCATCCGCCGAGAGGGCGATCCGTAGGAAAACGCCTCTGACAGACCGGCCTTCATCGTCCGGGCGACCCGCCACCCCTGGGTCTGTCCAGCTTTCTTTGTCAATAAAGCAGAGGTCTGACACTACGCCCAACGCTTCTCGTCCCAGGTCCGCAGGACATAGCGTGACCCCTAAACCGCGACATGATGACTCTCAGGTTGAGTTCGCGCCTATCGAGTCGTCCCCGAGCTATATCGAGTCCCAGCTGTTGACGGATCGCCAAAAGGAGGTCCGCGAGCGGCAACAAGAGAACGTTTCCCTGTACCCTGACATTCGACTAAGCGTAGAGAGGAGAAGGTCACCCCGGCTCGCTCATGCGGACCAGACCAAAACGTATTTTCAGGAGGCGCGTGCTTCCACTCCTCAGCCTAAACTCGACTTCGAGGACGACCTTGTCCCCTCCACACCCACACCCCGACGCGGTCGTGCCCTAGTCATCGACGACGATCATGAAATGACAGACGACGCGCCCTCGTCACCGCCAGAGCCTCGTCGGAATTTATTAGCAGCGATGCAACCACGATCGAGAAGTAACAGCGTGTTCCAGGAATTCCCGATGTCGTCTTCCCCAGTTTCAGGATCGCCAGCACCGACTCCACAGGCTCCATCCACCAACCAACCGTATGCGGAGCAGGATATTTCAGAAGGCTCTCAGCATGACGCCTCGCAAGACATGGACGCTTCGCAAGACATGGACGCCACAAACGCAGACGATGCGACGGAGAGCACACCAACGCACGAGCCCGTTGGCGTTGAACGCTGGTCGGATCCGAGCGAAACCGCTGTCAGACCAACAACTCCGCCAAACCCGACGAAAGCGCCCGAGTCACCGCCAAAGGTATTTGTAGAAGCTCCCACTAGCCCAAGTCTTCAAACGCCTCGGCCTCTTCGTAGCAACTATCCGCCGACCGGCCGAGAAGTTATACAAACCACCGCAGTTCTACCACCGCCAAAGTACGGCTCTTTCGAGCTCAGCGACGGCGAGGAGCGGAGTATGGCGCGACTTGTGCTCGAGCTAGATTCTGGAGAATATGAGCAGCATTCTAGAAAGGAATCGGCATCACCTGAGAAAGCACCCAATACGGATACGCCAGCTCTTGCTGTGAGCATGGGGTCGGAAGAGCTGGGCGGTCCACCGGAGAAGTTGGAGAGCAGTCCGCTATCGTCAGCCCCTTCGTCGTGTGCAGAGGTTGAAAGCTCCCCATCGTCATGCCAATCAAAGAAGAGGAAGAGGGAAGCGGAGAGCAACGCGGAGCCAGGCAGCAGCAAGAAATGCAAGCAGGACGAGACCTCGGAAGCTGACGATGCCGAGGCGATCTCGGACAGTCAAATTCCCCAAGCTGACACGGGCGATGTAGCCGGCATTGATGCGGAGATGGAAGATGTGGATTTAGGCGCGGACGCTCCCTACGACCCCGCACGAGACTCCCCAAGACGAGAGCCAACGCCGGCAGAGGCCCCACAGGCCTTGCCGGCCGCAGATGACGAAGGCAGCCTCTCGGGAGGCGAGTCCGAGGCTGTGAACCTGCAGATATTGATGGAGGCATCTCAACATTCGGAAGTCGAGGCAACGGCAGCCGACGTTACCGCTGTCTCAGGGCTGGCAGATGGGGGCTACTCACCGGCTGGCGCAGACACGGACATGCCTGAGGTGGCGGAGCAGGGTGAAGAAGGCAAGGCGGCAGATGAAGCTGATGAGGCTACAGACGACGGGCCCCAGGCTAGCGGAGAAGCGGTGAGGGAGAAATCAGCAGCGGAGAGGATCATGGGGGCCCTCCAGGAGGGCCTGGAAGGCCTCCGGACAGCGACGCTGACACGAGAAGAGGCGAATAGGATCGAGGACATGTTCTTCGACATCAAGAGGGAATTATACCTAGCGGAGAGTCGGAGCCGTCGATGAGCTTACACATGCATGGGGGGAATTGCCATCTACATCGAATCGATGGTGGCGGGAAGGGGGGAAGGGGGGAGGAGCTGCCCAAGGTACGGTATAGCAATATTACTCATATATGATACGAGAGAATGGGGAACTCGGCATCGATACAGGCGTTGAGGTTGGGGAACTCAAGGACACCGTAGGTGGGACGACGATAGGTCCCCCTCCCACGGTTCGGCATGCAGATATATAATACGTATGTACCGCCGGTTGAATGGAATCCATGTTCGCGGACGTGTGATGGTTCTAGCACGAGGCAGCCGGCTGCTACGGGAGGGTGCGGGTTTGTGCCCACATACACGCGTGTGTGGTTGGTAAGATGCGTAGGCGGATAGAGATACCTAGTTTGGGTGCGGATGCGTAGGCATGATGAACGGGTGTATTCGATGCTGTTGCCTCTCTTTCTCTCTTTTTCTATCTGTATCCTATATGTGCTCCGCCACGCCGTCCTTCATGCCGTCGGCGGCGGCGGCGGCGGACAAGTCGTATAGGCGAGGCGGCAAAGGTGCGGATGGCAATCTAGAGGGACAGGTAAGCTGCAGGGCAGGTCGACAGCAGTTTCAGGTGATGCAGCGCAACGCGAGGCAGAGCTGTGAGAGGTCCCCGCCGCGGCCCTGCCCCCCACCCAGGCAGGTATACCGGAGAAGGGGGGGGCGGCCATCTGGAGCACCACATCGCGAAGCGAGCGCACGACATCGAGCACTACGGCGGCGGCGGCGACGACGACGACGACTATGCGTAGAGGTCGATGCGGATGGCCAACGATACCTAGGCACAACCCTCGGGTACTTTGGATAGCTTGACCTCGAGAGCACCTTTCAAGCCAGGAATGCACCTACCTATCCTACGTGTTGCTCTGATTGTAGGTATGTTAGAAGTGATGTAATCCATTAGAGAGGGCAGGTATGCACCCATAGAGGTTAGGTACCTACTGTATTCGCATAGGTACCTAGGTACCTGAGGTTAGGACGAGGTAGGTACCTAAGATACAGGTAGGTAGGTACCTTGGGGGTCTCTCTTACGCCCCTCCTCATGACAGACGACACCCGCCAGCCAATGGAGAGGTATACCGGCGGGAGGCTGGGATATCGGATAATATAGCTACATAAGGGAGAAGTTATTATTAGATGTTTGACGTCCTCCCCGTCTCCCCAAATGCATATTCCTCACCGAGCAGCATCAGGCACTTGGAGGAGGCTTGAGGTGCTGATTATACCCAAGGTGCCTTCTACTACCTACCTTGGAGATGGGCAAGTCACCTAAGGCAGGTAGGTAGGTAGGTAGGTACATCCATACCTGCGTACCTGTAGGTAAGCACCTGGGTAACCTAGGTAGGTACCTCCTAATGAGGGCAACGTCAACGGCTATAATACGAGCCATATTGCCAACGCAACTGGGGACACGGGCGGGTTACACATGCTCTCTGTCTCTATATCCTCGCTTAGGCACTAGAAATGGAGGTTTAATACGTGTGATATCTGTGACATCGCATGAACTACCCGCCTAGGATGCGGTTAGGTCTGCTCTGGGTATCTCGGAACGCCCCATACTACAGCCGCCTGGTATTCCCGTTCTCCTTGCTCTACACGAGAGGTAGCGAGACCTTACGTAGGTACCTACCTGTCGAGAGAGAGAGAGAGAGAGAAGTGAGACATCCACCTGCCTCCCGCCTGCCTACCTAAGGTACCTACCTACCCAAAAATATAGGCAGGTACTAGAGGGAATACAAAATAGGTATACATCCTCTATGCCTCCATGTAGCAGATGAGCTAAATAGCAAAGACTACCAAGTAGCGCTGTTAGGAATCGAACCTATCCTTCGTCAAGTAACCCACTGATCTGTAACTAGGCGCTGTCGAGGTTACAAAGAGGTACCTACCTGCTCGTAGGCACGGCCTCGTAGGTACGGCCATGTACCTTTGCCCCACCAACCAAGACCCAGCAGGACGGGAGTATTTACTTGCTAATACCACAAGGGCAGGGCGGGCAGGCTCAAACCTCCCGCACCTACCCCGCCATACCGTTCCTTCCTCTCCTCTTCCACCTGAGCTGGACTTTTTTTTTCTCTCTCTCTTATATTACATATACACATAAATATATAGGTATATATATATATATACATACATACGTTGTTATACATAATACCCAATTTCTTCCCTGCCTTGTCCGCTATCCCGCCTCCTTCACAGCCTACCCAACCTTCCCCCCTTTCTCTCCGTCATCCTTCTTCTTCCTCTTCTCATCGCCGTCTCGCCGCATCTTGTCGCGTCTTGTAAGCTCGCTCTGGTACTCTCAATTTCTGACTTGCCTACCCCGGTCTCCTGTGCCAATTCTGCCCACGACATGTCCCTCCCGTCTTGTCCGTATAGCCTACGCAGGCTGCTTTTTCCTCTCCCAAACTTGATACCGTCCCGCACGTAAATTAACCAGTCAGCCAGCAGCCGCAAACCAGACGAGATCGCCTTGAATCGATCGACAGACTCGGCTAACCCAATCCTCCAGGCAGCTAAGCAGCCATGGTTGACCGACCCAACAGGCCCGTGGCCCTGGCCACTACCCCGGGCCTCCCGCCCCAGCCCCAGGTCAACATCTCCCACGGCAACTCGCGCGTATCCGCCGTCCTGCCCTCCGGCGAGAGCGTCGAGGTCCTCCTCCACGGCGCCACCATTACTAGCTGGAAGGACCGCTTCGGCACCCAGAAGCTCTGGTTGTCCGATGCCGCTAAGCTCGACGGCACCAAGGCCGTACGAGGCGGCATCCCCCTCGTCTTCCCCGTGAGTGTGCTTCCGGACATGTGAGATAACCAGCTAACGCGCATCTCCCTCGCTAGGTCTTCGGCACCGCACCCGACCACGCCGCAACCTCGAAACTGCCGCAGCACGGCTTCGCGCGCAATTCGCGATGGGAGTTCCTCGGCAAGTCGTCCTCGGAGTCGGCAGGCCCGTCTGACGCCTCGGTCAAGCTCGACTTCGGCCTCTCGTCCGCCAACCTCGACGACCAGGTTAAGAGCCTCTGGCCGTACACCTTCTCGCTCATCTACAGCGTCACCCTGACCCCGGAAAACCTGAGCACCAACATCGTCGTCACCAACGACGGTAACGAGCCCTTCGAGTTTCAGGTCCTCCTTCACACCTACCTTCGTATCAAGGTACGCAGAACCTCCTTCTCCCTCCCTCCCCCCTGCTACCTACACCTAACTACACGCGGTTGCGCACCATTTAACTCTACACTTATCCTTGGCACCCTTCCCGCCTGCCGGTGGTCCCCACTATGAGTAGTCAACAGCTGACTGTCCCGCGCCGCGCGCTCCGACAACAGGACATCGCCAAGATCCAGGTCACTGGACTGGATAACTCAGAATATGTCGACAAGGTAGACGGCGCGCAGACCAAGACGCAGGCAGGCGCGGTGTCCATCACGGGCGAGACGGACCGGGTTTACACCCCGGCCGGTGGACCGTCGGTTCCCGTCGTGGTCGAGGAGGATGGTGAGGCCGTGTTCCGCGTCGTGCGCGACAACCTTAAGGATGTTGTCGTGTGGAACCCGTGGACGGACAAGGCGGCCGGTATCGGCGACTTCGAGCCCAAGGACGGCTACAAGAACATGATCTGCATCGAGGCCGGCTCCGTCAACGGCTGGGTCACTCTCGACTCGAAAGACGCCTTCGAGGGCGCCCAGACGATCTCGGATTGACTTCTCCTCCGCCGCGGCACTGGTTGCGAAAGGGGTGATTCTGGCGACGGCGCGGCCCGGGGAGAGAAGAGGAGGGTAGATATGGCAGTGGTGGGGAAACTATGAGACGGACGGGCGGGTAGTCATGATAAAGTGCTTCTTAAAAAAAAACAAGAGAAAGTGAGAAAAAAAAGCCACCGCAATGACGATAGGCAGTGGATGCCGACGACGACGACGATGATAGGCGATGCTTTTAACGACTTAGGTGGCGGTGGGTAGCTACCTACCTAGTCCCCGCGCTGCGTACCGGCAGGGGGCCAGGGACATTCGACCTGACCGATCACGGGACGAGAGGCGAGACGAATAGGAGAAGACGGCGGGTGGGATGGGCTTGCCATAGGTCCGTAGGTAGCCATCGCACACACGCATGAACAAGAACAGACAAGGCGGCACGGTTCCCGGCCGCCGCCCGCATCCCGCTGCGCGGACCCCCTCGCCTTCACGGAGGGGGCGCGTCTTGCCGTCTCTTGCGTTATTTTACTGTTGTTAAAACCGTGCGTGTTGAGACGTGGGCACACCCACGTATATAAACCTACCTATATGCCTATATACCTATGCGTAGGGGCGTGACGTAGGGAACGTCCGTATATATATATCTATATATATATATAGGTACGTGGCACGTTCCTCACCTCTCTCACCTCTCTCGCGCCTTTTACCCCCCCCCCCCTCTCCCCCCCGCTCCTGCGTCTCCCCTTCTTCCTCGCCTTGTCTCGGTCCGCCCCGGGGAGATAGATATCTACCTAGGTATCCAGAGACAGCTAGAGATACGAGGACGGAGATAGACGGGGCCGGGACGCACAGACGGATAGGATACGCTGCGTCCTGCGCGGCGGGCGCGCTGCCGTGGAGGCGCGGAGAGAGAGAGAGACACACACACAGTCTCCTAGCTTCAGACCCCCCCCCCTCCCCCTCTTTTTTTCCCTACCGCGTCGGATGGACCGAGCCCGCCTACACCTCCCTCCCGCGTGATTCTAGGTACGTGTAGGTCTAGGTGCAAAACAGGGGTAAGAGTCCCGCGGCGCCGTGGGAGACGAGGTGGACTAAGTGGTGAATTAGCGCATGAGCGAGCGGGCCGACATGCTAGCTCTCTCTCTCTCTCTATCTATCTATCTACGTCCAGCCGGCTCGCACCGCGTCTCGTCGTCTATGCTTCTACCTACTCCTACTCCCACCCCACCGCGCGCAGTCGTGCGTCGTGCGTACCCCTTCTTCTTCCTATTCTTCATTACAGATATTATTATCCCTTACTCCCACTCACCCTTACCCATTCCCCCTTTCTTTCCCCCTTCACCACCTCCTCCCCTCCCCTAGTCTTTCTCACTCGCTTAGCCCCCTCCACGTCCACCTCTCCGGTGCGAACACGACCTCGTACCGCCCGGGGCCGTAGACCCCGACGGCGGCGCACACGTCGTGGTAGCCCTCGAGCCCCGTGGTCGGCAGGTCGCGCTCGCGGTCCGTCTCCTCGCGCAGGTCCCAGCGGCCGCGCTCGGCGCCGTCGCGCGTCAGGAACACCTGCACGCGTATGTCCGCGCCCCCCGCCCCGCCCGCCCGCGAGAACTCCATCCCGAGCCCGAGCGTCTCCCCGCGCCGGAACGGCCCCGTGAACGCCTTGCCGCCCCACCGGTCGTTCACGAACCGGTGCCCGTCGTCGCCGTGCACGCCCAGGCTCGCGCGGTGCCACCCGGGCAGCCGGAAGGACGGGTACGGCGGCGCCACGAAGCCGAGCGCGAGCGCGACCTCGTCTTCGCCGTCGAGCACCCGCACCTCGTAGTATATCGTCTTCTTCGTCCGCGCCTTTTCGTCGATGCCGGGAGGCGCGAGCGGGCTATGCGCCGCGGCGAGGTAGAGCGGCGGATACGTCGCCAGACACGTGTCCCCGGCGTCGTTCGCGGCCCGCTTACTCACATCGACGCGCCAGACGCCGACGTCCGTCCGTGCGAGCGAGCCGCCGAAGAAGGGCGGCGCGTGCAGCGCCACGTTTCCGGTGCGCGCGGCCTCAAGCACCGTCACCGCCCCGCCTTCGTGTCCCAGCAGGTGCTCTAACGGCAGTGGCCCGTATGGCGGGCGTGTCGCGCACCACCGCTCTCCCTCTTCACACTCCTCCTCCGTCGCGTTCTGCGCCGGCGACCGGTCGAACCCGGCGAAGAAGTCCGGCGGTGGCGGCAGCAGCGCCGTATCTGGAACCGCCGCCTGCCAGTCGTGCTGCGGCTTCGCCGACGGCGGAGGCCCTGGTGGAGGTGCGTAGTCGTTGGTCCCCGCCAGCGGCCCGGGATTGCTGCTACCCAAGAACGGGTTATTGGGGTAGGTGTTGCTGTTCGCCGCCGCTGGCGGTGGGCCCGGTGGAGGGGTGTAGCCGTCGACGGCTGCGGACGGCGCCGGGTTGGTGAAGAAAGGGTTATTACTCACCGAAGACGCCGGCGGTGGTCCCGGCGGGGGCGCGTAGTCGCCCTGGGACCGCACGGGGGGCGGCCCCGGAGGTGGGGCGTAGTCCTGGGAGTCGTCCGCACCGAAAGGCTGGCGATGAGAGTGGGACGGTGGCGGGCCAGGTGGAGGTGCATACTCCTGCGGCAGCGCCTGCGATGGCGGCGGACCTGGCGGTGGCGCGTAGTCCTCCTGCTGGGGGTGGTGAGCAGGCGGCGGGCCGGGCGGAGGCGCGTAGTCCTGTAGCTGCGGCCCCGGCTGCGGCGGGGTGCTCACTCGAGGTTTCGGAGACGGCACACGGCTCGACTGGGGCCGCAGCGGCGGGAGCGGCACCTGGGCCGGCTTGGGGGCCAGGTCGGCCGAAGCGTCCTTGCTGCTGCCGAAGCACATATTGACGGATGGGTTTGTATATATGCCGGTAGGTAAGGTAGGCGTACGTAGCACGCGCTTGACTTTCCCGTGCCGCCTCTCGTCAGACGGTGTAGACGGATAGGGAGGCGAGTCGAGCCGCTCGGGCCAAGTTCAATGTGACGCGGAAGGCGAGCGTGATACTGCCGGTCTTCGTTTGCCCGTGCTTCCCAGAGGAGGAGCACGAAGCTGGTCGACGGTGTAAGATGAGGACGGACAATACGAATACGTGCTTATGTAGTATCTTGTCTCCGTGGAAGCTGTGCCGGATACGTCAACTCCGGTCCCTAGCTCGGAGGGTATAGTAGTAGGGTTGAGCGGGGCGATGATGCGACGATAACAGGCCGAGCCAGCGTCCTGGAATTGGTGAATCCGTGATGAGCTGTCGTCGTAGGAGGAAGAGCGAGAACAGGAGGGATGAGAGTGGGAGAAGGAGTGTAAAGTACTGACTTCGAAGGCCGCATTACTACATTCGGTCCATTAATAACTACGGCCAGGTACTACCCGAGGTCCTTAGGCACCTGTAGCATGTACCTATACTTACAGGTAGGAGACACCTATTACTACCTCTCAGGTCATCGCCACCTATGTGTAGGTACGTAGGGGCCTGTGGCTTGGGTACCTAACCCCCCCCCTCAGCCCCCGCGGCGCCATTACTACTGCGACCAGGACAGGCCACCTATACAGGTACCCGAGGCAGGTCAGCCAAGCTCAGGTCAAGTCAAGCTAGCGCATTCGGCCTCCGCAGCCAAGATACCCCTGTGTAATAGTGTGATGCGCCATCGGCTCGGCAGAGATTAGTCTCATAGGCACCACCTCTATACCTTGGCCTAAATCCTACTACATAACGAGTGTGTCGAACGAGTGTATAGAACGAGTGTATAGAACGAGAGCATCCCCATCTATTCCCAAACTCATCAGCAGCCCATAGCTATGGGGGGGCGGGTTCTGATCCCGGCCCGAGAGGTCAAGTTGGTTGACCAAACGTCCTAATCATCCCCGTAAACTCCCCTCGTCTACTCATAGTTGCCCGAATCCTTGCCCTAGCTACCGACCCGAAGCTGCCCCTACGGATTCTGCCCTCAGCCCCTTCAACCCCTTCCTTTTCTGCTTTCTACACCGCACACTTCCCGAGGCCGGGGTAGCGGCCGTCTTAGACGAGAGCTAAGCGCCATGCTAAGCGCCCAGAGCGCCGGCCGCGTCCCCCTCCGGATAGAAAAAGGCAACCACCGCGATGATGACGTATGTTGCGCAGAGCAACGCGCCCTCGAGATAGTTACTTCGTCCGTCCAGGATCAAGAAATTAATGATGAAGGCCGACACGAAGAGGCAGACCGTCTCGAAGAGAGTGAAGTACAGCGTCATCGGCTGGCCGATCATCCAGCCGATCATCACCACCAGCGGTGTCAGGAAGAGGGCGATCTGAATCGAGCTGCCGATTGCCACGCCGATTGCCAGGTCCATCTTGTTTTTCATGGCCACCGCGACCGCCGTCACATGCTCTGCCGCATTCCCAACAATGGGGAGGATGATCAAGCCGATAAAAGTTTCCTTGAGCGCACTATGCTCTACTACGTCGTCGATCGCATCTACCATGAATTCGGCACACGTCGCTACCAGCGCCGTCGAGACTAGCAGCATGATGATGGCGGCACCGCGCGACAAGTCGTCCTCGTGCTCTTTGCCCGGTTCACTAGGGCTACCAGTCAAGACTGACACCGGGACCTGCGAGGGCATCATAGCGCCGGGGGGTCGGTACTGGTACCGGTTGAGTCGCTCCGGGAGGGAATTCGTCCTGCGGATTCCGTATCGGACCCGCGGCACGGGGCCCATGGCTCCCGTAGGTAGCACACTAGACTCGGGCTGCTGCGTGAAAACGGTCGGCGTGAAGCTCTTGGCTATCGAGATGCTGCGTAGTTGGTTGAAAGGCCGCCTGGCCCCGGGCGGGGCCGCTTCTGACTGGCCATCGATATTAGTAACCGCATCTGCGAAATCAACTCGGCGTGGCTCCCCGTCGGTTGCCACTGGACTTCGCACCGCGTCCGACGCGAGACCCGCGATGTTATCCGAGTGAGCTTCGGGATCCGCTTGGCCGGCGGCTTTCTTCGCACGTCGGCGATGCTTCCGCTTGGATCGCTTGTGCCGTTTGCGAGGAGCCTCGGCATCCTCTTCTTCCTTGATGACCTCTTCGCTACCCTGAGAATTCACCCGCGGAAAGAAGCCGTGGCCATTGGAATCGCCAGACTTGGAACTTTCATGAGCGGGACTAGCGCTGTTCGTTCCGAGCGACGAAGTGCGGGTTCGGGTGCCATCATCCGTGTCTAAAGATGCCACGCTCGACTTTCTGCGACGATGCCCGCGGATGGTTCGCTTGATACGCTTCGACATGGTCTCTCGAGAGTGTCCGGAATTGTCAGAGTCGGAGTCCGACGAGGAGCTCGAGTCCGAATCAGAGGACTCGAGCCATGCGGCGGCGGGTCCCGGTGATGCTTCCTCGTCGATGATATGTTGAGGAGTCGACTCGTACATATATGCGTGCGACTTAAGCTGAAACAGAAGGTAGACAACATATACCAACAGAAGGATCTTATCACCAATGTTAGCATCAGCGAAAATATCGCGGTCGGGGTTACGCACAATGCTAACACCGCGACTTATCTTGAGAGATTCGCTATCCGCTTCCGCCTTGTCTCTGAACGACGCATGAAACGCGGTCTTACGCGTGAATTTCATTAGCGGGCTTCGCAAAGTAAGGGGATTCTATTTGGGAACTAACGGGTAGCATGAGGCTAATCACGCTTAAGCTGAGCAGACACGCACTCATCTGTGTCACGGTGCTGTTGTAAATCTATCGGATGGGTCAGCAAAGGCCTGAGGACTGGGCGCATGTCACACTGACCTGCTCTCGGAATCGGAGACCGCCTAGGAAGAAGGCCATGCCTAGAATAAGCAGCAAGTTCGCGAGAATCGACCCGAGCAGGGAGGCCTGGACGATGCGAATCTCTCCCTGCAAAATGTTAGCTACAGGAATGCCGCGGGTTTCGAACGCTGGATATTCACCTTGACTAGGGCGATGCTACCGAGTTGAATCGCAACGTTAGTAATGTCCCGGCACGCGAGTGACACAAGCTAAGGCTCCGAATGATGGGGCGGAGACTTATAGCTTACATGCTGTATCATCGTTTCGTTAGTAGAAAGCCAATTAAGCGACGCGACGGACGTTGAACACTTACAAGATGATTAATTCGACAGCATTGCCAAAGGTCACGTTGAGCAACGCGCCGATGGTATCTCCCATCTTTCGAGCTACGGACTCCGTAGCGTGACTGAGGAGTGCGGCGAGGGGAATGATAGCGACGGCATTGACACCGAAAGTGGCTCCGGAATTCCTCTGCGGGATATTCGCGATGATGATCCCGACGGGGACGAAGATTAGGAACACGTTGATCCAGCTGTGGAGGAGGACCTTCTTGAATTCCAGGTAGGTTTCGATGATGATGTTGGGTTTCTTGTTTCCTCCGGAGCCGTCTACGACAGGCCCCGTCCCCTCAATTTCAGGTATCGGTGCAACTGGATTACCGGCCTTCTCGCCATCCGACGCCGGCCCTGACGCGTTTCGAGGCCCCGGACCGCCGGCGAGAGGAGGTTGATGGCGGCCAGGACCGTTAGTGGCGGCATCGCTATTCCCCTTGAGCCTCGACTGTGAGTCGTTGTTGCTATCTACCACAGGGACGGGTTCGTTGTGGCTGGACGGCGTGGGTTCGTTGGAGCCTCCATACGCGTGATCTTGTGCCCAGGAGCGTATGCGATCTACAGAAAGGGCCTCGTCAGTTGAGCTTTCCTTCATCGATGTATAAGCTTTGGCAAGTTCGACGCCAAGGTCGTGGGTGTTCTATAAGGAGAACGGGTAGAGGAAGGGTTGGACAGATGAGTGGGCGGCCAAGGCGAGCGAGCGAGAGTTAGACTAAATAGGCCTTAGGGTGGCCGGGCGAGTTAGGGGTGGTAATGGTGACGCGGGAAATGCCCTGATTGGCGATGCGCTGGGAAGACATAATCAGGGATGCCAGGGATCCTGAACAAAAAGGAGCAGCGTGAGGCCAGCCATCAATGTCGGCAACATACCTACATATACATGCCTACCTACCTGTATGAATGGGTGTACATGCGGATGCCACGCATTGACTGAGGTCCCTACACACCTAGCCTGCCCACCTCCTAGGTACCTAAACTACCACCAAGGTAGAAGAAGATAGGTGGGTATGTAGGCAGGTAGGTACCTGCAACAGCCACCCGATGTAAGGAGAACATGTTGAGATTGGTGTTCCAGAGGTAATACGTGCGATATACGCAAGTAGCTACCTTTTTCCCTACATGCTGCCGGATAATACAAAGTAGCCTGTGAGAGGGAGGCGATAAGCCACCCAATCTCGGACTGTGTGGATGATCGATCGCCTTGCTTTTCCCGATGCGACACACCGAACGGCTGGTAATCGGCAGCATCTGGGTTCCGTATCGATGATGTATACATACAGACCGTCCTCTTTCTCTTCCGGGTCTCTTTGACGCGCGAGAGGGGAGGATCTTGTCTCAAATCCGCAATACCTTGACAACCCACCCTTGAACAAAAGGGGAAAGAGAGAGAAAAACGGAGCAGTATCTAGCTGTAGTATGCTGTCGGACTTGGACTCTTGGCTAGCAACACCTGCTTCGGCGACAGCTTACCATTGACTTGTTAAGAGTCGGGTTAACCCATGCCCGGTGTATACCTAGGTCGTGTTGACGGTTGGCTGGGATCGTGTGGGCGTGCAGGTCCATGCGCGACGCAGATACCAGGACGGGAAGGGGTCCCCAAGCTTGATAGGACGGGACTCGACAGGAAGCAAAGCCACATACGCATACAGGAATGGACATGCGGTGTAGAGGCACGGATGAGGCCCACGGAGGAAGAAACAAAACAGGGACAGGAAAACGAGAGGTTAGGCTTACCCATTCCGCTGCAATCGACCCGGGGGGAGCTGCCGGCTTGCCGTCTATCTAGCAAGACGGGTACTCCCTCGCACAGCTAGACGGGCGACGGTTTTGATGTGTCTCAAGTGTCCCTGACGGCGTCGGCCTCCCCCCTCCCTGTTTCTAGCCCCTTTGTTCACGCTCCCTTAGCTTACTCCTCCGCTCGGGCCTCCCTCGCCGTCAATCGGTCGCGTAGCGTGTACGCGATCTTAATAGAACCCCGATCTGCCGGGCGATGTTGGAGAAGGCTGCACGGTGTGGGATCTCTGCTCCCGCCTGGCGGGCTCACTAAATTGTCGGCGCTGGCAGGGCTGTCGCGGAACGGGTCACCGCCTCACTTATTAAACAGGGACTGGAGGAGTCTGCAAGGGTGGGACCCCTGCTAAAGCCTCACACTATACCGCGTGCGATTCGGCGGGAATCCGGGGTGCACCAGTGGCGTGGTGGTAGGTAGTATACTACGCGGGTTGGTAGGTTGGTAGGGCTGTCGCCGGTTGTGCTCGCGTTAACACACGTATCTCTTCTCGCTCTCTCTCCTTGGGTGGGCGTGTATGTGTTGTGGAATAGAAGTTCTGGCGCGAGATTCCGGGCCAGACTTGCTCAAGGGGCGGCCGTAGACCGAGATTGAACCTCTACAGCTAATTAGGTACGTGGTCAACTCGTGCGGAGGAGACGTTGCGCGGACAGTGACGGCGATGCTGTGCGAGATGAGCAGAGCAATGCTCGTTGAGAGTACCTAGCTGTTGTGCAAGAGGAAAGGATCAGCACCTTCAGGTTATAGGCTACAGGCAGACACTCGTCGTAGGTATCTTAGGTACTTACCCTCTCTTGAAGGTATTTCCCCATTGCCGTGAGCAAACTTCGATCTCACGCCCGGCAACCCCCTCATCAAGCTAACATCAACTAGGCTCACGTACCTATGTACATGAGGCCATTCCCTCCTTCCCGGAGTTCACGGTTTCCTTAGGCATGCATAGTCCAGGTTACACACGTCTTACTGCCTGTGTGCGTACCAGCAGGCACAACTCCATTACCACGATGAGGCAGCTGCTGGCGAATACATCATCAAGACATCCCCGCCTTAGATACCTACGTAGGTACCTACAGATATCTCTCTACATTCACCCATTATACAAGTTCCTCAGGTAAGTTAAGTACCTTAGGTACCTTACCTATCTTAGATACCTAACCTGCCTATCACCGTGCCTGGCGCGTACTTGCACCTACCTCCTAATGCGGGTATATGATGACAACGACAACTGATGCCTGATCTAGGGGCGCACAGTGCACGCGTCAGCCTACAATCTAGCCCAAGGACCCTACAACCCGCCTGCCAAACATTTCAATCAGTAACAGCAAGCAGCCCATGACGTAGTAGTGGCTTAGCTAGCCAGCCAGTTACGCGACGGCTTCACTACGCGTACAGGCAGGTGGCTGCCTGCCTTAGGTTACGTAGGTACCTCCTATCTTAGGTACCTAGATACTTAGCCTGGCCAGCATCGGGCGGCGGCAGCTCGTCACCCTTCACTATGATACAATCCGAAGCCGTGATGACTTGATCTTCCGCCTGGGCTTCCTCCCTTCCCTCCTATCTGTATCTGCCCACGAGGTCCGATGCTACAGGATCGAGAAACCGCGACATGCTCCACTTCCCCGAGCCGCGACTACTCCACCCAACAATTTGGTCTTACCGGTCAGAAGAAAAGAGGGGGGAGGGGGGGGGGGCAGCCACCACCGAGGAGAGGCGTGCCGCCGTCATCGCGCCCGAAACAGTCGATGACGCCTCGCCGGCTTCGTACGGGGAGGGGCTCTCGCGTGGACCTCCTGGGACGGGAAGGAAGCCCTCGGGGCGTAAGCCGCTCCGGCGACGGCGCTATCGGCTCGGAGGTAGGCCTGGGCTTATCCTCGCGACCCTCCTCGGGCGGTGGGCGGGAAGGGGTAACACCCAGGTGCATGCGCTCTGCCCGGCGGCGTCAGCCATCATCAGGCGTCAGCGAATCCCTGGCCACCAATTGCACGACTATTAGAAAGCTGCAAGCCGAAGCCGCGCGGTACTACGCCGCTGTAACCCCCCCCCCCTGGAGCCGATGGGATCCAGAACAGTCTCCGAGTCTTACCCGGACACACGACCGACGACCACAGAGCTGACAACGCGTCAACTCGGCAGCGGGGAAGACCTGTAGAGAGCGGTGATATCTATGATAAAGTTTGTTTCCAGGCTCCGGGACCCAAGAGAAGACGCCAGCCAAGACGTGTTCCCTCAGGTAGCCGACCGCCGGAACATGTATAACGTGAAACTCACGATGTCCACGATGTCGACAGGTTTATAGAATCTTCGCGTCGCAGGCTAGTAGGCCCATATAGCCTGTGAAGTTATCTTCCCCTCCTCCTCCCGAGTTCCTAGGGGAGGGGGGGGGGTTATTACACAGCGTCTCCCTCCTCTGCCATCGCAGCGAAGACGCATGTACCAGGACCCCTGGGAAACTTGCCTGGACGCAGCCCGCGCGTTGTCACCGATGTAGTCGCACCGCCCGTGACTATGACCTGGAGGCTTCTCGACTTGCCAACCGGATTCCCGAAACACACGCCGCGTCGCGCAAGCTGGCGGGTCCGGGGTCAGGATAGCCCTGCGAAGGGGACCCATGCCGAGACGATGTGTGTGTTGGGAGAATGCTGTGGGCGGAGCCTCTCTGCCAGGCGAGAGGTTGCGGGCGCGACAGGAGCCAGTAATCGGGCTCTGGCACCGTTTCGGGACCCAAGAGGGCTATATATATATACCCTCGAGTGCTGGTTTAATAGTTGAATACAATGCTCATTTCTCCCCGTTAGCCGTCCTGCTCTAGGGCGGACACCCGCACACACGCCCACACAGTAGAGGTGCCCTCGTCGCGTCCTTCTTCTATCAGAGGCGCGGGGTATAAAACCCAAAGTCGATCCGAGGACGGTGACGCTGCTATGCCCGCGTGATAGAAAAGACAACAGCCATTGCCAACGAGAAGCTGTGAACATCATATCTATAGGCACCTACTCGGCTTCCCGACATATACACGCATGTGCTGCAGAGACCACCTTTCCCCTTCCTTCCCTCCCGTCTTCTTTCTCCTTAGGGAAACAGCCGCCACACAGATACAGATAGCTATATAGCATCGTCAACCCCGGCGCGAGCAACACCCGTCTTCCACGGAAACGATGGGCAGAGGAGGCGAACGAGACGATCGCCGCACCTACAAAGAATCCTTCCTCACCCGGCAAGTAGGTAAATTCGAAATATGGCGAACAGTAGCGACGACAGGTAACCACTAAAGGGAGAGGGGAGGGGATGAATTTGAGGAAGGGCACCAAGTTGTCGGTTTAGAGAGTCCTGGAATATACCCACCCAAGTCTTCCTTATCCTCCCTGTCCTTGTTCTATTCCTCTACTCCCCTCCCTTCGTTTCGCTTCCGGAGGTAGGTAGTACACCTCCACCACGATAAGGTTAACACGTGTATATATGTGTGTATAGATGTATAGATATATAGACATGTGTACATATATATATCAGTATTCTCTTACCCCTCTCCCGCCTTCCTACCGTTTTACCCAAGATCGAAAAAAAGACAAAAACCCTCGCAGAAGTGATATATATATACACACGCAGACCCGGTTGTCCATTTATAGCTGTTGGAGTACGCCTAGGCATTCCTTGCCTGGTTGGGGGAAAATAGTGAAATCTTCTATGTCGCAAACACGTATCGCGTCCTCGCTCTAAGAATACGTCCCGTACTACTTGTGAGCCCGATTCGGTCGCTTAGTCGATGCTCATCCAAGCGAAAGCCGAGAGCGAGCCGGCGATCAGGAGAGCGGTGAGGATGCCGGCGCCTGCCCTATCGGCGACGGTAACGGTGGCGAAGGTAGGCAAGACGGGTTCGTCGGAACCGGCGTTGACATCACCCCTGGAGGTACCACCAGTAGCGTTTGTTAGAGGGGGCGCGGAATCGGGGGCGAGGAGGCTGAGTAGAGCGCCTAAGACGTTCATTTGTTGGCCGGCGCCGATCTCGCCGTCGAAAACACCCGTCGTCCAGTGGAAACCGCAGAAGCGGCCGTTGGGGCCGCCCGAGCACTGCTTGACAGCATTCGCAACCGACGTCTTGAGCACGGGATAGATCTTTTCCCGCGTGTGGGGCACGAGCTGCATCGTGTTACCCATCCATCGGTGCATATAGCCCTTGAAAGACTTCATATCAGTATTGCATTTGGCGCCCTCGCACGACGGCTCGTATGCAACACCGCCTGGGAAGAACACCTCGATCATGCGGTCGATGAGGCCGTCGATGCGCACCTTCCATTCCTCGGCGCCATTGGTCTGTCCCGTAGAGCGATTATGTTAGCAGTCAATACGCCTGTTTACACGACATCGGAGAAAGAGCGACGGCAATAGGGTGAGCAGCCGAGTAGGAAGCATCCTTTTATCATTGAATGATCTCACACAAGGCCTTCGGAGCTGGGAGGGCCCCAGGGGGGGGGAAGGAGGGGAACGTACGTAGTTGTACAGGTACGCAGCACCCTGCAGCAACATGGCGGCATTGTATGAGAACTGGGCTCGGTTGGTGTCGTTGCAGTAGGGTAGATGGGCTCCGTCGTAAACGTCCCAGTCGTCCGATATGTAGCCCAGATCCTTCACCAGGTCCCAGGTTCTGACCGCGTAGTCGGCGTAGGTCTGGTTGTCCGTGTAGCGTGCTAGCCGTGCGGCGATGTTAAAGTAGCAAGCGTTCGCGATGGCTGTCCTACGGTTAGTATCTCCCGCGATTTTCTATACCATCCGGGCGAACGTACTGTTGATGTAGTTGTATCCGGTGTTCGATGGGTAGACCTGCCATCTGAGACCCCACTCGCATCGTCCGCTGGCTACTCGTCGATCCTCGTGCGTCTGCTCGTTGAACACGGCCTGTGCCAGGGCCAACCATTGCGGTTCGTCGTCGCCTGGATCTGTGAATCCCACCTCGGTGGCCAGCATGGCAGACATGCCCCAGAAGCCCTGGTCGTCGTTACCCATCGAGGCGGTCCAGTTGGGAGGCATGAAGTCTTCGTTGGGGCCGACTTGGTGAATCATGGCCTGCAACACGATAGGATCGTAGGTGTTGTCACCGGTATGGTGTCGGTAGTCCAGCATCGTACCCCAAAGCGCACCTCCCTGCCACCAGTAATAATCGCCATCGGGGGGGGGACCGGGTAGGATACCGGGGACCCAGCCCGGCTCGTCGCCTCGGTAGAAGGAGAGAAGGTCTTCGGCGACCTGGGCGGCGGCTTGCTTGATGGATGCTAGAGGGGCGTAGGTGTCGATGGGTTAATCATTGTTTCCACGCACACACATGCTGTGTCCGACGACGGGTTCTACACAGGGGCACCAAGTACACACCTGGATCATCAAGATCTGCTACGAGGGCTCCATATACTCCGTCGACGGCGAGAGCCAGCGCCGCCAGCAGCGGTTTATTCGGTACCCTCACCATGTTCCGCAAACGATGTGTCGGTCGGAGAGGGCGATGCAGGGGGGAAAGCGAGCGAGCGAGCGAGCGAGCGAATAACAACAGTAAAGGAGAGTCGGGGGAACGGGGGAATTCGAGAATAAAGAGAAGACGAAAAATATGTATCGATTCGTTCGCCCGGTTAGGGATTGTCGTGAGCGGATGCCGGAGACGCGAGGGTTCGACCTGAACGATAGTGGAACTCGACGTGGGCGATGGGAAGAGAGACAGGAGGACACGACCAACTCATCGGCCGGCGGGTACAGATTCAGGAGGCGGCAGAGGGAAGGGTAGGGTAGATTAACCCAGACAGGGTCGACTTGGGTGCTAAGCCAAGCGAAGCCCAGACTTTTTGCAGCCGGGGTCATGATGGAGATTGCGTGCCGGGGGCCAGCCAAAGCCGTTGCGTGTGTCTGTATTGGGTCAGCTGGAGCCCACCCGTGGCCAGGATACCAAGGCTTGTCGTAGCGTTGCATAGCCGGATTGCCCAGAGACTAAGCCCTCGCTGGACAGAGATGAAAGAGACCCGGGCCCGGATTGGTTGGTTGCGGGCAGGCGTATATAGCCCATTGTTTTTTTTTTTCTTCGTATCGGAACGGCGCATACCTACACGAAATATCCGCCTGTGTTGTTGGTTTAGGTGTTGGTGCGGTCCGGTAAGCTGTGGTTGGGCGTGTTGGATGAGGATTATTATAGGATCGAAGTCGAGATATCAGCAAATGTACACGTAATCCCTTTTTTTTTATTAAAAAAAGAAGGAAACCAACCTGTCTTACCCTCGTCGAAAGTGGAAGGCGAGGACGTCGAGGTACGTACCGAAGCGGCAACGGGAAAGTTAAGCCCAAGTTCCTCTGACAGGTGGCAGCAGCCGCTTCCGTCCAGTCCCATTGCCTGGAAATCGCAGAAACCCCTCCTCACCTCACGGCACCAACAACCCGGATAGGCACGCGGGTTTGATAAGGTACCGGGTACCTTCGAGGTTGACTTCTTTCGCTCACTCTACTCATAGAGGCCGGATCGGGATGTAGCTAGCATATAGGTATCTCATTGTCGCGGAACAGGCCTCCCTATCCTCCATGTATGCACATACATTGTATGTTATGTATGTCGTATCCTTTCCCTATCTCGTCTTGGTTATTTACGTGCGCCCACGTATCACTTCCCATCTCCCCCTTGGTCTTGGGATGCGTACATTCGGTACCGGTACACGCATAAGTATTTATAGGAGGTACCTACCTAGGTACCTACCTTCTCTACTCGTAGGCATGAGGTACCTAACGTAAAAGTACTTGGGGGTAAACTGCTATTGGCGTGCGTATAATACGTACCTAGGAGTCGGCGGCTCGAAGGTGACCAAGGAAGGCACTTCCTCCTCAGGTTACCCATCATACAGTCGAAATGTTAAGAACGTTGGGGGCTCGAAGTAATTCCCTTCTCCCAGCAGCCGGTAGGTATATGAGTATTAAATCTCGGTAGGGAGCCCGCGGACAACCCAGGAAGACAAGTCCCCCACCGGCCATCCATCGCATCACAAGCCAGCCACATAATACATGCCCCTCCGCCAAGATGTCGATCAGATCGCGTTCCTTGCCCTCGCGATGTCTTTTTTACCATCTGAGATTCGTCTACGTTATTAAGCGGCCTGTTCCTCACTCCTGGCATTACCAACACCAACTTCCACTCCATAGTTGGCATTGTGCTCGTCTTTGCGCACGCCTACTCCACCCAGAACAATGATGCCGAGAGACTCGCGCGGGCCTCGCAGTCGCTTGTGCCTAGAAACTATTTCGTCGTCACCCAAGGTATGGTATGTCCGGTATCCATCCCCCTAGGCAATGGACCCAGCTGAACCCTCCGCAGGCGCCGTCCAGGTCAACAATGAGGCAGCTGTCATGCGAATCCGATCCCTCAGCACGGGGACGCGGGTACAGACATTCAGGGTTGCAGTGCGCGAGCGGCTACTATCCTTTAGGTGACCGGGACACGCCACTTGCAGATGGAGACGTTGAGGTGAGTGAGGTATGGTGAGACCGCGGGTCCTTTACTTACTAATATATGTTGCTTAGGTTTATGCCAAACCAGATGGCGGTTGGCCCCAGCCGGGATGTGGGACGGTTTCGAGGCACAACAAACAATATTAGCACGACCATTCCTTCGCGCGCTGGATCGCCCATCCGTCAAGGACTGGTACTGGGACAATCAACTCGGTTCAGAATGGCCTATTGCTCCGAAGTGACCTGCACGTCGATTTCGACCATTTTAATATCTCAATCAACCCTGACGTGAGTCCCTATCTCTATCCATCCTCATCCTTATCTCTCCTCTCATTAAATCGTTAGGATGGCTACAAAATTTTTGGCTTTCTACCGGACGAATGTCAGATCGCCGGCACATTCCTAGACGGCCGTACCATCAATCATGCACAAGGGCTGGCACCGAGCCTCCTCAGGTGGCATTTTCGACAGGTTGTCCTCGCCAACATAGGTAAGAGGTGCAGGGGAACCTATACTTGAGCGATTTCCCTGGCTCGGATATTGCGGGGGACGTTAGGGACGGCCCCGGATGGAGTTCAAATTATTTGAACGACTTACTGTCTATATGGACTTGTGCTTGATAGATTATGAGGCTTCGGGGGATACGGAGGCTTTAAAGGTAAATGTAGAAATTAGGGGAGGCTCAAGTGGCTTAATTGAAGCTATCTAGAATCTATTTATCTGTCGCGTAAAACGTAGACGCCTACATTTACGCTTTGCGGTATGTAGGCATATAAGGTCTGGTTCAATTGCTACGTGACATTATCTAAGCTAAGCGATCCTGTAGCGGGGGCTCACCCCTACTGCCGCACGTAACTATACCCACACGCCCACACGCCCTCTCGGCCAGGGAGTGAGGCTATCACAACTCTCCGAGTACGGTAATTTCGCAATCTCGTAGCATTTCTCTCCTACTTCGCCTAAGGAGTGAGACCATCACAAGTCCTCCAGACAAAGAGCTTTATAAACTTATAGTGTTCGCACGCCTCGAGTTGCGTCGTCAGCCCATCAGCAGCGTTCTCCGCCAACAGCACGTGCTCCATCACGACATGGCCGTCTTCAACCTCTTGACGAACGTAATGGTAATCCTTTCCGATGTGCCACTTTTGCTTGTTCATGGCGGTCTCCGTTGTTCTTGTTAGCCTCGTTATTCCCCTCAGCCTCAGGCAGTTATATAGTTACGGCCTTCCGTAGATCGCCCGGGAGAACGGATAGGATGGCGGTGAAGGGAATGCCGCAACTATATGTATTGCAATGCTGTCTGAAGGTGTGAACAATGAACGATGAATATGGTTGAAGAGTGTGTGGTCAAAATCTGAGTGCGAGACCCATATAAATATTCATCAGATGCCGTACGTTGACCCATCCTGTTGGTCTAGGATGGGTATATGGCACGCATCCATTGGACTCAATTCGGGCGCGAACCCGGCTTCTCCCCACCCTATCTTCAGCTGTCCTAGGGCGAATCCCGCCCGTTCAAGGGTCCCATCCCTGATCGTGTCCAAGCTGTATATCCGTCGCATCTTAAATATGCAAAAGACGGCAACGAAGTGTGGTTGCGAGTACTCGAGGGGGTTGTTGATAGAACGCTCCAGATCTGCAAGATCTGAATGAGTTGTGAAAATAATTAAGGACGACGGGCTGCGGGCGAGGTGAGGTGGTTCCGGGTCATTTCGTCAAAACTGCCCGCCGATCTGTGTCCGAGCGTCCATGGTGGGTTTATTTCTAATGCGGCCTTTCTAGCCGCTAAGTCGTGGTTCGTTTTTATATGAAGGGCCCGGATCTCTTCATTCGATTCTCGAGTAGTTAAGCATATCGTCGTGTTAATCGTTAAACGTCTCGCTCGGCTCTAGTCGTCTTCGTCCATCGTTCTCAGTCGTTCGGGCGATTGTCGGAGGTCCCTGGCGATGTCGGTACCAACCTCAACCATACCTCAACCATTCCACTCTCTACGTCGTAATCTTCCATAGTATCATGTTAATACTATTCGACGCTTTCCCACAAATTCTCTGTACCGTGTTCCTCCAGGAGGACATGTCTTACCGCACCACTACACTATACGCCGTCGAGGTAGGTTCTCGATCTTTATAATGTAGTGGTGCGGTGGGAAACGGAGGGTCTATGTACCTCGGCCCATGGGACTCCGGACTGAACAGAAGAGTGCGGCTAGATAGTGCCTCGCCGACCGGCGTAGCCGCACTGCTGAACGCTAACGCGTGGCGTTTCTTATCTATAATTATCCCCCGCAGGATATGGATAGGGTTCTTCTTGTCTCGCAAAACTCGGACGCCGCAGAACGTCTCATGATAGCGATGTAGTCTCGCATGGTTTCCATTGGATCCAGACTCCCATCGTCCCGGATCTTCATGGCTAGTTCGATCGGCCGTTTCAGGTTTCGCCCGAGACGTTCCTGTCTTTTCCTGTTAGCCTTTGATTGAACTGGCACGCTTTCAGTTGATCAGGGTTGTCCAGGATCAGGTTGATTAGGGTTGGTCAGGGAACGCACGCGACTCACCGTACCACTACAATAACTACTCCTTAAAGCGACGGAGGACATCCTCGTCTCCGCTTCCGGCCGCCTATTCAATCAGTCGTCGGCGTTCCTCTGATCCCTACGTCTCAAAGGAGAGGGGTTATGACTCGAAAGTCATACCCTATAAATTGAGGGCGATGTTAGGCGGCATGGGGTGCCCGTCGCCGAGACGTAGGATCGTAGAGAATTCCCCGCAAAGGCGGGGACGGTCCGACTCAAAGCGATGGTCGGATACGGCTAGCTACGAGAGTGAGTTGTCTTTGTCGGGGTTGAAGCTAAAGCGCTTCCACTTGAGCTTCTCTGTGCTCTTCCTCTCATCCCTCTTGACCCTTCTCGCCCCAGGGTTACTGTCTGGGTCGGACGAGTCGTTGCCGGAGGAGCTGTCCAAAGGGCTGCCTGAGCTACGGTGCTTTCTTCAAAGCTCTTCCACGGCTCTCTCGTGAGCATACCGTAGGAGGGAGCTTTTCGTCGAGCTCCTATTGCAGCTGTCGGTTGGTTGTAATTAAACGTTTGATTTTAGTATCGGCTTTCTGTGAAGCCTCGCCGGCCTTCTCTGGAACCGTCTCGTGAACCATCTCTGTTAGAGTCTCGTTGCGTAATTGCCTGTCTCTGTAGGGCGTGGAAATAGGGGTAGATCGTGGTTGTTCGGCTGTTGCGTTGGTTTGAGATGCTACGATGTGGAAATCAAGGGAGGTTTAAGTGGTTTAATTGAAGCTATCCGGAGGCTTCCGTGTGTATGGCCCTATCTATTTATCTAAGCTAAGTAATCTTGTGGTGGGGGCTTACCCCTGCTGTTACACGTGACCATATCCATACACCCACAGTAAAAAATTGATGATCCAGTACCTAGGTACCTAAGGTAGCTCAGGGACTTCTGGAGGTATATTAGGTACTTACACAGTTAACGAAATATTTTAATAGGGATCAGAAGCACGGTGGGGGTTTTCACCCAGATCTCGGCGCGTGAGACGCGATGCGATCTGAATTCAACGAGTCTACCAACAACAGGTACCTACCTAGGTACGTTCTTAGCCTCTCTTCCTTAGTAGGGCAGGCGGCGTAGTACTGCCTTGCCAGCCAGCCTGTCTTAATACCTACATCGAATATACCTATATATATACCTATACATGTAGGAGACCAGCTTCATCTGCCAATCAATCACGGGCAGCCCAATCAGCCGGGCGCGAGACGCACCCCTGACGATCTTGGCGCCTCGCAAGCGACGCCAAGACGGCGCCGATCCCACCCACGGCGCAGCGTGGGATATTACGCGTGGGCTGGCGAGCGTGAATCGCGCGCGCGCAACGTGCGTCATGCGTTTTGGCGGTGGTGAGGGGGGCAGAGAGAGAGAGGGAGAGAGCGAAGTGCAGACTATAGGTACCTCTTGAATAGGGTGTTGTTGGCCGTAGGTTGCCTGCCAGAGCCTGCACATATGAGTAGGTACCTACAAGCGCCGCTCGTGAGACCTCGAAGGGTAGGCGGGTAAAAAAAGAAAAAAAAAAAGCGAAATCAGATCTCATCTCAGCAGCGGGGAGGATCACGCCCCGAACGTAGGCGCTGCATAACACACATACCTAGGTACCTCCTCTCTCGACATCTACCTACCTACCTACCTACCCACCTCCTAGCCAGACCCGACCCTCTATCTTCAGCCAGCCAGCGAGCAAGTTAGCAGCGCCTGTTCGCGCACCTACACCTAGGTAAGACCTGGGGATCCGGCGCAGCGCCCCTCTCCCTCGTGCCGCCGCACCCGGTCCTCTCCCTGCCACCCTCCCGCCCAGCCCTGCCCAGCCCTGCCCAGCCCTGCCCTGCGGCGCCCACGCACCTTCGTATCCGTCGTCCCGCGCTCGTATCGTACTCGTATACCCCCCGCTCTTCATCTCCGCGCCCAGCCCAGCCCAACCTGATGCGCGCACAGCATCGCCTCGCCGCCCGCCGCTGCGCCTCGCCCGCGCGGCCTCGGGCCCCGGCTCCCGTGCGCGGCCGGAGCGGCGACGCCGGGCTACGGCTGCGATCCGAGCAGGCGGGTTTGGGCAGGATAGCGTCCGCGGGGGCGCCTATGCGTAGGGGGAGGACTCTGTCCTGCTCGGGGCCCCTCCACATTCGTTAGTTAGGCATACCTCGGTACCTAGATAAGGCGCTCGGGCTCCGCCTCTCCTCTTCGCGGGACAGCCCCGTGGAAACTGCGCGCGGGCGCGCGTGGCACGCGTCGTGTGCGCGTAATCTAGGTAGGTATGGGCGAGCGGCGGTTCGCTGACGGGATCGCTGGGGGGGGAGGGGAGGAGAGGAGAGGAGAGGCAGAGAGGGCGAGGATGTGATAGGTGGCCCCACCGGGAGTGGTGGTGGTAGCACAGGTTGGTGTGCCCTATGGGAGGGGGTTGGGCAGCTGGGCTGGATAATATGCTTATCACGCTGTGCTATATACTTCACACATACCGCATACACATAGGTATACGCACACAGCGGCATCACGGAGCTGACACGCGCCAAACATATTCTACCGACTCAGTCACGCCAGTCACTCTTGCATCCAAGACTCGTCATCTCCAGGTAGCGGAAGATCGCACGTAGGCTCCGTTGTATTTTTGGCTCGTCGGTCCTGTCTATCTACTTGCTCTGCTGTTGTACAGTAACCAGCCTAGCCAGCCCTTCCTGCCGGCTCGCCCCCTCTCGCGTGGTGAGGGGCGAGCTCGATTCGCGGATGCGAAGTCGCCGCCAGCACGATGCTGTGGCGGCGTACGATATGTTGTTGTTGTTGTTTGTGTATGTTTTTGTGTTGGGCAACGCGACGTGACGTTCTTGCGCGCCGAAAGCGGAGTGGCCCCCTCGGGACGTTGCGGCATGACATGAGCTGGCTCTCGACGGCGAGAGCCCTCCTGTTCCCACCTCGTTTCCATTTCCATCGTATCGACCAAAAAGAATGCGCGCGGCGCCGGCGGCCGACCATGCGAGGAAAAGGCTTCTGCACGGGATGATTCGTGTGTTGCTGCTCAGGGTGCTTGAACGTCTGGTATCTCTATTAAAAAAAAACAATGCTGATGAGGAAAATGCAATAAACCATGACTCGTTCCTGCCGGACCTTGGACCCTTGACCCGTGACGGTGGCTATGCGGTTGGCCGCAGCCTGACGACGAATCCAAATGAACAGTGTCGTTTTCTTACTGTTCCCTCTAACCCTCGTGTATTTCGCCGCGAAGTGAGATATAAAACTGCAGGAAAGGGTGTGTGATCATGCAACCCGACTGCTAGTGAAAAGGAAAGGAAAAGCCTCCTTGACGCCTGGTCCAACTTTACCGAAAGCGAATGTCGTGAACGCGATGAATGTCGTATATGCCTGTATTTACTCCGGATGTGTATGTGCGTGTGCGTGTGTGTGTATGGTGTATGTGTATGGTGTGTGGTGTATGTGTGTGGCTTCGAGGTGTTCTTCAGCTCGTCTCCGCCACTCGTGTGTCCGCCCTTCTCGGAAGGGTGGCAGTCATCTCATCTCTGATGCGATGTGCTAATGCGGAGATGTCGGCGGGATTCTCCCCGATATCGTCCACCCGGTACGCCACCAGATGGCGGGAGATCGTAGCGGGAAGGAGGCCATGTCCTAACGGCCTTTGCTCGCCCGGAGCAGCTTGGTCCTCAACCACAAGATAAACATTGTCCAGGTGCTTTGAGTCTTCCTCTTGGCCGTGTTCTTTCGCTTGGGAGATTGGAAGACGACGCTCTGCGCGCCCCCAGTCTCGGCGTCAAACGAGAGCGGGCTGCTCTCGTCCACGGTGTCGTAGTTGCTGCTAGCGAACTTCTCGGCATCCGCCGGAGGACTCGCCGTATTCCTCCGCGAAGTACCTGGGCGAGACATGCTCGTCCGCGATATGGCCAAGCTAGGGCGGTTGCTACTCGCCATGCTGTACTTCCGGCTGTGCTTCCCGCGGGAGATGGCCTCCTGCAGCTCGGCCGCCTCTTGACGTGCCTTGACCGCCATCTGTTCCTTGTATATCGCCGCCGCTTGCTTCTCCATCTCGAGGGCGCGCTTGTTGTCGGCACGCTCGCGTCGCTTGATCTCCTCCCGCGCATACTTCTCCTCCTTTATCTGCTCTTTCAGCACGAACTTGCGGCGGGCCTCTCTCACGTGCTCAGCGCGGGTTGCGGTATCGAGGTCAGATTTGGCGCGCAGGCGCGGGAACCCGCTCGCGTCAAAAGAAGATCGCAACGGAGACATCGGAGCCGTAGAGCTAGCCGGCGATGAGATATGATTTGAAGCGGCATTGGACGGCGAAATGGGCGTGTCCAGCATGCGATCGAGGTCGAGCTCGGACCGGCTTGAGACGTTGACCAGACGCGAGGATTGCGTAGGCGTGGCTGCGGCCCGCGAGGTGTTTATCTTCAGACTCGGCTGATGGTGAGCGCGAGGCGCGGAGGTGTGTGCATTTTTGGCGTCGAAAGACGCAGTACGTTGGCTCGCCGTTAGAGACGGGCGTTGCGGACCTAAGCTGGGCTGCGAGTGGGAAAGAGGGTTTACGGGGTGTATGTGGAGGGGGTTCTTGTGATGAGTATAGGTGCTATCCTCGCTGTTGCTATTGTTGGCGTCGGCGTTGTTCTCGTCGTCGTCGTCGTCCTCTGTGATGTCGACAAAGGAGGCGAGCGAATTGGCATACGACAATGGCGGGGTGGACGTGCGAGGCGTTTGCTGGAAGGGGTGTACGAACGGAGCGCCGACCTGGCGACGACTTGAGCTGCCGGAGGTTGCGACGGAGACGTGACTGGCGCCGCTAATCGACCTGGAATGACTGTTGTTGTACCGGCGAGTGTCAACTGCCTCGTTGAAAGTGATGCTCGTTTCCTTAGCTGTCTGCTCGTAACCCCCCCAACTGTCCCGGCTCCCATAGTAACCATCCGTGTCCGCGCAACCCCTATCCAAGTCGAGCGAGTTCTTCTCAGATTGCGTGGATAGCCTCTTTAGAATTGGCTTCACCGCCTTGCGCGCTTTCGACTTGCTTATCTTGTTGGCCGGGAGATGCGGTCGAAACCGCGGCAAACTCTGGACCGAAGTCATCGTGTGTAGCGCAACGATGTGTGCGTATGCGCGTGCCGGTAAGTAGGAGACAGGCGGGTACGGCGATATACTTGGATATACGCCTATATACTTATTTCTTGGTAATAAAAAGGAGACAAGTATGCACTCAAGAAAAATCCACACGCGAGTAGACACAGATATGTGTATTGCAGCAATCGAGAAACCATCGAAAGGTATCGATAGGGGGAGGGGGGACCGTTCGGATGTCGGCGTGGGGATGCGATTTGACTTTGCTATCCCGGTCGCTTGGGGGGGGGGGGGGGGGGGGATTTCGCGGGCGGCGAGAGGATATGAACTGCGGGATCACCGGAATAAAAGCATCGAGTGTGATCGGCGGGTATTATTTGAGGTGCGCGCAACGACCAACTACTGCTGCCACTGCCCAGGCCGAGTGGGAACCGATAAAATCACTCAGGAACTAGGATGACTAAGACCAACAGGAATCGCGATCGGATCAGTGCAGCATCAACAACGGACCCCTCTCGTTCCGCGCAGGCCGGCGATGGGCGGTGTTGATTTACCATGTGATGGATATGAGGCGGTCGGATTGGTGGGCCGTGGGCTTGGGGGAGGAGTAGGAGGAGGAGGAAGAGGAGGGGCGACGGGATGGCTAGTAACACATAATGATAGTAATGTCGGGGAGAAGACGCGCGACACGACCAGATTCCGTCATTCGTAGTATGGGACTGAGAAGGGTAGCAATTATAAGGACGACGGTAACAAACGAGGGCGACGATCGACAGGAACAATGTAGGTATTATTGCTCGATGTTATGTTTTATACCTACCCGGGTAGGCGGTGAGGTGGAGCGGACCTACCAGGGGACGATCCGAATCGCTGGCGGACGAAGAGGAAGGGGGGCGCGGTGGAGAGAAAGAGATGGGCTAGCCGGGTATCTATGTAAGGATGATTGACGATGGTGAGATGATGGCGATGAGAGTGGAGGCTACGAATATGACGGGACAATTACGCAGCAGCAGGCGGAGACGTGGAAGGGCTAGAGAAGCAGCGTGGAAGAACGGAAGAAGCGGAGGGGAGAGGAGACAGCGAGGAGAGGGAGAGAGGGAGTGAAAGGGTTGTTCGCCGTTGGCGAGACAGCAGATGAGGAGGTGAAGGAGGTGAAGGGGGCCCTGGTGAGGAGGTGAGGAGGTGAAAAGAGTGGAGACGGCCGAGTTGAGGGAGAGAGAGGGAGGGGGGAGAAGATAGGGGAGGTGGGGAGGAGAGGGTCAGTATATATGTACATAAATGTACCCAAGTCCTTCGGGGTAGGTAGGTAGGTGTGCATAGAGGTATGAGGAGGTACCTCGGGTATACATGAGACTCGGTGATCAAGGTCTGCCTCCTCGTCCTCCGGCATCTCGCGCACCCACATAGGTAGGTAGCTCCTTGGGTAACATATCCACGTACGTAGATATATAGGTGGATATATAGGTACCTAGGTAGATATAGATATACAGGTAAGAGAGGGAGGCGTTGCATAGGTATCAATATATACCTCCTACCTGCCCAAAGATAAACCATTGCGCGGGAGGGTCATGTAATTAATGCGCGAGATGCGAGCGAGCCCGCGACGCTTCAGCCTCGTCGACTGACCGCAGAGCGCGCGCGTTGTGGCGGAACTCGATCTGCGCCGACGCGACTCGCAGTAGGTATTTGGGTTTCCCTCTCTCCCCCCGACTGGCGTCGGCCGCGCTCGTCTATAGGGGCTTAGCAGAGGGGGCTGGGAGCAGGTGGCTGACCTCATAGGCACACGGACGAATGCGACGTGCGTCCCGAGGTAGCACAGCGCCTGTGTAACATCCTGGGCGGACGACCTGGCCACGTCCTTACGCATGTGCTACGTACCTGCTACGTAGCGATGCGATAGTTATGATAGCAATATGAAATGAGACGAAACCTGAAAAGACTAAGAGGTTTGGTTGTGCCGAACGTAAGGTACACCTAATGTATGTGCACACACCTACGTGTGTGTGTGTTGTGTGTACGTGTACGCACACATATGCACACAGGTACAGTACATCTTGATAAGACAGGTAGGTCCTATTGCCATCCCCATCCCCATCCCCATCCCCATCCCCTTGGCCCTTGGCCCTTCCCGACAACACCCCCAGTCTCGGCCAAGAGAGGGCATACAAGGAAACGGAACAGGCGATAGAAGGATTAAGAGGGGGGGGGGGAGGAAGAAAAAGGAGGGGAAACGTAACGGTCGAGAGAAGGCTGGAAGCGACGACCCCCAGGAGAAGGGAGTGGAGGTTCGGGTCGTCGGCGAGTTCCTCAGCTTATCGATTGCAAACGGGCCAATCACAGCGCCAGGTTCTGCCGGGGCCCGCGTGGCGGAACTTGGTCCTGATCGGCGCCGAGGGCCAGGCCTGGGCAGATCTAGAGCCCTTCTGTCGCTCCCCATCCCCAGCAGCGATCCCACCTCTTTCTCTCTCTCTCTCTCTCTCTCTCTCTCTCTCTCTCTCTATGTGTGTGTCTCTCTGTGACTCTCTATCTCTGTCTCTCTCCACGCATCCGCACGCGGTCCTACGTGGGAGCGCTCGGAGGTATTATGTATGTAGGCATGGTAGGTCGGTATGTATGCGTGGACGTTGGAGGCAGTACGCGCACGGGTCTGTCTTGCCGACCACGGGTTCCGGGCCAGCCCACGGGACCCAGTGGACAAGTCAGCGGTAGGCGGTATGCGCATATATGCACGTACATGCACGCGCATTATCTACGTAGGCACGTCGGCGATAGGCACCTGGGCAGGGCGGCGCCGACGAGCGAGCTATAAAACGAAGCGTGGCAGCAGGAAGTCGTCCAGCGAACGTACGTTCCGCCTCCGCGTGTTCTCCCACCGCTACACTGGGGGGGGGGAGGGAACGCGGAGCCCAGCAACTCGTCCGCCCGCGCTGGCGCCCGTCTTCTCCGCACGCGCGGCTCATCTCTGCGCACGCGTACACGCATGGAGGTATGCATCTACGGACAGACGGACGTCTCTGCGCGTATGTATGTGCATGCGAACTTGCATACCGCCTTGCTCGCGGTCGATAAGCTGGCGGCAGGGAAGCGTAGTCCCGAACGCGCTCCCTGGCCGCACGATCCCCCGCTAGGCCCTGCGCAGCTAAACAACCCCCCCAATCTGCGAACCCGGCCGGGCTCGCCTGAAACCAAGAACGCATATCACACGGGTACGGCTTCGCTAGCCTAGCCGGGCTCCCCCAGGGGCCCGCTCCCAACTATCGGTGAAGGGGTTCTTGGATAGGTTTGTTAACACATGCAGCGCTGGGGCGGAGGAGGAGGAGGAGACGAGACGGAGAAGGGGAGAAGTCGGAACTTGCTCCAGGCGAAGTCTGTGTTGCTGGATGGTATGCATGCGTGCGTGTTGCATTGTTTGTGTGTGTAGGTATATGGTATGCATGCGACGACATGCACGCGATGCTGGTCCGTATTCTGGCGGTGCGCGAGGGTCCGACGCTCTCGACTAGGAAATTAGTGCCATCCGGGAGACACGGCCGGTCCGTGTCGATCCATATGTTGTAGCGTCCATCCCGCCCAAGTTCGTCGACTGCCCTCGCTCTATCGACTGCGGCCAAGGTGCTCTAGCCTTGGTTGTCTAGGCCGTGGGCAAATTGATGCCGGAGAGCAGGGCCGAGCGAGGGCGAGAGAAGCAGCAATGGAATAAGGGAGGGTGCTTCTTCTCGTCTTCTATCTCTATTCCATCATGAACTTGTACGCGCGCACAATTATGGGTACAGCTATACCCGTAGACTGATGTAGATGAAAATGAATATAGACCGAGATGATGAAATAGATCTATGCATATGCATCTGCGTGAACGGCGAACCGGTTATCTTGCTAGCCTCTATAGTCCACATATACAAGCTGACCCTAATAGAACAACACAAAATAGCAGCAGTTGGGGAGGGGGGGGCGCGAAACAAAGAATTCCCCGTCGCGATCATACGCATATCGACCTATCTGTCTTTTCTTTCCTTGTTCCGTCTCATTACCCGCTTTCTGTCAATATCTATCCCATCGAGACCTACCATCTGCCCAGCCATCGTGACCGTTTGGCGCGACCCCCCCGGAGATCTTGATCGACGTCCATTCGCGCTCACCTCTTCCGCGGCGCCTTTCTCCGGCCAAGTCAATAGTAATAATGCCGAACCCGTTTCCTTCCCCTTCCCGGCTGGCTATCTTTCGGGCCACGTTAGGGTGAGCTTTCCGAGACCTCGAGGGCCGCATGTGCCACATGAACCTGCACCGTGTGATGTGGTCTCGGACGAGGCCGCCGCATTCCGTCCCAGGGCGTTCTCAGCGTTCAGCCATAGCCCCCCCCAGAGTTGTCAAGTGACTCAACCAGCCAGCCGGCTGCGTACTTCTTCGTCCTCGCTGTACAGCCTCGGCGGCGTAGACACCCCGAGTGCCCCGCCGATGCTGTCTCGCCTAGCGGACGAGGCGGAGCCGAGCCGAGCCGACGTGAGCCAGTTCGACGGTAGCGATAACCTGTGCCGTGCGGGAATCGCGTCCGCGTCTGTGCGGAAAGCGCACCGGTGAAATTTCGAGATGTGCCGATTCAGACAGGTGAGAGACCGAGAGGGAAGAGTCTTATCGCCGAGCGCGATCCGACGCGGGTGGCTGAGGCGGGCCGGAGAGGATTCCGGCTTCTCTCTGCGGAGGAGGGGGGAAGGGGTGGGGGAGGGGCTTGTGAAGATAGGTAATAGACAGAGACTACGAGGCGTACCCGACCTACCTGCAGAGGTCTTACGGTCAACCAGGCCGCGATGCGTCGCTGGCCAGCCGCGCGTCCACTGGGTGCCGCCCCCTCGCCAAGGTCGTAGGTCTCGAAGACCTCCCTGTCGCCCCCATCTCAGTCTCGACATACGAGCCGCGAAACCGACGTGTCTTGCAGCAGCGCCCGACGTACGTACGCACATAAATCACCGCATCCTCCCGCTGCTCGCTCGGGCCGGAAAGGGCAAGAAAGGGTTAGAATCTGCGTCGGGTGGCTTGCAGGTAGGGGCGCTTCTAGCTACATGCCGCCCAGGACGCAGCGATGGGGACCTGCCGTGGCGGTGAGCAGCGGTGCTGGAGGCATAGGGCTAGAGAGAGACGCGGAATCCCCGACTTCCCCTGAGCTCGGATGGATACCCGCCAGGTCTTCTCCTGGGCGACGCCAGAAACATTCCGTGCCTAGTGTAGTAATAACATGGCGACATCGCTATCCCGGGCGCCACTCAGACTGAGAGCACATTTCCTATGCGCGTGCCAGACGGTGTGTGTGGTCTCTTGAAAGATGATGCCTCATGCAGTTTCTGTCCTTCCTTGGACCGGCCGACAGCGTCGTCGCCGTCGCCGTCGTTGTTTTCGTTGGCGTTGTCATATTCGCCGTCGTCGTTGTCGTCGTCGACGTCGACACGCGGAAAATCGGCTGGGGCAACAGCATCGAAAAGTTCCCGGCCGGCATCGCGAAGCGCGGTGCGCGGGACGGTGGAGTACATTCAGGCGTGGGAGTGTAACCTGACTGCGTCCTGCAGGAGTATAGCGACCGTGGTTCTCTGTTGCGGTTAGAGATGCGGCGTAGGTGATTGCGAGGTGCCCGGCGCGCGGGCGCGCGGCGTCCTCCCCCTCCCTCCCCGTGTAGTAATCGGCGACGGCGCGCATCGAGCGTTCTCGCGTTTTGCCACGTTTCTACGACTTGGACTTACTAGGCAAGCCGTAGATAGACGCCGAAGGGGAAGACCAGAAAGCGTCAGCTTGCCCTCAGGCGGCCTGGGAGCCTGGTCCGAAGACGGCGGAGAGTCCTTCCCACTCAACCCCCCCTGCACGGTTGCGTCTAACGACCTCCTCTTTTTTGTCGGTCGATTTATAATGACCAGCCGCCGGTATGGCCTGATCAGATACGGGCTCACGCACTCCTCGGTCAAATCAGCGCCTCGATCGGCTGGTGTCTGTAGGGCAAGCGGCACAGAAAGGGATCTGTCAGATCTGGGGTGATTCGACCCGTCGCGGTAGGCCCATGCCCAGCCAAGCCTTCCAGGTATCTCACCAAGTCCATCGAATCGCTTTCTTTCTACTTAGGTTAGCTGCTGGAACGTACGCGTGTCGTGCTCTTCTTCGGGGGGGTTTTATTCCGGATTTCTCTCTGTCTCTCTCGTTTTCTGGTATACGCTAATGTAATTTGAACGCACGTCTAGATCGCATATACGATAGCGTCTTACTTGACGACATAGGGAGACCGAAAAGAGAAAAGCAACGGCGCGGAGCTAGAGGGAAAATACCTCGGCTCTTCTTCCTCTATAAATCGGTAGACGCCGTTGCCGCTTCTTCGTCTTCGTCATCCCGAGAGGAGGAGCCCCGCGCGGGGGCTCGGCGATGTCGACTTGAGCACAAATCAGGGCTACCTACCTAACGTACGCGTCATTTGGTCGACTGTGACATGCGGGTTTACGGCTCCTGTCGTCCCAGGCGGGTGGCATTCTCAATATAGCGAGGGCAGGGCCCCTCATGGGCACCGACTCCCCCATTCCGAGGAACGGGGAGTGTGTTCTTATCATCATGGCTCTGGTGATTATGATGTGGAAGATCTCGGCCCGTCTAAGTGTTACATTCAGTTAGGGGGAGGCGGGGCGAGACGGGGCGAGCCTCGCACACCGGTTTCCTTACACCGAACCTCTCCGCCTCGTGCGCGCGGTACTGTGTAATGTATGCGCCTAGTCGCCATTGCCGGGCAGTAGGGGCTAGCGCGTCGATACGCGAGAACTCACCTTAACGTGCCGTTATTGCATCGTCGAGTTAGGTATTCAATTCACCTTTGTAGATACGAAGTCGCCTCCTACGCGGATGTGAGCCTCAGTGCCTCGTGACTGCTTGCCACGCCACACTCGACGCTCTCCGTCTGAAGGCCGTGGTGGTGGTGGTGGCGGCGGCGGCGACAACGACGTCGACGATGACGACGACAACGACGGCGATCGATCCCCTCCCCTTCACATGTCAGCGCTTGGCAAGTGGGAGCCGGAAATGGACAGAACGGGCGACGAGAAACATGGTAGAGTCCGCCTCATCGCATGCCACGACCGGAGACCTCCGGCGAGTGACAACCCAGTACTGTACTGCCAAATGGTCCCCGACGGGCTCGAATCCGGAAAACGAAGAAGAGCACGACGCTGCTGTTGGTCCTCCTCTTCCTCCTCCTCTCTTCGTAGACAGATCCTCCGGACCTGCATAACCCCGACCTAACGGAGTAATACCCGCATCGATCGCATGGCAACGGGAAACGGGAGGCAGGCTGTCGAGCCATTCTCGGAGGGAGGTGGCCGACTGCCTAACGTATTCGCCCGCTGCCACCACACATAGTACGATTCGTAGCCGTGGCCGTAGCGCTGGCCTCTCGGCTGAGGTCTCTGGAGCATGGGGGGGGGAGGGGAGGGAGGACGGAAGAGGAACGGACGGCGGCGGCGTCTATTCGCCGCCTGGGATCCTCGCTGGCGAGAGAACCTACACGTAGTAACGCTAAGGGCACGATCCGTTGCATAACAACTCGCCACAGCAGCTAGACACTTTCCTTGTTACGTACTAGGGCGACGGTATAACAGGGCGTTATACACGGCGACCGTACCGTCTCCTCGATGCCTGTCCAATGATCCGCGGCTTCATAGCAGACAGCGTGCACCTGCATGTTACGGTAGCCGGAATCGCTGCTCTGACTGGACGTCCGTGATAAAGTCGGGGGGAGGGGGGAGTATACGTTGGGCGACTCGCGGGCGATGCCATTCTCGCTGACCGCCATATTTTTGCACCGGATGAGGTCAGTGTGCTGCTGTATTGACCAGGGCAAGAGGTAGCCAAGTGCCATACGTACAGTAATTGTCTGGTTGGGTCCCAAGCTTCTGGGGTATCTAGGGGTGTCATTTTCCGGTTACGGGGGAATGGGAAGGAGGAAAAAATTTTTCTTTTTCCCTTTTCCCTTTTCCCTCCTCCCCCCCCCCCCCCCCATCATCCCTCTCTTTCAATAGTTACCCTCGTGGGTTTGGTATCATACCGTAGGACGAAACGTGGGGTTGTATACCACGGGGTCGGCAGAATAGCCTCTCGCGTGAGAGAACAACTCATAGCGCTCCTGCAACATGCATGCTATGCCTGGGAAGCCTGCAAAGGTGAAGCCATCATATGGACCTGACGTAAATCGAGGGGTGTGGAGGGAGGGGACGGGGGGGATGGCGAGGGGTGGAGGGAGGGAATCAACCCGCCGGCGTCAACGTCAGGTACCCTACAGGCGTCTGCTAGCGCAGACACACGAGATAGATGTTTTTCTGAACGCTGACAGTCCGCCTCCCCATGCCGTGAGATGTCGACCGGAGACGCCAGAAAAGAGAGTATACGCTGAATTTACCCGCGACGACAGCAATTCTGGCCACAAAGCCGCCCTGGATGCACATCATCTGGATCGCCTCTTACCCGGATGTGCCCTAGTGCTTCCGCGAGCCTTGTCTCCCGCTGTGGGCCGTATTAGAGGTATTTCTAGATCTGGGTCGATGTTTCATCGACTAATGAGACTCTGGAGCTGCCGAATACAGATGTGCTGACGCTGCGATTTAGAAGCCGGCGAGGCGCCACGAGAAGGAGTGACAGCGAAAGCAGCCGCGCTCTCCGTCTCCCTCCCGTCTCTCCTCCCTCTCTTGCTCATCCTTTCGCGCTCTCGCTCTCGCTCTACCATCCGTAGTGGATCCCCGCAGATATATCTTCTTTTCTCCGCCATGTATGTGTGTGTATGTAGACGGGGAGGCAGATAGATAGGTAGATATGTAGGTGTATGTGTATGTATGCACGTACGTGTATGTATATATATATATATACATATATATATACACATGTATGTATGTGTGCGTGTGAGCGTGCGTGCGCGTATGCATGCGGCGGGTGGGTGTGTGCGTTGTGCGTCGGGTGTATGATACTCCTTCACTGCCTGCCGTCAAGGCCTGCCTGCCTGTGGTTTGTCGGGCAGGCCGTTGCGCGCCTGAATGGCCTATGCTTATACCACTTGGGCTGGCGTGATGTGATGTTGGCAGGAATATGGGCTCCAAACCGCAAGCGGTTCCCTTCGTCCTTTGACAAACCACCAGGTACCAGATGGCAATGGAACGTGGTAGGAAAAAGGTTACCCTGCAACTACTTCCCTTATCTTCCCCCCCGCGAGAGAGCCATTAGAGCGGAATAGCGCTGGACGGATGTGTTCCTCGGGAGAATTCAAGTCTCGTTGTGGCTAAGGTCACGCCCTAGCAGAGGAGGGTGTGAGGGTGAGGTATTAATCCAGGCCCTGTCGTGTAAGCGAGGCCTGCCGTTGCAAAGGGAGAGCCACTTGGGACCCAACTCCAGACGAGGGTGAGAGGTGGAACATCGACTGTGCCATTTCCTTTCCAGTAATAGGTAGGGTAAATCCGCGAACGAGCAACCTACTGACGTGACAGGCTCCGGGCATCAGCGAAGAGGGGAGGAGGAGAAGGAGGCAGAGAAGAAGGGGGCAGAACAGGAAGAAAGCAGGGAGAAAAGGGGGAAAGAGAAAAAAAAAATAACAAGTTGGGCGCAAGTCACATCGCTCTTCATGTCGGTTAACCGTCTCATCTGGCCGTTCTCCTGCAGTGTGTAGCAGGACCTTGTTGTATATGCTGGTAGGCGGATTCCGCACAGAGGCTCGTTGGGCCCTTGGTCGTGGAACGACACGATTCTCGCGAGCGGCCCGGATCCTGAAAGGCCTCGCTGCCTCTGTTTGCTCAGTGGGCCCGGCCTTGGTACGACGGGACGGGACCCCTATGAGTTATGGAGGCAAAATTTCAATAATAAGCAGGCGTGCTCATGTAGGTAGGTCGGAAGCACCCCGACGAGGAACGGCGTTTTGACCTTTGACCTGTCATGCCTAAGGATTTGGATCCTAGTGCCGAAGATACCGAATCCATGCTCTGGGAGGCGCC